TGTATGAAATGTATGGAATGTATGGAATGTATGGAATGTATGTAATGTATGGAATGTATGGAATGTATGGAATGTATGGAAAGTATAATTGTATGATTGTATGTATTGTATGATTGTTAACGCGATCGTTGTTCGGGAGACAGAGTTCCATAGTTCAAGAATTAAGATTTAGACTTAAGTTTTGAGATTGAACTATGGAACGTCTGTCTCTTTCGTTCGTAACCCCGGGCCAAGTAGAATAAAATCTCTGCATTCCTTAAGAATGCCGAGTTGTTTGTATGTAATGGAGGGTGGTTGGGATTAGGGCCCGGGCGGGTCTCGTGCGTAGTCACCTCCTCGTGGTGAGACCTGGTAATTGATATCGTTTTACAAACATTAAAGTTTGTAAAACGTTATCAAGCTAAATTGTAAAACGATAGACTTTAATGTTTGTGAAACAATATCAAGCTAAGAACTACGCAACCTACAGTTCAGTTTAGATCGTGAAAATTTCTTTCCATTCCTTATTATTTCACGATCTAAACTGAACTGTAGGTACAATTAGTCGATAAGTAAACTATTGGGCCCCCACCGATGGACGACGAGGGATCTCGCAAGGACATCGTGGGATGCGTGCGTCTTAGTTTTAAGTTGCGTGCGTCTTAGTTTTAAGTTGCGTGCGTTTAGTTTTAGTTAATCATAAGACAGTTAATATGTGTAAATTCACTGTGAGCGCATTCTGTACAAAGACACGTTTATTTAACTTGAGACGAAATTATGGACACCTCCTCTCCTTTTTCGTTCGTTGTTACTATCGTTACTGTCATTGCACTACAGTAGAGTTACATTTGTTTCTGTCATTGCACTAGAGTAGAGTTACATTTGTTACTGTCATTGTACTAGAGTAGAGTTTCCACCTTTCGCTGTCAGTGTGTCAAATCGGAGGACTGCAGCCTCGTCCGAAAGGACGAGGTAGGTTCTTGTAGTCTGGCGTCCTTTGTAATTCGGCTCAGCGGTTCTTCGGAACCCCACTGTGTCGTTGAGGGTAGCGCAAAACTACTTGCCTCTAAATGCTCGGAACCCGATTTGGTACACTGACAAATCGCGGTTTCATTTCGCGTTACATCTCTTACAAGGCACGATATTGAAACGTTTCAATAGTTTCGTTTCCCTAATTTCGTTCAAAGTTTAATAAATGTGTCTTTGATACAAAATGCGCTGATAGCGCTGCGAATTATTGTACAATTATTGTGTAACTTTTATGTTGGATGAGTGTGTGGTTAGTATAAAGGGCTGCGAGTGATTGCGACATATTGATTTGCATTCATGTGTAATGTATGATTGTATGTAATGTATGTAATGTATGATTGTACGCATAGTATGTAACGTATGATTGTATTCAATGTATGTAACGTGTGATTGTATGTAATGTATGTAACGTATGATTGTATGCAATGTATGTCACGTATGATCGTATGCAATGTATGTAATGTATGATTGTATGATTATATGTATTGTATGGCTGTTAACGCGATCGTTGTTCGGGAGACAGAGTTCCATAGTTCAATCTCACACATGCGCCTTAGAATTAAGATTTAGACTTAAGTTTTGAGATTGAACTATGGAACGTTTGTCTCTTTTGTTCGTAACCCCGGGCCAAGTAAAATAAAATCTCTGCATTCCTTAAGAATGCCAAGTTGTTTGTATGTAATGGAGGGTGGTTGGGATTAAGGCCCGGGCGGGTCTCATGCGTAGTTACCTCCTCGTGGTGAGACCTGGTAATTGATATCTTTTTACAAACGTTAGAGTTTTACAAACTTTAATGCTTATAAAACGATATCAAGCTAAAAACTACGCAACCTACAGTTCAGTTTAGACCATGGAAATTTTTTTCCTTTCTTCATTTCACGATCTAAACTGAACTGTAGGTACAATTAGTCGATAAGTAAACTATTGGGCCCCCAGCGGGCCACCGATGGACGACGAGGGATGTCGCAGGGACATCGTGGGATGCGTGCGTCTTAGTTTTAAGTTGCGTGCGTTTAGTTTTAGTTAATCTTAAGATAGTTGATATCTGTATATTCTCTGTGAGCGTATTCTATACAATTATAGGCTTTAGATTTTAATGGATATTTCAAAATATATGATTTGGTAAAATGCAACAGACCTATTCCATATCTCCTTTTAATTAAATATCTGGTCCATTCTAAATATATTTCGTCCCTAACAGAAATAAAAATTTTATTACTACATTGTGTTATTTTATACATCTTTTGATGATGTATACTCATCCTCATGAGGTATTTGTGTACCCCCCTCCCCCAAAAAATTTTATTTTCCCGTAAGCCATACAATATTTTGCTCATTTTCTTATTGTACGAGGTCCAATTAAGAGACATAACCTCTTGTGATATCCAATTTTTTATTACGAAGCTAAATAAATGAAATACCCTACGATAGTCCGGTATATGCTAATACGTGACCAGTGTTTGACCTCCCCGCGAATATCATCGATCCTACTTGCACGGCCGAGCGTTCGATGTGGTTCCATTTGCGGTAATTAGGACGCGTCTGCCTCTTGAACCGCGAGAGGAGAGACTTCTCGAAGAAATCGGCGGAGAATATGCTTCCGATTCCTCGATAATGAAAAATACGAACGATACCCGGAAAATTTTCAGGGGTCAACGTCCGCCCAGCGATATCATTCCCTTTCATTCTCGCGATACACGGTGCGGAGTCCATTTGCTACCTTGTCACACACGCGCAGCCCCCGCGCGTTTCTCAGAATCATCCGAGCACGATGAGCACTCTCCGTTATTAGAAATGGAACAACGATCTCGCCTGAATAGGAAGCGGCGGACACGATGCGATGGCCCGAAAGCAAAAGGTGCAGCGAGTCATGGCTCTGTTAAAGCAATCTTCCATCGCTTCAACGAGAGGTAGAGATCTTCCGAACTTCCCCTGCCTCTCTCAACATCCCCGTATCCTTCAAGATATTATATCTACGTATTTTCTTCCGAGTTCGAGATACGTACTTGTTTACACACCGAGTTGCGCAAAGTTTACATAATATAACCGAACCGACTTGAATCGACTTGATTGCCTACTAATCGTAACGATTTTAATTGTAAATTGGACAACGAAATTACGACGTTTATTTTACACACAAGTCCCGAATTGTGCCAGGTTTCTATAACTGGACAGACTTGAATCGACAATTTCTTAACAATCAACGATTGTAATTGTAAATTCGACTGTCTAAGCTACGACGCCATATTTATTTTCAACGCTTACAGATAAATCTCGAGTTGTGTGAAGTTTACATAACCGAATCGACTTAATTGCCTACTAATCGTAACGATTTTATTTGTAAATTCAACAATCGAAATTACGACGTTTATTTTACAGACAAGTCCCGAATTGTGCCAGGTTTCTATAACTGGACTGACTTGAATCGACAATTTCTTAACAATCAACGATTGTAATTGTAAATTCGACTGTCTAAGCTACGACGCCGTATTTATTTTCAACGCTTACAGATAAGTCTCGAGTTGTGTGAAGTTTACATAACCGAATCGACTTGATTGCTTACTAATCGTAACGATTTTAATTGTAAATTCAACAATCGAAATTACGACGTTTATTTTACAGACAAGTCCCGTCTGAGACAAGACAATTGTGCCAAGTTTCTATAACTGGACTGACTTGAATTTACGACTTCTATTATTAATTAATGATTGTAATTGTAAATTCGACGCCACGTTTATTTTCAACGCCTACCTCGGTCGCATTGTACGACAGAAATACACGAAAGGACAACAATTTCAGGAAGTAGCTAGTTTCTTGAAAAAAAAAAAAAAAAATCAGATCAGCTAGCTCTCCGCCGCCTTTCCTCGTTGAATGTACATATTTTAACACGACCAGCGGACGACTCAGACGCTTAAATTGCTTCGTTAAAATTGTCCAAGGCGCCGTCTCCTTTTATCCCCTTCCGTCACATCGTCGATTGTTTCTCGTTTCTTCTCGTGGCCGTGGGTATAGTCGTCGCGTCGCGCGGTCCTCATTGCCGGAAGAGCGCGGATAAAGGGAGAGCATGAATAATGTAATTCGTATAATATCGGCCACAGCGCGAAGGATGGACGGTAACTGGATAGAAAACACAAGGGTGTGCAAGTTCCATGGCTTCATAAACGTGAACGAGACAACAGAGCCGGATATCGACTATTTTTCCATTCGGCTGGATTTCCCCAGTATCTTTTATTTCTTCTTTTTCTTCTTCATCTTTCTTAGTTTCTACGGACAATAAGGTAAATGTCACACAACCTGGACGTTATTTGCGAAAATTTCTATCTCATAAATCATATTTTCTCTCTCTCTCTCTCTCTCTCTCTCTCTTTCTTTCCTTTCGTTTGTTCGTTATTTTACAAAACTATTACCCAAGTAACGTGCTAAAGTGTACTGAGTGTACGTGTTCGTGGACAAGATACGAGCCAATTCAGTTCGCCGCGCTGTAAAAATTCATGTCGGACGTTGTTCGATCGTCCGATAAAACTGAAGGACCTGGGGGATAAAGGAAATTTCTTAATCGCGGCACCGTCATTGCGGAACGTTCCTGGCAGCGAAGACTTTATTGCCCCGCATTTTCAGCGGACTCGAGCAATTCGAACGTCGACGACAGCGAGAGCCCGTCCGCCAGGATACAAGCTACAATAATCCGGCCACAAAAGACAGCAAACCAAGTCAGCGATTCCTACGTAATCTGCGATTCTCAGCGCTTGTCGGGATCGTTGTTACCCCGTCGTCAGATATCTACTTACACGTTATATAACGAGGAACAACGCCGGGGCTATGTTTCACGACTATATTATATATTTGGTTAATAATTTCAATTCCCAGTTATTACTTGTCTGCTTGATCGAGATCAAGTCGGACACTGGCATTGAGATAATGTGTTCGGTTAATTTACGATCAGATGAAAAAAAAAAAAAAAAAAAAGAGAAAGAAAAATTCATTCGGTACTGATCGAACGTGCGTGCGCGTTGTCTGTGGCTTTACAGCGATATTTACTGCCATGGCGAGCTGCTGCACACCATCCAGATGGCGTCCATTTACAAAGACTCGAAAACGTTCGTCGACATGAAGATGAAATACCCGCCGAACGAAACGTTGCTCCTGTTCCGGGAGTTCATGGAACGAAACGATCACATGCCGACGAGGCATCAGATCGAGCAGTTCGTCAACGATACGTTCGATCCGGAGGGATCCGAGTTCGAGGATTGGGACCCGGACGACTGGGTCACTCGGCCCAAGTTCCTCAACAAAATCCTCGACGACGATCTACGAAAGTTCGCCGCCGATCTGAACGATATCTGGAAGATGTTGGGCCGGAAGATGAAGGACGACGTCCGGATCAACGAGGATCAATACTCGATCATTTACGTGCCGAATCCGGTGATCGTTCCCGGCGGTCGATTCCGCGAGTTTTACTACTGGGACTCGTACTGGATCGTGAAAGGGCTGCTGCTCTCGGAGATGTACAGCACCGTGAAAGGGATGTTGTCGAACTTCGTCTCGGTGGTGGACAAGATCGGCTTCATCCCAAACGGTGGTAGAATTTATTACACCATGAGATCGCAGCCGCCTATGCTGATACCGATGGTCGAGGAGTACCTGAAAACAACGCACGACTACATGTGGCTGGAAGACAATCTTCACCTTCTCGAGAAGGAGTTCGACTTTTGGATGACCAACAGGACCGTGGAGGTGGAGGTCGACGGTGTCAAGTACACTCTGGCCAGATACTACGAGGAGTCCTCGGGGCCTCGACCAGAATCCTACAAGTAAGTAAGTTGACCAGAATCTCCTACGAGACCAGTCGACTTTTCATTTTTTTTTTCCTACGAATCTCCTCTCTGTTTTTTCTTTTTTTGTTTTTTTTTTTGTTTTATCATAAAGCCACCGGTCGAAAAATTTTTTGATCAGAATGTGTTGTTTCCCTCTGGGTCGCTAAAGTTGAAAAATAAATGTCCTGTTGCAATATTAAATATATAATAAATATTATATATTTAAATAAGTAAATATATAATAAATAAATATTATAAATATTTAAATAAATAAATGTATAATAAATTAATATTATAATATTATAAATATTTAAATAAATGTATAATAAATAATTATATGTTTAAATAAGTAAATATATAATAAATAAATATTATATTATAAATATTTAAATAAATAAATGTATAATAAATAAATATTATATTATAAATATTTAAATAAGTAAATGTATAATAAATTAATATTATAATATTATAAATATTTAAATAAATAAATATATAATAAATATTATATATTTAAATAAATATATAATATAATAAAAAGCATTATAGCTACAATTATAGTGGATTTATGTTTGGAAGTACACGCTATTAAAATCTTTAAGATTCTTAAAAAAATTATATGCGTCAACAAACGATAAAAAGCTAAGAATTTTTTTAAACGAATGTCATTTCCGTGGGAAATAATTTTCATCTTCGACTTTAGCGACTCGCGATACTTTGGAAAATGACATGACTCGAACGAAAATGTTTGCTCTCTGGATACTTTAGCATCATTCATTCTTTTGTTTCTCGGATCGATTTTTACCGATCCTCCGTCGCGATCGCGCTCTAACGAGGAAATTTCTATCGACCAGAGAGGATTACATTACCAGCCAAAGTTTCCGCACCAATGAAGAGAAGGACAACTATTACGCGGAATTGAAGACTGCCGCCGAGTCCGGTTGGGATTTTTCTAGTCGATGGTTCATACTAGACGGCACGAACAAAGGTAAAAGAAATTGTTTGTCGTTTGTTTCTGACTAGCCGAAGATGAATTGAAATGTAAAATGATGGTACGAAGTTAATGCACACGGCATCGTTGTTGCCAGAAAATTCTCGAGATTTTTCTAACATATGGGCGCTTCTAGAAACTATGTCTGTAATTGTCGTGTCGCGTGTTGCACGCGCTTATCAGTGTGATATCTCGAACGAGATATCTCGGTGTCGTTTGATGTTTTTACTCGAGTGACGTCAGCTTTTGCAGGTGAAAGCGTAAATACAGTAGTATTGCCCTCGTTGCTCGACGTATTTTTCTTCTCGATGATAGATTACGCATTTCCTTTAAATTCTCTCGATTGAACAAATATCGGTTTTCCTTGTTAGGGAATTGAAATAAAAAAATATAGAGGCATTCGCACGATGTAAAGACCTACATGATATATCTATGCTTATATCGGTTTTATTTATATATATTATAATATATTATAATTTTATTAAAAAATCATACGATTGAAATTATCTGAGCTTTAATACCAATATTTATTTTATTAATAATTTAATTATTAATAAATTAATTAATAATAATTTATTTTATTAATAATTTGTTATCCATTGCTAAAAATTTTATACTTTATCGATGAAATATTTATTAAATATCTATTCTCTATTAAAGCAATTGGTGGCCATCGTCGATATTGATCTTATGAATATCCAGAACGTAATAATTACGAGATTAGTCGCGTCGCGTTGCATCGTGTTTTATCCGCGTGGTGTGGAACAACATGGCCACTCTACAAAGTTCTTCTTTAGGTAACCTGACGAACTTGAAAGCCAGATACATTATCCCCGTCGATTTGAACTCGATAATATATCGGAATGCACAGCTGCTGGCGCAGTACAACCAACGAATGGGCAACGAATCCAAGGTCGCGTACTACCGGAAAATAGCGGCAGAATGGAAAAGAGCGGTCACGGCCGTGCTGTGGCACGAGGAGGTAGGCGTCTGGCTCGACTATGACATACTGAACGACATCAAGAGAGATTACTTCTATCCGACCAACATTCTGCCGCTTTGGACCGATTGTTACGACATCGCGAAGAGGGAGGAGTATGTGTCGAAGGTGCTCAAGTATCTCGAGAAGAACCAGATCATGTTGAACCTGGGCGGCATACCGACCACGCTCGAACACTCGGGCGAACAATGGGATTACCCGAACGCTTGGCCGCCGTTGCAATATTTCGTCGTCATGTCGTTGAACAACACGGAGGACCCGTGGGCGCAGAGGCTTGCCTACGAGGTTAGCCAACGATGGGTACGCAGTAACTGGAAAGCGTTCAACGAAACGCACAGCATGTTCGAGAAGGTAAAAAAAATTGGTGGTGCATTCCTGCGAAAGAGATCGGTGGCTGACGACAGACGAGAGACCGGGATGGGGATTTGACGAGCTGAAATACGAAATATGTGAACATACAGAGAGAGATACACAAGATACTGTGTACTTTAACCACTTGCGCTGATTGCGGACCATAACGAGTGACCAAACCGTATACAATAATTCGTCGCTTTCTTCTTCAACTCCGCCGGTATGATATTCATTGGATAGAAATTATCGAGAAGTAACAAATTTATTATTTATTATTTAAAACTTTAAAAATTTATTATTTATTTTGCCTGTTTTGTTTTACTTAAATATACTTAAAACTGGGGAAATATTACAATTTTGTAATAAAAAAAATTCTCGACGTGCGTGGCACGTGATTCCGTGGCGCAAGAGGTTAAATCTGCATCTCTAAAGTTACAATTCTTTCAAATTGGTCAGTACCAATGATTCCAATCCCTTTAGCGAGATTTATAATAATTTTATCACGCATGTTCAAGACATTTCATATCTCTCTCTCTCTCTCTTTCTTTCCATTCCACCAAATTTCCAACAGTCACACCGGTGCCGTTCGAAAGAATAGCCAGACGGCGTTAATAAATGCGATTCGTACAACATCATATAGTTCATAGCTGGATCGTTTGCAATATCGTTCGATTCCGCAGTACGACGCTACGGTGTCAGGTGGTCACGGAGGTGGCGGCGAATACGAGGTCCAACTAGGCTTCGGTTGGAGTAACGGACTCATCATGGACTTGCTGGACAAGTACGGAGACAGATTAACAGCCGAGGACCGTTTTGTAATAATGCAGAGCACGGCACCGCCGCAGGTCGTCGTGTCGACCGCCGGTCAAGTGATGACCGGTATTCTCGCCCTCGTAATATCGTTAGCCGCGGGATTCATCGGGTGAGGTGAGCCTCCGTTCCTTGCATCTCGCCGCACCTTTACGTTAATTCGACACGCGGAACCATCAAGGCCGGTTCTAGGATTTCCTACGAGCATCAGACGCCACGCGTCTCCACGTATATATAACAGTCAGATTTTCGACAGCATTCTTAAGGATACTTAAGATCATGCACTTGTTCATCATCGTGTAAATGCGTACGTCTTACGTTCATAGGAAATTCCATTTTAACGTGATTTAACGTGATGAATTTTTCACCGTTTGCGTAGAGTAGTGTATCAGCAGTTATAGTTTTTGGATTATGTAACAGAAATATCTTGAACCAAAATTCATTAGTAACGAACGAATGACGGTATTTACTGACTTTGGTTTCGCTATAGAAACTTGTCACTTGTTGTTTACTCGACGCTAGTAGAAATTAATTATTTAATTAAATTTATTATTATTCATTTAATAATAAATTAAATTTATTATTAAATTATTTTATCATTAAATTCAATAAAATGAATTAAATTTATTTTATTTTATTATATGAATTTTATTAAATTTATTATCAAATTATTATTTAATAGTAAATTTTGGTTTAGAGCTTCTTTTTATTCGCGTAAATCGTAAATGGCTGAAAAATTGGTCGCAGAAATGTCAAATGCAGCAATAATACGCGTGTGGAATTAACAGCTCATCCTTCTACCTTCTGAGAATGATACATAACTCGTCTCTCCTCTTTGCTTTATGTTTCAGATATCCTTACGCACGCGGTCTGTCTGTCTATCGATCTATAGGGGAATCTTTTAGAGCGAATTTTACACAACAAGCCGTATCATTTTATCTGTTACTGTGTAGTAGTATTAATCGATCGTAAAGATCCAAGAATATCCCTGTTTGCTATCGACATACTTGTTTCCAATTGCGTTAATAGCTCGGCGACTAAAGCGGAAACGTATATTGGCTATTGTTGCAAATGGTTGCAAACGGTTTGTCAGATCATCATCTTGCCGATAATAATTTTTATTTTAATTTTAACACTAACCTCGAACAAACGAATCGAGCGATCGATCGATTGGCGATGGGCATTCCCTTCGAGGTCGTAATATCGTGATAAACGTTGTTGTTGTTGTTGTTGTTGTTGTTGTTATAGTTATACATCGCGTGCCTGCAGTAATATTCTGTGATTTTTACGCCTCTTCGCTGGCCGAGGACGCGCTTTTTCTCTACGATAACGATCTTTCGGTTCGACTCGGCTGAGCTCGCGGACACGACCGTGTCCGCATTTAAGTTCAAAGCATGGAAGAACGAAGAAATTCCGCCATATAAGTTGTTTCAGTATTATTATTATGTTTGAGTCGTGCAGTTTCAGCTCGAGGTTGCTGAAAAGCGAGGGGAAAGTTTTTTTTGAGAATCAACGGTAAGAGAAGTGAGGAAAGAAACGAGCGAGGTACCGCATGGTACACGGTGTGTTGTTTCGAATTACGCGCGTTGCATCGCTGAGATACGATGCAAACGAAATGTTGCAGATTTATCATGGACTTTGGAAAAGATATACAGTTGTTGTTGCACTAGAGAAAAATACCACGAGAAAAGATCGAGAGCGAGAAATTAGTAGCGCGGATCTTGTCTAGTCAGTTCGTGTTACATCGTGTGTATACCAAAGAGGCCTTTTTAATTCAAGAAACATCCCTGAATTCTCGCTGCTACTCGAGAAGTATTTATTTTTCTACGACCATTCCCGCGGCAACGATCTTCCTTCATTTTCCCGGAATAATCGCCACTGTTAGATTTACAGGATCTCGAAGTATTGGTCACGTAGCGTGTAAGTTCGCTTTTATGTTGCATTTGCACTTGTACGTCAGGATGATTTTTTTTTTTTTTTTGTTTGTTTTCTCGTTCTTAGGGATTTATCGTTATTATGTTTTGAATATATATTTATTTAATAAAAGATACCGAGTCAAGCGTTATCTCGCCGGTATCTCGTCTCCACGCTTATAAATTAGACGAACACGTTTCGTGATACGTAGTATAGTTTGAATCGTTCGAAATAAATAAAGTTTATCAGCAAAGTACGCATCGATTCTTGCTCGAACTTTGCGTAACCTGTCGTTGCAGGACGACGAAATGAGAAATAACAACGAGAGTAAGAGTAAGAGAGAGAAACGTCACCTGTAAGGTAAACGAGAGACTGTTTCCGATTGTTTTTCGATCAATGATACTCGGCATGCTCTATCGCCCTTTACCTAGGTTTGCCTGCCTGTGTGGTGACTCTTAAATAAAGTATATAAAGTTCAAACCAGAAACTCTACCTAACCTGTTCCTCTATGAACCCGCTAGAACAATAACCGACAACATTTTCTTCATCGTTTCTCGTTCGTTCTGTGCACTGTGAAAAAAAGAGTTGCTATCTGTCCCGTCTTTTTACTTTCGTTTCATCCTCATTCAGCAACACGACACATCGCGTATAATAAAAAGTAAATTCTGTCGGTGTTTAACAATGCATTTCAAATGCGATTCAAAGCCGATAACCTGTTGCCAGGAATAAGTTGTTTAGCTTGGAAACTAAATGTTTCTCTGGATGACAAAATTATGTCTACAAGTTGATGACTTGTTGGACACTGTATAAAATATATACGTGGTACCAACAATAGGTGGTAAAAAGCGGCTTTTTCCTTCGTCTGTTTCTGTCCTCGTTATCGTCGAGCAAATAGTGTACTCGTTCCGAGATTGGAGGAAAGAAACGACATTGAGGTTTAATCGAAACAATCGACACTGACTATCTGGGAGTTACGACGATTTTATGGCGACGTGTACGAAGCACCGGAAGTCGCGATGATAGTACTTAACGTGCGCTCGGTATATGTCGCGAGGAGGATCCTCTCGAATATATATGTCGCGGTAAACCAAACGTGAGGTAAAATGTTTCGTCGAAATCCATTAATTCACATGATCTATTTCATTGGTAAACTGAAGACGTGTTGTAAAAATTATTAATATTAAAAAATCGAAGAAACGTCTACCAGTCATTGTTTATCAGCAGAATAATACAGTTTACATGTAGCTTTGTATCTACATACAATCCCGTGATATATATATATATATATATATGTATGTATGTATGTATGTATGTATGTATGTATATATGTATATACGACACGTATACAATGACTTGTAAAAGCATTCGACCACTCATAGAAATTCTAATTTTCTATAATGGTGGCATTTTGGTAAACTTTGAAACGCACCATAAAAACATTTATTAAGATATTTATATTACAAACATATTACCTGAGCAAAAGTCAAATCAATTGAGCAGTTTATTATCAGTTAATTTAATCCTGACGTTTTTATTAAATACTAAACTTTCGCAAACAGCAAAACTGTCCCGTAACATAAATTTTCGCATTAGTTTAAAAGTATATTGTCACAACGACAGTAACGAAACTTCAGATATTTTGAACTTCAAACTATTTTAAGATATTTTAGATATTTGAACTTTTTAGATGTTAGAAACTTTTGTATCGATACGAGTATCTCACAACATCGAATTGAAAGACACACACCGACGCCACATTGACGCGTTATCGATTTACAACATTCGCTTCGTTCTCGAACAGAACGTAATGTTACGTAATGTTACGCTCAACAAAGTCGATAGCAAACTGCGGAAACGAATTTCAAACAAACATTCACTAACAAATCGATCGAATCGTTGACGATTGACAGAGGATCTCTAATCGAATCGTTTCCTACAGGATGGTGGTGTACAAGAGGCGGCACTACTACGTTCCTGGACCGTCGACGATGCCGAACAAGAGGAAAGTGATCTCGCCGAGTGGGAATCTCTATCGAAAGAGGATCGCCTACACCGAGCTGAGAGACATGAACAACGATTGACGATCGTTGCTCTTCTAGAAAAGCCGATTCGTTGTTTAAAGCGACTGGTAAACAGCACTAGGCCGCGGGAAAGGACGTCATCTGGAAGCCAGAACAGCCACCGGATTTACCGATCGCGATCGAGAATCGTGAAGAAGATGCTCGCTTTCAATTTACCTCGCCAAAGGCTAGAGAGAAGGTAGGTGAAAACGGGTAACCAACAGTCGCGTTGCGGTTTCGGATCGTCCTCGACTACGCGGAAACACTCGTTTCGCACGTTCGAATGTTTGAGAATAGTTGCGGACATCGGCTCGGTTTTCTTCGTTCGGCGAGTAGAGTCGATCGCGCGCGTGCTCTTCGTTTTTTCGCGGGGAAGGTGATACACGGTGACGACACGGTGATTTGCGCGATAACAACTCCTCGATCGGAGCGACTCTATCCAAGGCTGACGACGATGATAGACGATGGTAGTTCCGAAGACTTTTCCCGAAGGGAAACCTCTGAGAAGAAAAGAGGAGACGAGCAACGCGAAACGATTTGGAACGCGGCACAGCGCGACACTGAAAAGCCCCGGTGCGTCTCAGCTCGTCGCCCCGAGCTTCGCCGCGACTTCCGAGCCGGTGTACACTCTCGTGTTCTCCTCTCTCTCTCTCTCTCCCACTCTGCTGCCCCCCTTTATCCCTTCTCTTCCGTCGCGCGTCGCCCGGCCTAATCACAATCGCAGCGGTCCGCGAACACGCGATTTACGTGCTTTTTTGGAATTTCTCCGACGAGCGGATACCTTCGAAGTTGAGGCAAGGATGTAGAATTTAACAAACTGACGATCGAGCACGGTGGAAGAAGATCTGGGATTTTCGGAGAGAGAGAGAGAGAGAGAGAGAGAGAGCTTCTCGCGTGCACGTGCTCCTCCTGCGTGTGTTTATAGGTGAGTTTAGATAGTCGATGATCGATTCTGTAGATAAAAAGAAAAAAAAAAAATAATATTGTATTTTTGCGGATATTTTTGTATATAAAGAGATCCGTGTAGCCGCTTGCGTGTGTTTAGTGAGAGAGAACAACGCGTGCGATTCGCGTCCAATCGTTGCTAATTACTTACTCCGGGGCGATCAGCTTACGATCGGTATGAACAAGATCTTATCCGGCGTACGACCAACTACAAGATTTCGAAGAACCTGGGCGCTTTGTACATCCGTTTTCTAAGCGAGAGACCCGTCGAGTTTTACCTTACCCGTCGTCCGTTTGGAAGAGGACTTGTCGTTTCTCACCCCAATTCCACGATTCGTCCGATCCCTCCTGTAAATAATAACGCGTGCATCTGTTGTGTGTTGTTTGGAACGTGAAACGCGATCGGCCAAAGCCGTAGAACTGTTGTGTGTTTGGGTTTCTACGAACGAAATAGATGGAAAGTTCGCAGGAGCGGAGGAACGAGCTAATTAACGAATCGAAGATCGACTGGTTCGAGACTCGAGAATGCAATCTATCTCAGCCCATTGGTACACGTTGATCGATCGCGGTGGAGAAGCCTGATCCAGCATCGATCGACGATCATTGCGTTTTAATCATTTTTAAACACTGTTAGTTTTATCGTGAGCGACGCGAACATTACATGTATAGATAGTTAGATAAATAGATAGGGAATTTTGTGTTTGCGAGTGAAAATCGGCTGGAGAGACCGTGTCGAGAGTAAGATAGATCCACGATGAGAAATTCACTTGGATCGTGAGAAGAGGATGACGACGCGGTCACGTGGTGCTCTCTTGGATCGCGATCGTCCGCGCATGCGTGTTCCGTGGCCGACGAAAACTCACTCGAAAAACCTGTACATATTATTTTGCGATGAAATGAATCTATTGTTTTCGCGTTTCCTGTCTAATAGTGGAAACGGATTGCCTCGTACGTTCGGCAAGCAGGATATTAAGAAACTGTATTTGCGACTTGAAAGCAGAAAAAAGAAAAAAAAAAAAGAGAGAGAGAAGGAAACGAACGATCCCTTTTTCTTTTTCACTTTTTTCAGCTGTTTGCGTTATCGAGCTGTTCGAAAAATTCGTAGCAGCCTTTATTGTGAATTTCTGTCATTTTATCTATGGTTAATTGATACTCTTGCCTTATAAATCTACGTTCGTGAAATATTATTGATCATGTAAGGTAGAATCGTTACTTCAAATTTACATCTCAAATCGATAAATTGAATCAAAGTTCACAATATTTTGGTGATTTTCATATTAATCAGTTTTTTTTTTTTTTTTTTTTAGTTGTAACTAAAGTGTTCACTTTTACTTCCCTCGTTCACCGAATATAATTTCATTATTTTTTTTTTTTTTTTTTCGTGGTCCTATTATCAAGACTTACTTGGGAGACACGAACAAATGAAATGAATTTCTAAGAACTATTTGAAGGAATGCATTACTGTGAAGGGGATGACAAATTTTTCGTCAACATAGAGAAGTAATTAAATCTTCTTTCAATCTAACGTTGTGAATTTTCCGAGCAGCCTAGATGATAGCAAATACTTTCCATTGTGAACAACAAACATGCGATATATATCGTGATTTTTTTTTTTTTTTTTAAGTATTGGGAGGCGTTATTATTCCCAAATTAAAGGGAATCGTACGTATCGTATGCATCTTATTTAACTAACTTATCCTCTTATTTATTTATATGTCGTTCGTCCTTATGAAGCGTCACAATTCGCGCGTTTTTTCCCCCTCGTTTCACCGCGTCGAGGAAAAATCACGCTTCTGTTTTACTATTGCGCGAAATGAACGTCATCGATGGATTGCAGATATTTATGCAAATTCATTTCATCAGAATGATTAAAGAAACAGTGTCTAACAACATAAGTAGAGATTCGTTTCGTTCTGCCAAGTGCGATGAAGGTAAAAGCAATCCGAATACGTCTGCCTCGTACTTTTCGACATCTTATACACCGTTTCCTATTACGCGCGTTATGCAAATTTCTTGCACTTTAATGCTTGCATAAATGCATGAACATCCGCAATCTAGTTGTCAACGACGGTCAGTTCTCGCGACAACGAATTGAACGAGAGTCCTGATACACACTGTGTATATGTACGATACTTTGATCATTGTGATACTTGGAAATAAGTAATTACCGACGTGCCGTTATGTATTACGTTTCTTTGTCCCTTTCTTACCTTAATCTTTTCTTTTTTTTTTTTTTCCACTCCAAGCGTCTTTTGTGTTTCTTTCGTTCGCGTTTGAAGACTATAGAGGAAAAACACGATAAGTCGTATTTTCTAATTTCTTTTTTTTTTTTCACGTCAATTTCAAGAATGTTAATTGATTAATTAATTCTGCGTTACCAAAATTATCATTTCACTTAAAAAGCATTGTCCTCGTCTCAACAATAGATACTTTTGGCCAAGATTTTCTCCAATTTTTAGTTATCATTGAAATCACATTGAAATATTCGTTTTCAATCATGGAGCGATATTAAGATTCAAAGAGAGAGAGAGAGAGAGAGAAAAAAAAAGAGTACTTATCATGTTCTTTTCCTGTGATCTTCATTTTTTGACGAATCGGACCTCGCTCCCTCACATTTTCTGTTCGAACGATTCGAGTCGCGAGTGTGTGTGTGTGTAAAAGAAAATCATCGAAAGGAATCTGTTCCTATATAGATCGTACGATTGTTCCTCGTGGCTGACATCAACGCCATCGGATTGATAATCAAAAATCATCTGAACGCGAATCGAAGTATTTTTTAATTCTTATTGTTAGAGACGTGGAGGATCTCGTTGGGAGAATACTTGTATAAAATATGCTTGTGATGCGTGTTTTCCCCTGATCGACGATATGTAGCGTAGTAAACTGGGAATATTCGAAATCGGAGGGATAGCTACGACCGCGTTGAATACGTACATCCGCACAGATACGCAGATACAGGTATTGAAAGCAAAGAGTAAAAGGGAAGAAAGTATGGAAAGTAAGAAAGAAAGAAAGAAAGAAAGAAAGAAAAACAAGAGGTGTCTATGATACGCTGGCGTATCGTTTCAATGTTTTTAAGAAGATGATTGCCGAATCCGTCTCCTGTTTTCTTTCTTTCTCCCTGTATACGTGTACATGTATCCAGCAATTGTATATTTTAACAGAGTAATGCTCGTTTGGTAAATAAAGTTCAAAAGAAGAAGAAACGAAATATTAAATAAAGAGGAGATGATGACGGAGATTATTATTTTGTGTCTTGTGATCGATGACGGATGGGTGAACGCCTGCTACAACTATAACTACATATATATATAACTACATTCTGATAGATTACTTGTATTTGTTTATAATATACCACGTAACAACAAGGAGAAATACTGAATTAAACAAGGACCACCTACGTTAGGTGTATCACACACAGGCACGGAGTCACTCAACGTTTTTCGCGATTCTTTTGTTTATTGGCAAAATACGGTTTTAATACTTGTAATACGGGTAAGTTTGCATGATCTTGCTGGATCTGCTTGTACTGCTGGACGCAATGTTAAATTCGCAGTTCCTGTTCGCGAATCCAAAAGGTGACGACCAAATATTTCTTAAAAAGAAAAAAGAAGAATCCATTTCCGTAGAAAAAAACGAAAAAACAGTCATTGATAACGAAAAGGGAGAGAACGAACGCATGAATTTGAGAATGTGGTCAAACGACCGTACCGGATACGTTGCAATACACAGTATAGTACTGTAAATGACATTTTTTCAAACTTTTTTCCTTTTCGTTTCTTCAGAATACAAGATTTAAAAAAATATAGGTGATTATGAAAGATAACCGCGTCATGATACAGAACAATGAATAATTATGTTTTTGAAGCTATAACTCTTACCAAAGATTTGCATCTTCGTTCAATATAATTTATCATGTGTGTTCGCAATAATTTTAAATCAAATCGTTCTTATACAGAATATCATAAGTTAGCTTGAACTTTTGAGAAAAGGAAAAAAGATTAAATCCACAATAAGGCTGTCGTTTCGTCGCTAGATCGCTCAACTAATGTTCAACTTATGCTCACTAATTCTACTTGTGTTCAAATTTTCTAATGAAATGCACAAAAAACCGGAGTATTGATTTAAAAAAATAAAAAAGAAAAAGGAAAGAAATGTTTCTTCGTATTAATTCCTTCTCGATTAAAACGACGCTCGACACTTGCGAATCAACAAACTCACTCCAACTAATACGCTATTCTTCGCACACGAATGGACGCTACAAGTTTTAGTAAATTAAATAGTAAAGGGAAATCACTGACTCCAAGCGATAATAATACACAGACAGATACTTGAAAATTGGTACTGATATCTCTATCTGGTGATGAGCAATCGTTATTAGCTGATTAAATTATTTCGAACTGTTTATCTAGGTGTAACGTAGCGATTAACTATAAATAAAAAATAAAGAGGAAGACAAATTATCAAGTGTCTATATCAGCACTTTGGTGCGCAACAATTGTACACATACACACACGCGCACACACACACGCACATATGTATATATATATATATATATATATATATATATATATACACCCGCTCGCTCGCGCAATTAACATTTGTTTACATATGTAAAATACGTGTGCGTAGATTTGTGTACGTATACGTTTCTCTTTCTCATTCCGTCTGATTTTTTCTTTTTTTCTATTTTTTTTTTCTTTTTGTTTTCCGCTCGAGGCAAACTTGTGTCATGAGACATTATAAATATAAACGTTGCCTAATAGTAATTAAGTAATCCTAAAAATAAATATCTATCACAAAAGACGATCTATAATATAAGTGGCTTTTGCGGGTTATGGTAATTCCCGGTGTTGCAAAGTATTCGTGTTACCTTACTCTTCTCTCGACGTCACACACCTTCTTACCAATTCTTACGTCAAATATTTAGAATTAGTACTTTCTAGTTTACGTATCGCTGCTTTAACAAATGTTTTTGTAATAAATGCGGCAATGATCGAGATCGTTGCCGCTTGTACTTTCATCGCACATCTATCGTACACATCACGACTTAATTAATGTTCATGAGTCACAAATTAACAAATTGCTGTACCGTAATTTGTTATCAAATGGTTCAAACAACGTTTGATCGCGCACGATTTTTCAATTGTTCTCTTGCACGCAGTAAAGGAAAACGTTCGTGCACGGGCTACGATGAAACGATCATAAGAGAGGCATTACTTAAAATTTCCATTTCTTTAAACAGCGCAGTCTTTATTCTCCCGAATATGTCGTTCGTGGTTCGTGTACCGTAGCAATGGTGCCCCAATCACTGCATTCGTTTCCTCCTCGTTGTTCACTGAACACGTAACGATCTCTTCTGAAAATGAAAAACAGAAATAAATTTTAGAGTAAAAAGAAACAGAAAACTAGAAGATACACAGAGGACAAAAATATTTACGTACCGGGTAAACATAATTGTAACTGATCGCTACTAGGATTGGTACTGTCTCCTGTACCGCTGTCTTTGCTATGCTGAGAACTCGTTTCCAAATATATGTGTGTTTGCGTGTCTGCGACTGTAGCTGCTATAGCTGACGATGGTTGTGAATTTGTGGTCTGTGCAACAGCGTTCAATCGTCTTCTAGTTTGATAAATTATAACCACCCATACTACGGACGTGCCAACAGCGCAGCATACAACAGTGATTATTATCAAACCTAATATATCGTCCTCGTTAGGACTAGGAGCTGCAACACGCAGTATTTCTGCATACATTTTACTTTAGATTTGAGAAAACAAAAAAGGAAGAAAAGATCTAACTCGCTAGAACCTTCTTACCTGGTTTGACTGTAAGATGGGATTCACCAACGACACTACCCAATGAATTGCTCATTTCGCACTCATAGCTACCAGCATCGCTAATTTTAGTGTCGACAATTATCAGCAACTGATCTTCGGCTGTAAAGAAATGCCGTTCAGTCGCTTGCAGAGCATCTCCATTCTTGCGCCAGGATAGTTTTGGTCTGGGCATACCACTTGCCATGCACTCCAATACAATCGAACCACCAACTGTCACTTGTTTATTTTCCATTGGTTTTACGAATGACGGTGTTTCTTTTGGAAGAAAATAGAAAAAGTTACCACCATATGTGATTATTGATTTCATGCTAATCAGTTGTAATTGCATTGCGTGAAGTTGCATGATACTTACCCAGTATCGTAAGAGTAGCATTCGCAATGATTTTACCGGCAAGATTTTGCGCAGTGCACGAGTAAACGCCGCTATCGGCAGTTTTCACATCGACGATGAACAGTACATCGTCAGTAGGCATCATGTGCATTCGTCTTTCTCTTGCCGCTGGGAAGTCGTTACCACCATCTTTTTGCCACGCTATTTGCGGCGATGGTTGCCCTTCCGCCGAACACTCGAGTCGAGCAGTGTTGCCAGCGGCTATACGTATGTCGTGTGGAATTTTTGAAAAAGATGGATAAACTGTAAACGGAAAAAGAACTTATTAGTAGTATTGCTAACACGCTGTAATTAAAGTTCAACAAAAACTTACTTATAATGTTTAATTTTGCTTTAGTAGAATATGTCGTCCCATAAGTGTTGGACACCATACACTGATATTTTCCAGCATTTTCATTAGTAACATTAACAAGATGTAAAATAGAAGTTGCCACTGTTACACCGTTCTCTACAGAGGTGTTTATTTGTAGACTGGTATCATTCATTTCAACGTTACCATGCTTCCAGGTAAAATGTAATGGCGCACTGGCAGTACTCGTTGCTCGACAAACTAGCGTTACGTTATTGCCTTTAACGCCCATTTGACTTTTAGGTTCTTCGGTAATCCTTGGTTTTGGATATTCGTCTAATCGTCATATTCGTACAAAATCTTATTAGTAATTAATCTATGATAAAGTTAGGTCCGAGTTCTAATTTAAAGCGTCATACTAACCACATGTAAAATTTTTATGATGAAGTTGAATCAACGACATTCCTTGTAGCCAATGTGGAAATCCGCAATAAACTTCCGTGTCACTGTAGCTGTGTTCACGTAACCACATACTTAACCATTGCAAGCCACAATCACAAACTAAAGCTTCTAAACACACAAGGAAAGATGATGCAAATATTTTTGATTAGTCGTTTCCATTTATGTCATATCACAAAAATACACGTTTTACATTCGTACGTACTTGTATTCATTCTCAATCTCGTTAGACTAGTCATTGAAATGAATGCATTTTCCTGGATACTCGTTACATTGTTCCCACTTAAATCGAGTTCAGTTACACTATTTAATCCAGTAAAGACATTCTTGTTTACCGATTTTATTTTATTGTGTGCTAATCCTAGTTTCCATAATTGTCCAAGTGAACTGAAGGCACTGTTAATATCTTCCACCATATATGAAATTTTATTGAAGTTCAATTCCCTTTAATAAAAAAATACATTAGATAAAGAACTTATGGAAATTCCAATTTTCGTATCGTTCATTCCATAAATACATACAATATTTGCAAATTAGGAGTAAAAGAAAATGCACCATCTGAAATATAAATGATTTGATTGTGATCCAGTTTGAGTTTTTCCAGTTTTTCCAAAAATTCGAAAGTATCTCTTTCAATACTCGTCATTTCGTTGTGTGATAAATCTCTGCAAACAAATTCTTACTTAATATAATCGAATGTACTACATTTTGAATTTCTTAATCCAATTATTATTTGTATATGTCACAGGATGAAAATATTACTAACAACTCTACGATCTCTTTGCATCTGTCCCATGCTTGCATTTCAATGGTGTGTATTCGATTGTGTGATAATGTGAACTTTTGTAAATGCTCTAAGCCAAAAAGACCACCTTTTCTCACTGTGGTCAACAAGTTAAAGTCAAGTTGTAGAATCGTTAAATTTCCAAGTGGCCAAAAGGCACCATCATGTAGCGTTTCAATCTTATTTCTCTTTAAACGCAATTCTTTCAAATTTTTTAAGCCTGTAAGGCTAAGGCCTTGAATTATTTGCAATTCGTTTCTATTTACTTCTCTGTAAAAAGAATATCGTATTTTTGTTATTGTTGCGATCACAAGCACCAACGAGTGGTAAAAAAATCACGAAACGAGATTCCTTACAATATACGCAATTTTTTCAAATTCGTAAAAAGATCTTTCAGTTGAGTCAAGTGATTTTTATTCAAACGTAATTCCTCCAAGTATGTTAGATTACCTAAACTTCCATTTTCAATTATCCTTATTTGATTCATGTTTAAGTTTCTGCAAGAAAAGTAGAAAAACGAAAGTTCTCATGTTGCGATTATTGTTACAAAACAACATGTAAATTGTATAAATAAATAGTTACATACAAATGTGTAAGGCAATTTGGTGCAAGAAAAGACCCGTTTCGAATAACGTTTATTTTATTCCCACTAATGTCCAAATTTTGTAGTCGTTGCAGCGTGAGTAAAGCAGTCCCATTTATATCGGTAATTAAATTATGGGCTCTATAAATCAAAATATCACTTGTTTTTATATTGCAAAAGCAAAAATTGTGCTTACATTTACAATCAATTACATTCAGTGATATAAACAATATACTTACAACGCAAGGTGCGTTATATTCTTGACAAAGAACATATCTGGCACTTCTGTTAATTGATTTTTATTTATTTTAAGCCCTTGTAAATATGCATCTTTTGATAGAACAATTGTAAAATTATCTCCAAGCTTGTTGGCACTAAGATCCCTTAAATGATTGCCAGACAAAATATTAGCATATAGACAATTTAAAGCAGTCTTGTTGAAAATGTTTGTTAGTTATTAGTTAAAATAATATTACTGCAAAGGCTACTCACAATTCCTTTAGTTTAGTTAAATGTAATAATACATCAGGCTCCAAGCTAGCGATGTTGTTCTCCCTCAACTCTCTGCAAAGAGAAATAATATTCTTGGCGTTATATTTATTCTTTTATTTCTCTTTTTTTTCTTACTTTAATAAAAAAATATTATATACTTAATACATTTATTATCTTTAGTTCTCCATAATATTTATATACATATCTATAAACACAATTGCCAGTGATAGATAATAAGTGGTCTTAAAACAATTAAAGATAAGGATTTTTACTTCAATCTTGATTTCCTTGACTTTAGACACTATTCTCTAAACACAGCTTCAAACGTCAATGCATATTGCTGCACACAGTTTAAAATCCTTGCCAACATATTTGGAAATAAAAACCTGTTTTCAGCATGAAGTCTTTCCATTTTTGGAATAAAATCACACATATGTCTTGCTAATACTATTTCAGTTTATTTAAGTACAAAGCCTATTTTGACTGCTCTAACACAGCTCAACTATTTAACAAATATTCTTATTATTATTAGTATTATTATTACGACCATATGATTTTAATATCATATATCTTTAACTTATTTAACAAATTATTCTAAATGGAATCTTACTGGGGAAATAGTTCTAAAATTATTTGTCATGTATAAGTTAATAACAAGAATACAAAGGCTACAATATATAGGATATAGTATGTAAATACCATAATAGTATGTTATACATGTAATACATAATGAATGAATAAGAATATTTACAAAAACAGGAGTATCTATAGGATAACAAGAAAAAAAGTATTTATTCTCATTTAATTCATAAAACCAACCTTGTTAATATTTTTGTTACAAATTCATGATACACTATCTTATCTGGCTAGATCATATTACATTGCATATACACACACGTATAGCTTTCACTGTAAATCTTAATGATAACTGTTATAAATGTAACTCGTAGGATTACTATTGAGAAAAAAATAAGAAAGAAAAAATGAACTTGTATGATTTTTCAAATGATAATCAACAACATTGAGACGAAAAGGCGGATGAATTTTCAAAGATGAATCGAGTGGAATTATCCGCGAAATGTGTAAGACGTCGTCTCGTGACGATGCACTGTTGTCCCCTAATAGAATAACGAGCGATTATTTACTTACAAGATCTCTGTCCATGGTGGTAGTTCGCTGGGTGCCCCGATCAATTGCAAGCTACTGCAGTCAACCACGTTCCCAAGGCACGAACACTCGACAGGACACTGATTATCCTTCGCGATATCGTACATTATCCCGTCGGCTTTCGTAAAGTTCGGCGAGGCTGCGAGCAACACCGATAATGCAACAGTCATCCATTTGTATCTCTGCGCAAGTCGAGGCTCAAGAGAAACTTGCCTCGTACTCGACATCGTACGCACCGTCGTATCCTTCCGCTTAAAATTTATTTCGTAACTGTACATCGCGCGCCGACGATTTTCCCCATAGCTGTTCGCTGAACAACGACGACATTCCTCGCGAGAGCATTACAGTAACAATAAAAATGCCTGTGTCCCATCGATTGAAAACAAACTCGTCTCTCTCAAAAACGCTTCGGCCCACACACCATGATGACGCCCACGGACCGATGCCGAGACTCCCTCACTGATTGCGCGATGCCATTCTCTCTCTCTCTCTCTCTCTGTTGCGTCTCCTGCAACGCTCCAACCTCTATGTCACTAGAAATTTAATCACTAGCTAGTAACGTATTCCACGTTCAATAGCAAGTATACACATACACCGAGAAAGTACTGAAAATATATATAAACATATTTTCGAATGTACTTTCGAATTTTTCGATAAAAAGGTACGAATGGCATGCAAATATTATAAAAACAAATTAACATGTACGTACGAAGCAAGTTTAAAATATTTGAAACCTCTAGCGTCTCCAAAATGAAAAAATTAAATAATTAATAGTACAATACACGTATGAAACGTAAGAATGAATTTATTTTCAGCATAAACATACTCTAGCTTAATCTTTGGTATGTATTTGTGTGCTTTTGTTCCTTATAATTTTAGCCAAATCTCTTGGGATCAACTCTAGATTTATTATGAAAATAGAGTGATATCCGTTTGAAATAAGGACAGGTGTTGTTAAAGAAGTCATCGGTTGTTACTAAATATTTATATTTGTATTATCATTATCATTATTACTCACTCTCTATCTGTATATTTATATCTTGTCAATAAATCACTATTTCACAGCATCACTTACTTTTCTCCCAAACAAATCATTAACATTACACATGAAGCTTCCATGAAACATTAAAATATTTTTGTCCAAGTAGGAAATGTATATATACGCATATATGTATTCTTAAAAGAATATATACATTTATATTTCTTATATGAAATCGATCGTTCAAATTCTTTGTTAACATTATGCATCGAAAAAACTATCATAACTGTTGCAGTTTCTTTTTTTCATTTCATCACGAAAATTTTATTTACGGGCTTTAAGCCCACGTGGAAATTTGAATTAAATAACCGTGCAATTATTTTGCTCAAGTTACGATTATATCGAACTGGAATAGATCAAGTTTAAAGTAGTTCATACAAATTACGTTCTTCCATTTGTAGTTGAAATTGTATTTTGAATTTTATAATAATTCAACAGAGTCCCAAAATGTATATCCTTGAACATTTTTTATAAAAATAAAGAATGAATTTCTTATGCGTAGATATCTACTACAATTGTATGATCACTGACAGCAATGAAGGTCAGTGATAAAACGTTTAATTAACTGAACAAGACGTTGATAATTGCATTGTCATTGCTTATGACAAAAGCACCAATACTAATATGTATAATGCTCGCTATGTCGTATAAAAATTTTGCCAACAGAGCCTAATTAACATAAGCTTTTAATAATTTGAATGTAATATAACAACTATGTCCACATAAGAACATACTAAATGATATCCAGTGGATAGTACAGTAAACATAAAATCCAAACAGCTCGTTTTTTATGTAAAATAATTTGAAATACAGATAAGAAGCAAATACTTTTTGTTTTACAATTTCTTCAGCTACAATACGCACTATTTTCATCAGAGATTCACATCCTAAGACCAGGTCACATCAAAATAAGAGATATTATATTTAAAAATAATAAGATTAATTTTATATGCCACAAAATATGTTCCGAAAATAGGTTTTCAGTATTTGGAAATATGAAACCATCGTAAATATGGTTGAAAATATACATAGTATAATATTTTTTTCTGGTACATATTACTTATGATATTCACAATGCATACAATTGTCTATGACTACTTGACCGAATCATCAAAGTCAAATAGATGCTACTCTTCGTTCAACTCAAAATATTTTCAGCAAGATCTTACGTATTTTGGTTGCTCCATTTACTCGAGCGTAAAACAGAGAGATCTTTTGCAGCCATAGGAAAAAAGCTACGTTGGATTTAGCAGAAAATTAAGAACTATGGCGATTACTTTTTGATCGTAAATACACTTTACTTTTTTTCAATGATCCACGTGCAGAACATTACCCTGTAAGAGGGAATGACCTATGTAGAAGACATTTGTAACTCTTTATAATACAAGTATTATTATTACTTAGCATGCGAGCAGGTATGTTGAATACAATGGCAAATACAATCGACCATTAACAAGAAAAGGCCCCTTTGCTAGTTAGAAGCCATTATATGTAGTAATAAAATTAACGGATTTTTTTTTCAATTGTTCTGTTCAGCACAATAATATTGTTTGATTACCGATTAGCTATTCCATTTTCCACTTCCATGGTGTTAAGTGGTTGGATGATATGAACTAATCAATGCTGCATCTACTGGCTCCATGCACGATGGACATGTCAAGGAACGCAGCAACCAATCGTCGATACATACAGCATGATACGTGTGCATACAGGGTAAATAACGCACTTCTTCACCCACTTGGAGCTCCATCATACATATCACGCATTCTCCTTTCTTAGTTCCGTCGTACTCTCTCATAGGCAAATGTTGAATAAGTCCAATGCGTTTTGCTATTCTAACTTGTTGTTCTTCTTCAGTACCTGGTCCTAGATTAACACCGATGCCAATTTGTTGAAGGTGAAGTTCTCTTGTGAAAACTGGCGCATATGAAAAGGTAACTGCTTCCTGTGGAATCAAGTTTTGTTGAATACAGTAACTAGATATTTATGTCAATAGCTGTTATTAACTGTACGAGCAACAAAAATTTGTCAAAAATTCAATTTAACATTATCTAACGTGACAAAAATCGGACGTTATTGTCACTTGTCTGTGTATCTCAATTGCATCTTATTACAAGAGATATTCGCGTCGTTAAAAATAGAAATCAAAGAAATCGAACGAGTAGATAGTCGCGAACAATAGGGATAGAGGAACGGGCGACGGGATATCGTGACTGATCGAAGCATAGTAAGAAATGAGAATTACATTGTTAGGTATCGGAGGTCCAAGGCCTTCTTGCAAAGAGCCGCTAGTTAACGTAGGAGGATCAGAATTATTACTCAGCAAAGTGGTATTGTCCTGTTGACCGCTTCCAGCGCGTTTCAAGCAATTTCCCATTTTGGTGGAACGTCGGCTCTGACTCTGCGTTTCTCGGGCAGCGTGGTCTCTCCTTTCTTTTGAATCCCAACGTCGCGATTAAACATTCGCGATTGCTTCGACGTGGGATATCTCGAGGCCTGTCCCCATCATAAGTCCCTTGTTTCGCCGCCTCGATGCACGTAACGAAGCCTGTCTCGGTCTTCGAACGAGATGACAGCTCGTATCTCGGCTGGAATGTCTCGTGCACAGAATCTCTCTACTACCAAAACATCTTCCGTCGTCGCATACCCATGCCACAGCTGAGCGCCCGACGCATCCGACGAGACGTAACAAGACGGGGGGTGAAAAAAAAAACAGGCCAGTTTAGTCACAGGTTGTGAAAAAAACACTTTTCACATCCCTCGCGCGACGTTCTTTAAACGTTTAGTACACACCGTTGCTTTCATCCTACTGCGTAGAAGATACCTCACCGTGATTCGTCGTTGCGACTGTGTCGCATTTTCCAACGTCCAATCACCGATCGAAGACACCGCGCGGACACGAAGATTTCACCCGAAGTGTCACTACAAGAGGGAGGGCACCTCTTTCCGTAGTGTTACGTACATTCCGTTCGAAAGACACTCGGCAACTAACCTACGATTGGCCTGACTCGTCACGGAACGAAGCTCTGTTTATGCACTGTGCATTCAGCTTAAATCAACATGCAGTTACATGCATATGATGATTTAGTTTAAAAATCAACGTTGATGATCACGCTTTCCTTCAATTTCAGTTGTTTCCCATGATCTTTCGAAAATACGTTGACTGATACTATATAACAAAGTACACACTGATCACATGACTAACGAATTCGAATAGATATATTGACAGTAGAATATAACACAATGCAAAGTCCGCGTAGAGACAACACGAGGTACAAGATTGGATACACGAACGTTGCTCGACTGACACTGTTCGTACATCTTCGTTCGTTTCCGCCTCTATTCGTTCGTTCTCGACATTTTCCGTATGCATTGACGTCATCTGATGTTCGGCCGTTTTAAAGAAAAGCACGGAAGTTGAAAATTCGAAGAATTGGATTTGTTTTACTATGCAAAGATGATTGTTTATCGTTCCCTTATCATACCCTTTGGCGACCTTGCACGCTGATATCTCGAATGGTTCGTAACTTGCAATTTCATTCAACGATTATATTCGATTACTTCAGACTTCCGTTTCGCAATAAATATGCACATTCGAAAATATGTATAATGTTCGAAAGTGTGCTAGCTTCACTTAGCAGGTATGATTTACACATTTGTTCTTTGTTACATGATCTTTAATTTAGACTTCAACGATTGATGATTTTATAATACGGAGACGAATACAGATAGCCGAAGCGGATTTCTTTCGAGGCAACATTATAATCTTAACGAGAATATTAGAGTTCGAAATAATGCTAGGAGCATATACATACTTGTTGCATTGTTAAGGATGCTGAATAAAATAGAATAAAATAGAATAAACTAGAATAGAATAAAATATAAAATAAATAAATATAATAATATAATAAATATAATAATGAAATAAAATATAAAATATACAGATAAGTATACAGATAAAACGATAGTCGTATCGTTCATTCCGTAGATAACGAAAATTTGTAACGAAATAATATTGTTGCGAGTAATAAATATTCATAAGAATTTTAGATGCCTGGGAGAGATGTCTTTCGTTGTTATCTTATCTAGTTTTGACCCGTAACCTCTAGTAAATAATAAAAGCAAGAAGACCTTTGGTCCTGACCCTCTCCTCTCTGAAAAGAGGGACAGCGCAGTTGGGTCGGTGCCGTTGTCCATTTGGTCAGCGGACATAGCCGGGGCAGGAAACACTTACTTAAACGATCTATCGCGCAGCCGTGTGTTTCCTATCAAGCGCGTACAGTTACGGCCTGTTTTGCACCCCAATCCCATTCTTAGTTCGATTATTCCGCATCGATCGAGTGATTTCTTCACGCATTGTTTTCCATCGTCTTCCACACGGTACGAGTTTCATTATCTTCTTTCGCACAGTGTTTGGAATCTATCGTTGACATTCTACTACAAATTATTTTGTAATCGAAGTTCAAGGGGCGATGAATCGACAAGGGGAGGAGGAGGGGGAAGAAGGAGAGGGATAACGAGATCGAAATGTTGCAGGAGGGTTCGAGCACTTACGATATCGTGTTCCGGTCACCAAAGTGTGCTGAACCACGCGCGAACTCGTTCATTCTCAAAGCTGCGAGTAGACTACAACGTACTCAAGGGGATGAAGTAAGCGAGTGTGAACGATCGATCGGATAACGAAGAATTAAAATGATTTGGCATCATCGACAGACACGGGGACGTGTCGCTATTTTTTTTCTCTTCGTGATTTCTCTTGTTTTCGCCTCGGTGAAGTCGGGTAAGTTTTTTTAATTCAACGAGAGATCAATCGATGACGTTCGATTGACGCAAGTTCGAACGAAACAGTATGAAATTCGTTTATAGGGCAATTTATCGGTTATTCGTATCGATTTCTTTTTTTCATCGGACGGTTATCGGCGCCGCGTATTGTTTAACGTTTCTTTCCAAGAATTTACATCGGTTATCGGTAAAGCGCGACAAATGTAGAACGCATTTCTGAGAATGAAACGCAGTCTTGGGTGAATAATTTAACCACGAAATCTCGTTACAGAAATCGTCAGAGATTCTACGTTGTGCGGCCGAACAAAATGCAAAGGTAAATTATATAAAATGGTTTAAGAAACTTTTATAATTCTGTAGAAGGGAGGAAAGTAATAACTGTTGTTGATCAACGTTCACAGTGAGAGCGGACAAGAAATTCAAATACGAAAAGAACGTGTCGTACTGGTACAGATATTCGGTAGACGTGAGCACAAATCTGGGCAATGTGTCGTCGTTATCGTTACCGGATTTTCTTGGGAACGAGTCCACGCTACGATTGGATACGGACTTGGTAGTTCGTTTTAGCGGCCCTTGCGAGGGTAGCTTGAAATTCGAAAATGCCAGCCTAAGTCACGACCCTCGGAAATACAATCCAGAATTCCCCGATCGCGCTGGTGCGGAGTTCAAAGTGAATTTGGAACGTTTCTCATTGAGGTTTGCCTTCGACGACGGACGGATTGAAGAACTTTGCCCGGACAAACGTGACCCGGTCTGGGCCTTGAATCTGAAAAGAGGCGTGTTGTCCATGCTGCAAAACACCATGCACAGATTCGACGTGGATTACCGTGCGAATGAATTAGACGTGAATGGCATCTGCGAAACGAGTTATCGTTTCCACGAAGTGAGACAGACCAGTCTGATCGTGAAGAAAACGAAAAATCTGTCGAACTGTTTGCACGGGGCGAAACACTTCTCTGTAATTCGTTCGAACGCTTACAAGAGTCCACGATCGGATGCTAGCGGCCCTCGTCACCCTCTTCTTCAATCCCGAAGCGATTGCGAATTAACGATTGATCACAATGTTTACGAGAAGATTGTATGCAACGAGCTTCATCTGTTGACACCGTTGTCGAGTGGCAACACAGGCGCAAGAACCAAATCGACGACTACACTTCAATTGATCAAAGAGTCCAGAAACGATTACAGCTATAGCGACGAGTATGAACAAAGCGACGATTATGGAGCTACCCGGGAGGAAGATGAAGGAAAGAATGAAAAGGATAAACATGGACGAGGATCGACGAAAAGAACGAATTTGTTATATGATTATTCGAAAACACCGAAGACCGTTCACGGCGAGTTGAGGAGTGCCAGAGATTTGTTGAAAACAATGTGTAGACTAGGAATGAGCGTGGATGAGTTGCAGCAACGATTTTCCGAGACGTTCACTGCGTTTATTCAGTCGGCGCGGCTTCTCGACTATTCCTCCTTGTCGCAATTATTTGTCAGAGCTCACGGTATTTGCAAAACTGGCAAGTGAGTAACATTAAAAAGAAAATCTTGCAGGACTGATGATCGATTCAGGTGGATCACGCAGAGAAATGATGGACTGAAGTATGAAATCTGAGTTTTAAATTTTTACTGATACAACCACGATAGTCGTGGCTCATTATAGTTCTAAATTTCTAAAAAATGCTTCATGTAACATATGTGATATATTTATAAAAAGTTTCTATATACTTATTTTTCATTTTCAATATTTACATGTTGAGATACTATACTATACTTCGCGTTTGTCATTTCTTCCGATGATATCTATCAAATTTTATTCGGTTGGTCATCAGTTTTTCAAAATAATAACCGCACGCGATCTAAACATTTTTCAAATTATTTTTTACATTATTTTATCATTTATATTATATCATTACATTTTATATTTTTTACATTATATTAATATTATTTTTTATTAATTATTCCGTAGGAAGCACATCGTCGACGCATTACCATTCATTGGCAGTAATGCAGCCTTAAATGTAATGAAAGATTTAATAATAAAACGATACGTCGATCATGCGACAATCGACAAATGGGTTATCGCTTTCGCGTTAGTTCCTCGACCAAATCAGGATACAATCAGAGCTTTGTCACCCCTTCTCGATTTTCATCACCACATTCCGGATACTCAGTTCATTTTGAGCTATTCCACAACGATCTATGGTTTTTGTTCTACTCATGACGTCGATTGCACCAACATCGAACAAGTGACACGATTGCTTTCATACTTGGAGCAGAAAATCGAAAAGGGATGTGCACCTCGGACGCATTCAGTTTCTACAGTCAAAGAGGTATACTAAAGTTCAAGATATTCTTTTTTTTATTTATTTAACTCTTCAATTTTCATGAAAGAAAGTTAGATGAGGAAATTTGAACACTTTTATATCTATTGTACAAAACAACAAGTTTCAAGAATTTATATTAAAATACATTAAATTAAAATACATTACATTAAAATACATTATTATTCATAAGTATCGTACGGAAATCGAGCACTTTATATGGAAAGAACAAGTTTGAATTCCTTTTTTTTCTTTTAAGTCAATAATTAATATTTAATTTATAACAATACGTAATATAACAATACATAATATAATAATTGATAAAATTACATTTAATAATCGTCCGAATATTCTTAACGTGTAGTTTATGTGTAAAATATTCTTATTTTTATTAAAATAAATTACAAATGGTTTTACTATATTTTCCTATTTTAGCTTTATAATAAAAAAAAGCGATTGAAAAATGAATGAAATCAAAGATTTTGCAATGAATTAGCGTTTATTAATTAAAACAAACATTAAATTAACTACAATAACAAGTTAGACGCTATAAACTATCGAATAGATAGACGCTATAATTATATTATCGAATAATTGAAAGCCGACATCTGTAGGTGTTTATAGAAGTTGAAGGATTAAATTTTGGATCAACATAGGATCAATTTTGGTCCACGAGCATAAATTCAAAATATTCCAAGAAATTCTCCAATTGTAATTGAATCTACTTAATTCTTCTTTATTTTTACAGACATTAGAGGCATTGAAAGCAGTCGGAAATATGGGCTTGGAAACAAAAAGACTGCCAAAATTATTAAAGGAATGCATAGACGACGTAGGAGGATTTTTACCCATGGAGATTCGTGTAGCAAGTATCGACGCTCATCGTAGAATGCCATCCTGTGAGAAAACACGAGATCTCTATTTTTTGAACTACTACCGAAATTTCAGTTTGGATACGGAATTACGTATCGCATCTTATTTACAAGTGATGCGTTGTCCCGATTACAATGTCGTTAAAACAATCAAGCACACGTTAAAATCTGAGGAAATTAATCAAGGTATTTGTTAAATTTTATTACTCTGAGGAAATTAATCGAGATATTTGTCAAAAAAATTATTCTCTTGTGGATTTGGATGAGATCTTTTTTAAGCAATTTGTTATTGGGTACAGGCATCGAGAAAAATAATAGGAAGACCTCGAAAAAGATAAAATATTTTATCAATAATCTATTTTTCTTCATAGATTACACAAGGATTTTTATTGTAACATACAAAGTAAAAAATGATTGAAAATCTGTCAGATCCCTTTCATATTTCGTAGATATCTTTATTTCATAAAGACTAAAAACTTTATTTTACGTAACACGTTTAAAAAAATCCCATTTAAATCTGAATTCTCTTCTAGAGTCTTCCTCTGAAGTAGAATCGATTTCGACGTTTTGAAATTTTGTTTTACAGTTGGAACGTTCGTTTGGAGTCATTTGACAAATGTACATAATTCCGCTTCGCCGACCAGAGTCGAGATTCAAAGTCTCCTAACGGATCGCGATCTCGACGACAAATTTAACAAGGACAGAAGGAAATTTTCACGAAATTATGACGGATCCTTTTTCTCAGAGGAATACAATTTCGGCGCCAATTATCAAGGAAATTTAATCTTTTCTCCCAAATCATATATACCTAGAACCGCCACGTTCAACTTGACTTTCGACCTATTCGGCGAATCGGTGAATGTTTTCGAATTAACCACCAGGCTCGAGGGCTTTGAATATTATGCAGAGAAATTCTTTGGTCCTGATGGACCGTATAGTAACGAGAAAGTATCGGGTTTCTTTAAGTATTTATTCAGAAACCTCAGAGCGGCCCCGGAAGAAAAAGAAGACTATTGGGAACGTGTAAAAAGCCTGCCGAATGTTATCGACAACGAGTTCATTGAACCCAGAATCAGTTTTAGCTACAAGGTGAGATAAAGAACGTAATTTACGATAAATAAATAAATAATAACGATAAATAAATAAATAAATAATAGTTCTCTGAAAGTACAAATCAAATTTTAACCTGAACTATTGCTCCAAAAAATGTTACGTATATTTTGCATATACAGTAGGTGAGACATACGTTGATAACTTCCATGTTATATTGTATTGCCTTATATAACGTATTATAAAACTGATGATTTTTCTATTCGTTTGCAGATATTTGGAAGCGACCTGAGATATTCGATGTATAACAACGACCGCGAAATTAGAGAAGCCTTAACACGCATAAATCCATGGGAGAAGTTCCATCAAATCGCTTCTGGAAAGGAAATTCACTACGAAAATGCAATAATGTTCTTGGATTCCACTTACGTCGCACCAATGATATCAGGGCTACCGGTGCGTTTGGACTTTGCTGGTTCTGCGGCTTGCAATTTTAAAATGTCAGGATTATTGGATACTAAGGGGATCTCTAAGGGAGAGCTCGAGTTAATCAGCAACGTTGCACCGAGGTATAATTAAACACGTCGTCTCTTTTCTTTTTCCCATCTTTTTCTTTTCCTTTCTTTCTTCAATTTCCTTTTTCCTCCATGTAACATGCAAAAATGCATAAAATATCTGAAATAGAATATTTATTATAATATCTAGAGATAGAAACAAACTTCTGTTTTTATTATTTGATCTGATAACGAACAAATTCCAATAGATTAAAATAAAAGAAAAAAAAGAATTGTTATTATGTGCCGCGGTATTGAAGGACAATAAACTTCATTCCAAATATAACTCAAACAAGAGAAAAAGTTGACATTGTTGGTATATCGATTAAATTAATTTAGGAGTTCAGAAGTATAGTATGTCTTGGTAAGAGATAAAGAATTGATTAGAAGAATTTATAAATAATTTTATTAATTTTAATTATTAATAATTTTAGATTAAAAAATCTAAATCTGTCTGCAACAAAATAGAAAATCTGAAAATAGTTATGGTGAAGATATGTCAAAGCCTAAAATGTTACATGTGTATTTAGTATTCATAAAAATTTAAAAATGCATAAAAATCTGCAATCCAGTAATCACTATGGAAGAAAAGTAATAACTTCTCTCATATATGTGTAAAACAGCATGAGCGTCGACGTCGTCGGCAGCATGACCGTAGACGCTTTTTACAAAACTGCTGGAACTAAATTACGATCGAATGTATACTCTTCTGGAGCTGTTAAAATCCATTTGGAAGTGAAAGGAATACGCTCGGTTAAATTGAGCTTGGGTTTGCCGAACAAACGCTTGGAAATATTTTCGGCTGGCACGGATATTCTTCTAACAAGAAGCAACGGTGCTGATATCGAAGAGAAGTCACTGGACGTTTTAATCGCAGGTCAACACAGCAACGATCGAGCTTTGATACAGATTCCGAAGAATGTGATTAGCAACACAAGCTGTACATGGACAGCTCTCGACAGATTAATGGGACTAAAGTTTTGCGTTGATTATCAGTTGTCAAACGTGACGAAAAATCCTAACGCGCCTTACTTTATATTGAGTGGGCCTGCACTTTTCAAAATTTCCTTGATTAAAGCTGATCCAACCGCCAAAGATTATCTGCTCATGTATACATGGAATAAAACAAAGGTATCTTCCCTTATTTTCATTTTCTGTATAACAAAGTATAATTAGGAGTTCAAACCTAATTAGACTAATTATAAGTTCATATAAACATACAGTATATCTGTTTTAAATATCCACATGTGATTGTAGCATGATATTAAGTAACAAATTCTCATTGTTTTAAACTTAACTCTCTGAAAAAAAACTGTATCACTCATGAAATCTAATATGTAATGTTTTCTTTCCTTTCATTCTAGAATGATAATATTTTCAAAGTCGCATTTGATACACCTGGATCGTTGGTTAACAGAGAGTTAAGCGCAATGGTTGCTTTTGACACGAACACTCACAATGTTACAGTTTTATTAAAATCTGCTGGAAATTCTCTGGTGGCGGAAGGTAAGCTTGTACCGTTACCAGAACATCAAATAAACTGACCAATTATCGTAATTAATTTCACCTCCTTTCCTTAGGTACCTATAAAAGCACGGAAAATGAAACATTCGTGGACATAGGTTTCGATATAAATGGTACTAAACACTTGGACGCAAGTTTTGGTTACGCAATCAAGAAGTTTCAATATGGACACACGATCAGCCCACAGATGCATTTAATCGTGAACAACGAACGGGTTGCTGCTTTCTCAGGTTTATCTCTATTAGACTGTTTCTAGTGACTGTTGATACTTTTGCAATTATAATAAAATTAATAGAAATGAAATTCATGTTGAAGTAAAATAACTAAAAACACGATATTGTTATACAGGTACAATTCGAAACGCCCAAAAAAACAACGTTTCTCAATGCGACGTAGACCTGACTTTTCAAACGAAACGAGTGTGGAGTAAATTGGGCGGTTATATCGTACGAAGAAACGTCAGCTTGACCAGTGTCTTTCAACTAGAGTATCAGCTACAACGAATGCCGAAAAAGGAGACCCTTCGGCTCGAGCTATCGTCTTTCAATCGCTCGTTAAAACCTATCACGCATAAAACGGTTGATTTGGAGTTGCAGTCCAGCGCGTATCCTCAATTGAACACGGAGATAAAAGCGTCGTACAAACAGGCACTTGGTCAGTTGGAGTTGCGCGCGGAAGTAAATTCGAGGCCGCATCTCAAGGACGACCGTCACAAACTCACTGCTCTGTTGAGCGTCTTCTATTCAAGAATGTATTTCCAAAATCAAGATACAAAAGTAAGCGCGTTGTTCGCCATAACGAAACCCATTCAAAACTTGGACGTCAAAATCGGAATTAATCACTGTGCCATGGTACCGGAATCGAAGACGGATTTGGTGATAGGATACGCTCCAGGTCGGTCAATTATTACAATTTCTTTTTAGTTTTACTGTAAGAATGAGGTTTTCAAATTCTTTCGTACAATTTCTCTATCCTCAAACAGAAGAGAATCCTGCCTTATTTTCTATTCGAAATTTTTTTCTCTGTTTAGGAAAAGAAATCAACCTGATGGTGAACCTAATAATGCCTCGCGGTCTGACGTTTGCCATGGAGGGTCACATAAACTTGACAATTCCAAATTTTAACTCCATGCTAGTCGACGTACGGATCACCGAGAGATCGAAGCGAACGTACGAGTTGGACCTTGCTGGAACATGGTTCAGCGGGCACAACATGACAGCACGAGGCACCTACTCGGACAGATCGATCGCCACTATAGTTAACCATAGCTTGAAGCTGATTTTAAAGTCTCCGAGTTTCGCCAATGATTTTCTGATAAATTGCAAAGTGTATCGGAACTACAGCGACGTTAGAATCGATCTGCACGTGGAGCAACTGGAGCAGGATAAGTACGCCTTCATCTTGACTCACACGGTTGTGACGCCCACGAATATCGTGTCGTACGTCGAAGGGAGGTACAAAGGGAACGTGTATTCGGTGATGACCGAAATCGATACGCGGCGAGAAATTAGTATGGAGATACATTTGGACAAGTGGCGAGACGTTCATCTGATATTGAGTGGTATTAACGAGGAGAACAAGAAGAGATTTGGAGCGGAAGTGAAATGGGACGCGAATCGAGATCCTGCGTTGAAGCTAGCGTTCTTCTTCTCGTTGGACCATCAAACGGCTCAATTACCGGCTCTTTCGAGTTCGGAGGAACAATTGGCTGAACGAAACGTTAGTACGATGGTCACGTTGACCTATCCTGGTCGATTTGTCGTTTGTTCCTGCCACGTGACCGCGCGCGGGTACTACGATTACATCGTAGATGCGGCAGTTGATTGGAACCCGGAGGAAACGATCAAACTGTTCGTCGCGACGGAATACAACGTAAACCGGTGGATAAAGTCGGTCAGTCTGGACACTCGGTTGCTCATGCCGTTTGAAAATTGGAAGAACACGGCTTTAAGCGTTAGGTACGAGCAAGAACAAAATAGGGTGAAACTAGACGGCAGTGCTCACTGGAGAGATTCACAGAAATTAATCGCGGAGCTAGAAGGCATTGTAGCGGAACACGATAACGTTAAAGAATGGAAAGCCAATTGTGGAATAAGCAGCACCGTGCATGACATTTCATCAACCACTGTCAACGTTACTCACAAGATAATTCATTCGGAAACTGCGGACACTCATCTACTAATTAAATACCATCCCGATAACGTGATCGACGCTTGGAGTGTCTGGTATTTGGACAAGGAATCCGACGACATTTTCAATCTGACCGGTAATCTGCATCTCGAGTCGCCGGTGACTCGCTACAAAGTGACCGATCTGAGGTGTCAGCTGCAAGTGTTGCCCGACAGCAAATTCCTCGGGGCGACTAACTTAAACCTGGACAAGAAAACTTACACCGGTAAACTGATCGGTGATCTTCGTCGTCTGAGGGAATCCATGGTGGAATTTAACGTCACCACACCGTTAGAAAAGTTTGCCTTCGTTCGCGGAAGATTCGGTTTCTCACAGAGGAACAGACACGTAGTCGCGGAGGTGCTTACTCCGGCGAACTCCATCGGCTTCGAGGTACTGTACCAATTTTTCACGCCGTATCACGACTTTGACGTTCGACTGTCGCTCGCCACGCCATTGGAAATACTTCAGAAGTTGCTTCTGATCGCCAAGTTGAACGGCCGAGAGGCGGACTTCCGAGTCGGGTACAATCGTATAATGGCTGGTTTCCAGGGTGTTTGGCGTTATCGCAACATCACCGATTTTCACTACAGTTACATGCTATTCACGCCTCTCGAAGGATTCGAGGAAACCGGGATCGTTACCAAATTAATTCTAACGCGTACCGAGGACGACCGTCTCGACGTCGACACAGAATTCTCTGTAAGAGTGTCCGACAAGAAGTTCAGCGACATGAAGCTCGGTGTTAGAGCAAGAGCTGGTTCAAAGCCGGCGCCGATTACTATACCGATCAAATCACCGATCGTCACGGCTGATCAGACGAAATTGGACGACACGGAACTGACAACGGAGAGAACCGAGCTGGATCAACTGTCGGAGGACTACGACGAACCAACCAGCCTCCATTGGCACGGCGAGATCGAGATCTATCCCGTGATCATCGAACCCATAAAGGGAGAGCTAGACGTAGACAGCGACGGGCCGACTTACAAGATCGCCGGTGGGCTGCAGTATTTGCAAAAGAAGAAGATCCTGCTGGAGAACACGTTTTGGATGGAGGATCTCTTCAACATGAAAAACGAATTGAACCTAATAGTCCCGTTCGAACTGTTCAACGAGATCGTTTGCTCGAACGCGTTCATCGTGAACATGGAAACTCTCAATTACAAGATGGAGGCGGTCGTGAACGTGCGTAGAAACGTGACGTGGTACGAGACCGGATTGCTTGCCACTTACATCTACCACGAGAGCGAGGTAGACGACTCGCAGCTGCACGTGCTCCACCTGAACGTGAAAACTCCGATAGACTCGCTGAAATTTATCAACGCGAACACCAGTTTGGACATCGACGAGAACTTCTACAGGGCTAAAGTCGGTATCCGCGCCCCGGACAGCGTCATCGATCTATTCGGATCTTTGGAGACGGAGGAAACGTTACTAGACACGGTGCTCACCGTCGAGGTCAATACGCCGTTGCTGAAGGTGCCGAGGTCCACCGTCACCGCGAAACGAGACTTCACTGCGAAGGAGAAGTACGCGAAGATCGGCTGCGACATCGCCGAGCCTGTCGGGCTCTCGTTTCAATCGAGCTGGTACGCGAAAGACGACAAAGTGAAAGCTTTCCTCGTCTTCAAGTCTTGGATAGAGTCGATGAGGAACGTCGAGGTTCAGGCATCTTACTCGAACGCGATTGCTAGCAACGGTACCGCGAGCTTGAACGTTCTGGCGAGGCATCAACTCGATCGGCAGTACAAATTACTCGGTAACTACAGCGACAGCGTGATCAAGGCCGAGTTATACACGCCTTGCTCGAACGGGAAGCCGCATTTCGAATTTCACGGCAACGTGATGAAGGAAAGCGACACTCTGCACAGATTCGACGGTGAGTTGCGAAACCGTGTGAACTCGAGTGTGGACGCCGTTTCCGGTGTCGTCGAACTGACGAAAAATGGTACTTTGCGGGCGTTTGAGGCGACAGCGCGGCCGAAGGGAGCTGAGGTCGGCGAAAAGGATGATTTGGTTTTGAAACTGAAGAGGGAGAAGTATGGATTGAATGCTGCGTTGATCGGTCGTACGGTCAACGGATCGTTGGACGCGAACTTCGTGAACTCTTTGAACTGGGACGTGAGGGCACGCGCGAACCTCCCGAACCAGAATGATGACGCGGTGATCCGGTTTGTCTCGTTCATGAACGTTCAGGTGAACGACAACACGACGCTCTACGTTCACGCGGAGACACCGTTGCCGGACGTTCGGAACGTCACACTTATCGGAAACGTGTTGACGTCAAACAACAGCGGTGACATCCGAGCGAACGGTTGGTTGAACGAGCACGCTCGGCAAATGATTCTCCAATGGAGATTCGTCTACATGGCGGATATGTTTGGGAGAGCGTTGATCGGATCCGAAGGGCCGAATCTCGACAGCAAGCTGTTCGACGGCCGACTGTTCTTCAAGAATCCTCGCCGCGCGTTCAGGAACGTCGACGTCGGCTTCGACCTGGACGTCGACCGTGAAAAGTGGAAATTCGGAGCGAACGCTACCGTTGGATTCCGAAATCAAGAGAACATCGACGGAGTATTCGCCGTCAGATTACCACCGCCTAACAACGACGATCACCGCGTTCTCATCAGTTATCACGCCAACCAAGGAATGAAGGACGCATCCTACGTGGTCGGTTACAACGCTGTTCGTGCGAAGACCAACTACGCATCCGACGGTTCGATACACATGGGCACGCGAGACATCAACGGACACCTCCGCGCCTCCTGGGGCATGTTGCCCGTTCAATCCGTGAACAATCTGTTAAACATAAGCTTCGACAATAAAGAGGTGGAGCTGAAATACTCTCTGTACACTCCGAAGTTCCAGGAGCAACAGGAGACATTGGTTTTGTTGTTCAATTACGACGGCACGCAGGACATAAATAAACGGTTGATAAACGCTGAGATTTATTGTCCAGCAAGCACGCGAATAGCCTCGGCAAACGTGTCTTACGAAAGTTTTTTGAACGTGAACGGTACGATCAACACCGCTTTCCCTGTGGCGAACGTCTCGTCGCTGGGCTGCCAGTTCATCGTGCTCACCACTCCGCAACGGAATAAAAGATACGCCAAACTGTATTGGCCGCGGAACACCGCGATAGTGAATTCAGACTACAATTACCAGAGCAAGAATCTGAACTCGGACTTCGAGGGGATTTTGCACGCGGAGGTTCCCCTGAATACGCGTCACATCGGCCACTTGACCTACGGTTACAAGAAACGGCCGCAAATAACGACTGGCTACGCGAAACTGACTTACAACGGTCAGAAAGTCCTTCACGGCCAGTACAATTTGAAGAGCGAGTCGCGAGCCGGTTTCGAGCAGGATCGTACTCAGATCACCATCGAGAACATGTACAAACCGATCGGCATCCTCTACATAAATCAGTACGAGTACAGCGCGGGGAACGCCGGGACTAATTTGCCGACTGTCGAGCTCAAGCAGGTGAATCTCTATCGATTGGACAACAGAACGGCGTTGAACGTGACCGGCGAATCGAGGATCAGAACAACGCACACGGGCCAGGACATTCATTTGAAAGCGATACACTTGAACAAGACGTTGCAACTGAGGACCGAGTACGAGGTTCTACCGGGCGAGTTCGACCAAACCAGCTGGCTGAGCTTGGCCGAGGATGCCTGGGTTTCTTACAGCGTCAACATCTTGAACAAAACCACCGAGGAGGTGAGCAATCAGTTCTTGGTTCTCAACGTCTCTTATCCTCGAAGAAACTTCAGCCTCGATGGCTCTTATTGGATCAGCAGCGAGGAGCTGAAGTCTGCGGTGAAACTGGACTGGGACCAGGAGACCGCGAGGCCTCGTACCGTCGGGGCATTGTTCAACTGGACGAAACTTTCGTCGGGAGATAATGGCATGCATCACAGAGCGATCTTCGCTTTGATCCATCCGAGTTTCCTGAAGGAAACCTCTCTGACCGGCGAGATAAAGACACGCAATTTCAGAGACTCGGTGGACGTCCGCCTTGTCGCTGATTATTCTACTGATCCGAGCAAGCTGTTCGAGTTTTCGGCGTCGTATAGAAACGAAAGCGAGCCGCCGATTTTCAAGAAGCATTCCTACAAGATAGCGGGTAATCATCCAAGTACGAGATTCGAACTAGATGTCCAAGGATTTGTGTACGAGCGTAATAGTTCGCTGTTCGAAATGATGAACAACGGACGGTACAACCGTAGATTCACGACCAGGGATGCGGGAAAATTAAATGCACGATTGGATCTCAATCGCGACGAGCTGCTGTTCCAGCGAGAGTACAACGACGCGGTGAAGTATTTGAACGTTCGGTATTATTCGTTCGATCGTAAATATGTCGTGAACGGTAGTGTAATAAATACCCCGGGTTTAAATGCTACCGGCGCCTTCTTCTTCCATCCGACTGAAAAATTAACGTGGATGATGCTCAACTACACCCCAGGTTAGTATTCATACCATTGTAATTCTCAGATGTGTAAAAAAATATAAATAATTAAAAAAGTATGAATAATTATTCCAGATAAAATAACAAATAAATTTAGGTATTATTTTTGTATTGTATTATATATTTTTATTTCAGCCTCTTTGGCCTTGAAATTAACTTTGGTTTTTACATTGCACATTTCGCATTGCATTTGTCCTAGCTTTTACATGTTATAATATTTACGTAATACAAATGAATTTAGGTATTTGACGACAAGTTGTTTCCAAATAAATTTCAAAATCTTGTAGAGAAACAAATTATTTCGAATTGATGTTTTATTATTTTGATGAAAATATTATTTATCATTGTATATTGTTATTATTATTATTATATATACATATATATTTATTTATTATTTTAATAAATATTTTATTACTTCAAATAATAATTAAAGACAAAGGTTAATAAATAATAAAAATAAAAAATAACAAATATTAAAATATAACATTATTTTCCAAATATACTATTATTTTAATAATAATAGTAATTGATCTTAATAAATACGTTTAGGTATTTAACAAATAATTTATTATTAGGTATTTAATAAATATTTGTTATTAGATATTTAATAAATACCCTTTTTCAGATGCTGTGGAGAGTTTACGAATGTACGGTAATATTCCTGACGCTCGAAATGCTGTATTTGATATTTGGAGGACGTACGAGGAAGATTTCACTGTGTCAGACGTCTCTTTCTACTTGAAACTCAATCATTCCCGGCTAATTACCTCCACCCTACGCTGGAGACCCGAACTTAAGGCTGACATTATTGTACGCAATCATTTTTCTCCCTGTACTAATTTCCAAATTTCCAAATTTTATTAAAAAAAAAAAATTAGTTCTTAAAGGAGAAAAAAAATTTTTTATATTCCATTTGTTCCAGGCTCTTGTGAAGAATACAGCAATGGACACATACAATGGCATAAACAACGATATCTATTATTGGAAGCAGTATATTAAAATCGAAACTGTGAACGTAATCTCGGATGTTTGGGATGATGCTCAGTCGGATATTCAAGGATTTGTCGATGATTGGAAGTGGGTATTATCAATAAACTGCGTACATATATTTTTATAAATATAACTAAAAGAATGAGACTTAGAGAATTTGTTTCAATTATTAAATATTATAATAAGAATTGCACTTTACATATTTTACATACACTATTTGTCAAAAATATCAAAGACATCTTTTATTATAAGATTACCAATAAATCAGGTATATTGGATAATATTGATAAGAGACTACTTGAAAATCTAATAGATTTCACTTTCTTTTACAACAAGATTTCGAATTACATGTGTTTTAGACATTTCATTGTTAGTTGAAATCTAGTCTTTAAGAATTTAAATGACAGGCACGATGGCCATAGTAATACGTAGTCATCGTTTATTTGTGTCACAGCAACTTGAAGGAGCTTGAGACAGACTTTGAGGAGTTGAAGATTTATTTAAACAAATCCTACAACGCGAACGATTTTTACATCAAGGATATCGTCCTCTTCGGATCGTATATAATCGATGAGCTGTCGTTACGAAGCCACATAGAGTCTTTGCCAAACATCCTAAACGAAATATGGGAGTTAATGGGTGAATCCGGGCAAGCGATCAGGAATTCTATACTCTGGGTCATTGAAACGATAAAAAACGCGTTGAACAAAATCCCGGAGATCACTGCGGCTATTTTAAGGGGCGACATGATTTCTCAAGTGGCCAATATAATCGATGGTTTGCTGGAGAAGTACGACAAGTTCGTGAAGGATCTACACGTGTCGTTCATCAAGTACATAGGCAATATTTGGGGAGAGATTTCCCAGACGATCTCCCAACAATGGAATCGATTTTTACTGATGATAGAGCCGATATTCATTCGTTTCATTCACTATCTAGAGACCGTTGTTTGGAAAGCGAGCAAGGAGATCGTTGACTTCCTCTACGATCGAAGGAACGACCTCATCTCCTCTCCTTATTTCGACCGTTTCTCCAATTTTACCCAAGACATCGACAGGTTTTACCGTGACATCAAGGGCAACGATATTGTAACGAACATTCAGAAGTACTCGAGTCTGACGATACAGTTCTTGAAGGACAGATACTTCACGTTCGTGCCATTTGGCAAAGAATTGAAAGACGTGGTCGACGAAATCGTAACCGAGCTAAAGGAATTGCAAAAGTTACCGAGTATACGTTACGGTCTGGAGAAGATGCAACAAGTGTACGACAGAGCGTGCTACGTTTACGAATACTTCGAGATACGTGCCAAAGTGGAAAATATTATCCGATTGATACATTCGAAATTAATAGACGCAAGTCAGACAGCTCTACAAGCTGAAAGCAGATACCGAGAGGCCAAAACGAAGTTCATCTTCGATCCTAGAGAAGGCTTGATGTGCCTGGAACAGAAACTTCCCATGTCTTGGCACTCGTTCAATCAAACACCCGAGTTTCACGAGATACCTGAATTCAGAACCATTTCCGACGCGAGTTCGTATTTCACGTCCTCGGACATGAGTTTCTGGAGATTCTACCGATACAAACCGTACATGGACCCGTTGAATTGGCTGCCACCATTCAGAGGTAATCACATGATTTCTGTACTACGAATTATTCGTGTGAATCTTTATTTTTATAAATATATAATGAAAAAAATGAGAAAAAATTTTTTTTCACTAATATATATATATATATAATTTAATAATAATATATATATAAATAAATTATTTAATATACATATATTATTATTGTTATTATTTAATATATATATTTATTTATTTATATATATTACTATTATTTAGTAATAATAATAATATATATATGTATATAAATTATATTATGTAGATAGTTTCATTGCTAAATGTCGTAGATACTTATTACTAAATAATATACTAAACAATATATATATATGTATTTAAATTATGTTACGTAGATAGTTTTATTGCTAAATGTCGTAGATTTAATTAAATTTATTTAATTTTCATTTATGCCTTCTCCTTTTTTGTCAATTTAGTGGACCATTTAATCTCGCTCGTTTTAATTTCAGCACAAGCGATGATCATTGGTTTGCAACATTTCATTACCTTTGATGGAAGACACGTAGAATTCATGGGACCTTGCACATACTTATTGGCTCGTGATTTTGTGCGTGATACTTTTGCCATCCTCTTGGAATATCAGCAACAATTTGATCGAGTTACACACAAAATTATCGTATTACTCGGGAAGGATGCTCTCGAACTCGACTTCTTCAATGACGTTAGTAATGATAACAATAATAATATAATTACTAATACAATATACGATATAATTGTTATGTGATACGAATAATTATGAAAACGATAATACTAATTAATAATAGGTTTAAGCAGATATAAAAAAAGGATGTACGTACGTGAAAGTATTATGACTGAAAAAAAGGCATACAGTTATTATGGTACAATGTATAAGTAAATCAGAAAAATTTATATCTAATAGTAATCAGAAGATAGATATTATATAATATTTTTTTCAATTCGAACTATAACTCCGTCTGACAGATCGCCTGATCTCGCTTTATTAGACTTTTACGCATAACGAATTAATTATTCATTCGTTGAATTAAATAACATAATTAAAATTATTTTCAAAGAGTAATAAATTCTTTTTAGCCTTGTCAATTGATAGAAATGGTGAATTCTTTTTAGCCTTATTGCATTGATAGAAATGGTGAATTCCAGAAATATTATGATAACTTTTAGCTACTGTTAGATGTATTAGACTATAAATGTTTCTGATTTGTTCATATGTTATGCTGTAGTAACATACATTTGTTATCATTTGTATATATCGGTTTTTTGTTATAGGTCATACATATTTATGTAACATTTTTTTTTTACTTTGACGCGTAGAATATTGAGGTGCAACAATTTCTGGCTGGAAAAAACCTACAATATCCTGTATCTATGTATGAGTAATTATATAGATGTATGATGAATCTTTCAAAGAAACTGAAACGAATTTCTGTCGAACAGAAATTAATTATCCTAAAATATTCTTTTGCTTTCCTAGAAAAAGATGTAACAAATCGTCCTTTTTTCCTTTCATGAAGTAACAATTAATTAATGATGCGTTTATCTTTTTGCAGTCTATCAAGTTCATTTCCAAGCAGTCGTCCGACACAACGAATAATTTTGTACTCCCAGCTGAACTCGAAAATGGAACTACGTACGTTTATCAAGTAGAAAGTGTGGTAACTGTGGAGCGCAAGGAAAATCAATTCCGACTCGAATGCAACTTGAAATTCGACCTGTGCACCTTGGAATTATCCGGCTGGTATCACGGCAAAACAGCTGGTATTCTTGGAACGATGAACTACGAGCCAACAGACGATACCACCGCGTCGAATGGAATCGTAACAAAAGATGTGAAAGCATTTGCCGAAAGTTGGTCAATCGATCGAGATGCCAGTGATCGTTGTTCGATGAATAATTCTCACGCGATTGAAACAGCCGAGACATCCAACGTAATGTCAAAATCGCAAGGAAATTTCACGGTTGTAGAATTTTGTAATGATCTGTTCGTAAACAAGAGTTCTGAATTCCTCGGCTGTTTCGACATAATAGAACCGGAAGAATATTCAAAAATGTGTACCGCAAGCGAGAGTAGAGCGGAAGCGTGCACGGTGGCTTTATCCTACATGCAGATCTGCATGTTCCACGACACGTACCTCAGAATACCGGACATATGTAGCAGTTGCAGTATGATTGATGGCAATCAAATTGCGGAAGGACAGTTCGCGAAACTAGAGGGTGATCGAGTACCCAGATCGACCGATGTGGTATTCATAGTAGAAGGGAAGGAGTGCAACCGCGGCGTGAGAGAAAATCGCAGTATCGAACAGTTGGTCACTCAGTTGAGTAAAGAGCTCAAAGATCAAGGTCTGGTGGACAATCGTTGGTCTCTGGTTACTTTCGGGGCAGACGGAGTGTTCGATCATCCGAGGAGCATCGTCTTCGATGGGCAACTCTTCACTAAGAACGTAGCACGATTTATTGATTACTTTGACCACGTGCAAGTTGGCGATGGGAGCCGCGATATTTTTGCAGCGATTGCGTTTGCCTCGAAACTCGTGTTCAGAACCGGTGTGTCGAAGACTTTCATTTTAATGCCCTGCTCGCATTGCGAGCCGGAAAATCAGACAGTAAGTAGCTTGAGGATATTCCTCCAAATAGATTCAATTTGGTGAAAATCATTTCAGCTTCGGTGATTTCGTACATTCGAAAGATGTAAATCATATAGCACGAGAAATCTTTTTCTCTTGAAAATGATATCTAAAAGAAATTTAATTTATATTGAATGTAGGTATGACGAGTAAAAAAAAATAGTACAATAAGTAAATATTGTTACAATTATTTAAAATATCACTTTTGAAATATAAAATGAAACATTTCTTTCAAGGCTGAAGCTTTGTTCAAATTAATCAAGATTTGAATTTGATTTAAATCTAAATTGAAGTAACTTATAAATTCGAGTAACTTGAAATCTTGTCATCCCAGTGAAACTGTAATTTAGTTGATTTAAAATATTTTTATTCTCACTATAAATAAGCTATTTAATTTCAATTAATTTGAAACACTTTACTAATGAAGTGTAAACTTGTTATTTTATTTGACTAATCAAAGATTAATTTAGTTGTCATTGAGAAAATAAAAGAAAAACGGCTGATAAGCATATTGACATATTGAATCACCTTCTCCCAGGATATTTTAAATTTTCTTTCGATCAATCTTGTTACTTCTTGATTTAAAAAAGAATTTTTTTCCTTTTAGTTGGATTATTCGGTGATACACGAAGTATTATTGGAACATGATATCACACTTCATATATTGATGGATGGTGATTTCGAATTCGAAAAAGAGAGGCTGAACAAGATTTTCTATGGTTTGGACGCGACGAAATCATATACGAAAAAAGATGCCAGAACGTTAACTGGCGATATCGATCTACGAAGGCAAGTGAAACTCTCGAAAAGCGCACTCGGTTATTGTACGCCTTTATCTCTGGAGATCAATGGAACAATATTCAGCGGTGATAAATTACGTTTCGATAAACTAGCTTCGATCAAAAAATTTGCTAGCGTCTTTTCCAAGAGGGTAGCATTAACAGCGCAGCCTAATCCTTGTCAAAATTGTGAGTGCACCGCTGATAATAGTGGTGTTACACGTATGGAGTGTATCCCTTGCATATATCCAACTCCGGTTTCTGTCGATTATGTAAGTTTCTCCTTTCCATTTCAATTTATTTATTCATTTATGCTTCTACGTTGACTCAATAGTATTTCTTTATTTTTATTTCTTTTTTTTTTACAGGAAACGTTTAATTTGAATGATTCGTTGGCATCTTTGGACCCATTGAATATCGATTACGGCCAAATCGATATCGATGATAGCTGAAAAAGCACTTGTATTCCTCCTTTTTCTTACATACCTTATATTGCTTACTTTATTTCAGCGAAAAACTTTTACTAATGTATATATAACATACATCTTTCGACAATAAGTATTCAAGACGTATTGTGAATCTAAGAATATCACATATGATGTTATACGTTTAATATAATTTTATATATTTATAAAATAATACTTGGTTCGATCTTTACTTCGAAAGGAATATTATATTTAGATGTATTAGATGTATAAGTAAGAAAGAGACAGTCTCGTTTATTAATCGACGACGCTACACATTTCCGTGTACAAGTTTTTAAAATTAATAAAAAATTGAACTTGAAGAATGAGAAAAGCATTACGTCGTTTTAAATTTAATTGACAAAAGACATAACAATATCGAGTAAATAATGATAATCCTTGCCACACGTTAAGAGTATAATTTATATTATGAAACTCTTAAGAGTATAATTTATCCTATCTTATTTTGTATCTTTTACTTTTTTATACAATTTTCAGTTGATCCTTCTCAACATAAAAATTATCTAGCAAGTAAATCTTCCGACATTTTTATAATTCGATCAAATTCTCGTATATAAATGCAGTATCACTCGTTCGGGTATCAACTGAAACATTGACGAAAAATAAAGTATCATACATTTTAATCATTTTATAAGTTGACCATAAAATAACTTAAATAAGAATAACGTACGTATAATTTAAAAGTTTTTTCAATAACGTTTAAATTATGGCAAAGATCTTCTGATATGAGATTCTAAATTCCCATCCTTTTAACAAGCCTGTCCTTTTTTAAAGATATTCTGAAGTACGAAAAACCGACAGAAGTAAAAATAAATAATGTAATATATATATATATATATAAATAATATAAAAATAAATAATATATATATATATATATATAAACGAAAAAAAATAATTCTATTTCTAGAATTGAAAATTTGTGTAGACTAAAGTTTCGTATATATGTATATACACACATACCCAAACGGGTTAAATCGCCAAATTACTAAGTCCTACAACTTTAGTAGTAAATATGTCGTGAAAGAAGCATTTGCAATCATACTTCCAGAGGAAAAGATTTGTTTGTTTTGGGGTCCCAAATTCATATCTAAAGTTTGACGATTTAACCTGGGAACACCGTGTATATATACATATATGTACATATTTACTCATTATATATATGTATAGTATATATTTACTCATTATATATACACTCAGTCAAAAAAGTCTCCGTACATATTTGAATTTTAACTATGTGTTAAAAAATTATACTCGATATAAAAATTTTCGATGTATCATTTAAAATTGTTTGCTTTCATTAACCAGTATACGTAAACTTATGCAAATCCTGCAATCAGTTTTGCTGTACTCAAGTTTTGAATGCAAACTGAACAGAAATTGCGACAAATAAGTTTCCGTACACTATCATGAAAGTTCGTGTTGTCAATGAGCACATCGAAAAACTCGAGTCATACGCTTCATGGATATCATATCTTCCTTGAGTTTTGTATTAGCAAGCAGAAAGTACGTACAAAATTCATAATAATGTACGGAAATCGAAATATCGGTTCCAATCCGCGAATTAATTATAAAACTGCGAAAGGATGGAAAATCCTTAAGAGCTAAATAGTTACAAAATCTCATTCTACAGTGCAATATGTTATTAATAAATATCAAAAAACAAATTCTGTTGAAAATCGCAAACGTACCGGTCGTTCAGCAAAATTAGAACACCATCATAGTCGTACAATTTTGGAAGTTATACGCAGTGAACCAAAAACAATTGCTCCCAATCTTGCTAATGTGATTGATAACGATTATGGCATTAAGGTTGTTCCTCAAACTATACGTAGCGTGTTAAAAAATGCAGGGTACAATGGTCGGACAGCAAGAAAAAAGCCATTTGTTAGTATGATAAATAAGCAAAAACGTATGGACTTTGCTAAAGTTCATATGAATGAGGCAACAGAGTTTTGGCATTCAGTGATATTTAGCAATGAATGTAAATTTAACGTTTTTGAGTCCAATGGATGTGCAAAAGTTTGAAGAAAGAAGAATGCAGAAATGGAATGCAAGAATATGCGAGCAACCATTAAACACGTTGGAGGGAGTGTATTAGTATGGGGATGTATGAGTGCTGGCATAAGAGACTTGGTATTTAACCTGTTACATATAGTTTGAGGAACAACCTTAATGCCATAAACGTTATCAATCACATTAGCAAGATTAGGAGCAATTGTTTTTGGTTCACTGCGTATAACTTCCAAAATTGCACGACTGTGATGGTCTTCTAATTTTACTGGACGACCGGTACGTTTGCGATTTTCAACAGAATTTGTTTTCTGATATTTATTAATAATATATTGCACTGTAGAATGAGATTTTGTGACTATTTCAGCAATAGCTCTTAAGAATTTTCCATCCTTTCGCAGTTTTATAATCAATTCGCGGATTGGAACCGGCTTTTCCATTTCCGTACGTTATTATGAATTTTTTACGTACTTTCTGCTTGCTAATACAAAACTGAAGGAAAATATGACCTCCATGAATCGTATGACTCGAGTTTTTCGATGTGTTCATTGACAACATGAACTTTCATGATAGTGTACGGAAACTTATTTGTTGCAATTTCTGTTCAATTTGTATTTAAAACTTGAGTACAGCAAAACTGATTGCAGGATTTGCATAAGTTTACGTATACTGGTTAATGAAAGGAAACAATTTTAAATGATACATCGAAAATTTTTATATCGAGTATAATTTTTTAATTACACATAGTTAAAATTCAAATATGGTACTGTACGGAGACTTTTTTGAGTGTATGTATAGTACAAAGAATAGAAAGAAAAATGTGCAAAACGTGTTTATTGCAAGATTTTTGTTATACATAAATGACGATCGCAAGTAAACTTTGATTTTTTTATGCTAAATTCGAATATTTATAAAATTTTGCTTTATTGTTAAAATATTTAGAACAGACAAAAAAAGAAAAAGTAATATGAAAATAACCCTGATGATGAACGATCATTATTATCGACTCAAATAACAATAAATTGGATACTAATTTATATTTCGAAATAAACTCCATTAATTTAATTATCTAAAAAATTTCAAATTTTCGTTATAATATTTAAATATTTTGCAATATTTTTAAATACTTTTCTCACTTTATATATATTTTATATATGACACATAAAATCGCTAACACTTTCATATAATATGAAATATAAATATAAATATATATTAAATTTATAACAAAATTCTGCATTCTAAAACCTGACACAAAGTTATAGTTAATAAAAATTATATATATTTTTTAGCAGTAAAAAAGAAAATCTAAACCAATAGCTAGAGGGATTACTTAAAAAGAAATCGCGATACGGTAGCCAGAAGGGCTACTAAAAAACAAGCATTTCCTATTCAATACAGTAATCAAAAGAGCTACTGTACAATTATCTATATTCAATATGAACCCGAACAACAAACTATATCTTGTTTCGCAACACATACTAATTATGGGATAGAAAATTTTCAAAATTAAACGCGAAGAGTGCTTCGTAATGTTTAAAACTTGCAAAGCAAATACGTAACACTATTAATCTATAGTCATGTTCAGAAATACGCAACACTAATTGCGACGCGTCCAGTGCAACTATGCTGAAGGTCGCTGATGAATGACCACTTTTATGCAACTTTTGTACTTGCAACAAGTGATCCAAGAGCAGGAACAACCTTCCACAAATCCAGTGAAAGAATTTAGGGCTTTTGTAAATGCAATGCTATTTCAAAAAACACGATCATTATCGTAACACTAACAATGAGAGGAAACGTAATTGGAAATTGTGATGGAACAATGTCGCAACAGTAAAAATAATTGGAAATCACGATGAAATGATATCGCAACACTAACTCTAAAACTAAATTCAATAAAAATTATTACGTACGAACAAAAAGTTACAACAAACACTAAAATTGATTAAAATGACTCTATAATCTAATTTAAAGCAATAGAAAACAAGATAAATTTTGCAATGCATAACACTAATTGTAAAAATAAAAATTCATAATTAAAATTGCAAAAGACAATCGCGGTATCATAATTCGCAACTCTAAAGCAAACACGATCGTCATTTTTTCACAATTCTAATTTAGAACATAATCAATTTCATGCAACAGTAATAAATAGGCGTGAAACTATTTTGTAATTCTAATTTAACCCATAATTAATCTCTAACAAGAAAAACCGTAATTTTCCCAAAATGATGATGAAAAAACGATGAAGAAGAAAAAAAGATACAACTATAAATATTAAAAGAGAATAATGACAAAATAGTAATGAGAATGACTTCCCATCCTCTGGAATCATTTAAATGATCCAGAGGATGAAAGGCCATTTGTTGTAACCCTCTTCACTTTACCGAATCTTGTCGACCTCTTCTTCGATCGCAATTCCCAGTGAAACTTATATCTAGTTCGAGTCTTTCTAATTGCAAACTAAAAAAATAACTAATAATATAAATTGTGAAAGCTGACCCTATCATGATATGACTATCGATCATAGTGATCACTGTCCGTTCGCACGTGCTTGAGCAATATATAATGTTGCTTTCGAGACTCTTATTCCACGATTACAAAAAATCACGAAATTCGAAAAATCAATAGGTAAAGCCAAAAAGCATTCTCTTCAAATTTGATTTCCAGAAATAGGTACATATGAAAGGAAGATCTGCCCAGAAACTGCCAATCTGCCTGGTTGTACCTACTTGTAACTAAACACAGACACACAGAAAATAAGCTACCTATCCTACACATCGTGCTATCGTATATGCTAATGCATAATTTATTACTAAATGTTAAAATTCAAATTCAGAAATTCTTTCTATCAAGATATTTCATCTGCGACTGTTCTCAGTGATTTTCTTATGAGAACTGATAGAAGTAAAAGAATTAAATAATTTACCATCTATTACAAGTGCAAAAATATCACAGATGAGGTATATGAATAGATTTAACATGCAATGTATTTTTTTGGTATTTATTTGACATTTCCGGGGTTCTAGGATCCTTTTTCCACTTTCGTCATCATATCACATCCTGTCTATGAATAAATAAATGACTAAGTTAATCAATATTACAAAATTTGTACTGGTTAGAATTGAAACTAAATTTTGATATAAAATTATAAATAATTTTTAGCATAGTATGTTCTATTCAAAAGTTTATATTCTATTACTTCTTTAGTTATTGAAAATTCTTTTTTGGTAGATTTCAATGCATTCAAAAAATGCAAGTTTTAACTTAAAAATTCATAATAAAAACACAAATCTAATAACTATTAATTTAAGTTTTTACCTGAAATCTTCTGGATAATACTTCTTTCACAGATGAAGTATGCTTGATTATGAGAAATATCAATCGTTTGAGAATCGTGGCAACTATATATGCGTATTTCACCGTTGATGCTGTAATCTTTAATTAAATTTAAGCCCAATATGTACGTTTCGTACGAAATTTTGATTTTCGGAACAAAAAATAAGAAGCTCTGATCTAAATCAAACGCACGTAAGTCTTATTAATTTGACAAATATAAATTATAAAGTAATTTACGATTTACTCTTTAAATTAATTTCTATTATATTTAACAAAATATGTTTGTTATAAGTACTGTTTGAAACTATCGTTTCAGCTAACTACTTCATTATAAGAGAAACGTTCTTTTTGTGTCGTTTTTGACAACTAACTTTCTTTGTCAAATAATTTTTATTTTTATATTACTAAATATTTTATATGTAATATATATACAAACATATATATATATATACATTATAGAACATTAAATTATTTAAATTTAGTATTAATTATAACTTCACGTAAAAAAAAAAGTTAATTATAATTTATAAATAGAAACTAAAATCTTTAAACATCTTTTAATTATAATCTTAAATACATCTTAAATAATGGTATTTCTATATTTTATGTTATCAAATTATATGTGGATAAACTATATTTTTTAATATTATTCCAAATTTAATTTTATTAATTTGGTAATCTTGGAGAGATAGTTTCTCCTAGTACTCACCAGAATGCATTTCGGTTTCGTTCTTTTGCCTTCGTCATGGCGGTGAGTGCAGAGTCTTTATTTTAAAAATAAATTTTATAATCTTTAAATATCAAAGACATCGTACTTAAAAGAAGGATTTTTTATATATTATAAACAAATATTTATTATTAATTTAACATTGATAAATTTATTTCTTATTAATATCTTAATTTATAAAGTTCTATGACAGATGAGGTTTATGTTCAGCATGCATTGCGAATATAACCTAAATTTCATGTTTATAAAACTTGTAAAATATGTAAAATAGTTTTTCATACATATTAGTCTGAGAAATTAATATGAAAAGGTTAAATATTTTAATATTGTAATTTATTGTTATAAAATAAGGCAATATTTTGAATATTTTTTAATGTTTATATAAAGTAATTAAAATATGCAATTTTCATTAAAAGAAGCATGTTGGTAAATTATTTCTGTTTTATTTATAGGAGTTGAAGAAAGTAGAAAAAAAGGTTGAAAAGAAGGGGAGAAAGGAGCCAAAGGATGCAGCCAAGAATGTGATGCGTGAAGTACGCATTCGTAAACTTTGTTTAAACATTTGCGTCGGTGAATCTGGTGATAGGCTCACTCGTGCTGCAAAGGTATTTGTTAGAGATGTTATGTTTATTTCAAATTGAAATTGCTATAATTTCTTCATTCTCCTTTATTATATCAATTATATAAATACATGTTTTTATGTATCCTTATTTAATGATGTTGACAAAGTTGGTTTTTTATAAATTAATTTTTTTTTCAGTTATATTATTGTAAATAATGATTTCTATACTAAAAAATAAATTTTTTATTACGATCTTTTCAATTTTTATAGGTATTGGAACAATTAACTGGACAGCAACCTGTCTTTTCTAAAGCAAGATATACTGTGCGTTCATTTGGTATTCGCCGTAATGAAAAAATTGCAGTGCATTGTACAGTACGAGGTGCTAAAGCAGAAGAAATTCTTGAACGTGGATTGAAGGTAATTTTATTATTTATATGTACAATGTCCATTTATTTCTAGCTATCTAATTTTGCTTCTCTTTTTGAAGGTACGAGAATATGAATTGAGGAAAGAAAATTTTTCTGGCACTGGAAACTTCGGTTTTGGTATTCAGGAACATATTGACTTGGGGATTAAGTATGATCCCAGTATTGGTATTTATGGCTTGGATTTCTATGTTGTACTTGGACGACCAGGTTTGTTTATCATTTGGTATTTTAGAATAAATCAATATGATAAATATACGCACATTTGGCATTATAGTTGCTACTATGTTTAGGTTGTACCTATATTTATATAATATGTGCTAGAATATAAGCTTCATATTTGCAACTCATGCCCACTTATAATACTGGGTGTGTTACTTAAGTGAAGCAACAGTTTATATTAACTCAATATTTTTATAGTCAATATTTTGATAAATTGAGAGTTTTTTTTACTTTTTATTTCAAAATCTACTTGATATTTTAAACTTTATTTTGTAATTCATCTTTTTAACAGAATGAATTTTTTCTACTTCAAGTTCAATAATGAAATTCGAATTTGATAGTAATTTTTTGTAGATGATTCAAATGTGATATCCTTAGCAACTATAGAGACATCGTTGCCTTCATTTACATTTATTTATTTTAATTAATAAAAATTTCTTGTTGCTGTAATTATAAATATTATAAACAATATAATAAAAATTGTTTTATATATAATTTATATTTTTTTCCTCTGTTAAGGTTTCAATGTAGCTCATAGAAGAAGAAAAACTGGAAAAGTCGGTTTTCAACATAGACTTACCAAAGAAGATGCAATGAAATGGTTCCAACAGAAGTATGATGGTATTATTATAGCTGGAAAGAAGTAATATACATATTTTGTATTTTAGAGTTCTTTCATAAAAATTTTAAAAATAAATTATCTGTTTAATAATTTTATTAACATCCTCATTACATATTTCAATATCATAAAAGATATATTTAAAACTTTTTTGATATTCAATTTTATAATATTAATATTTTATAAGAATATTAGAACCAATTTCGTAAATTATGTTGAGTCCAAGTTCTACGAATTTTATACTATAGTTTATTTATTAATCTCTTAGTTACTGAACACCACTATAATGATTTTCGTGTATATCACCTTTTTGAACGGTACGCTACTATAGTACTCATCTGTTTCTCATGTCAGTTGAAAAGAGCAGTATACATCAATCTGTTATGGTTTTTTAAAATTCTGTACATAGAAAAAATTTTAATGTATTTATTCTTTCAATATCAATTTTAATTTATTGAAAATTTATTTTAGCATGATTATGTAATTAAAGCACCGTTGAATATAAATTTCATTACATTTTTTTGCATAGTTTACATCAGATCAGACACAGAAGTATAGCTTTGCTAAAAATCGCATCACAGCTAAAGACTGAAGAGATTAAAATAATACTAATGATAATATTGTTACGATTTTTTTTTTTAATCAAAATAATGAAATCGAAATCATGAAAAGCTTTTTTTTACCATTTCACAATAAATTTTTGATTTTATCAAATTTTTAAATCCTTTTATATAGAATGAAATAAGTGGTAATATGAAAGAGCAGAGAATAAACAGAATGAGAAAAATTTTTCCATTGTAGTTGTGGTTTTGTAAATAAATTTCGCTTTATATTCTTAAAAATAAAAATTAATATTAAATCTATAAATCATATAAACTAGCATATTCTAGAATCTAGAATCATCTATGAGTAATCTAGAAAATTTAATGATCTGATATATTATTCTACTATTCTGCTATTCAATTATTAATTTTCTTCAAAATTTTCAATAATAATTCTTATTATAATGAAAAAGGATAGGTTATAACAAATGCTTATATGCTAATAAGTTAGAATCTTATTACATTTTATTAATAACCATTATATCATATCACCAGTGTGTTACATGTACAAGTAAAATATTTTGATATATTCATGTTTCCATAAAGAAGATAATTTAAGAATATTTTATACACAATTAACACTTTTGATGATTAATTCATTTTAGAGTCACTTGGAAAAAAATATTAATAGTAACAGTATAGTACGTAGAAATACAGAAGGCCTTGCATCAGTGTATATAATTCTATGTATTATTTTTTACATATGATTTACTTCTTACAAAAACTTATGAGTAAAAAAAAAATTAATATGGAAACTGAATCTTTATTAAATATCTTAACTCAAACGCGCACAACATTAATTTTAAATGAACTTCAAAAAAGAACTTCATAGTTGTAGATGTATATATCTTCCATAATAAAGATGCTATTTAGAAATGTAAATACATTCTTTGAAACTACGTTTGTTACACACTTCCTTTCCTAATTTCAAATATCAAATTTTATTATTTTCTATTTTTTGTGATATGCATGAAATATATTGGATTCAATTGTAAGTAATGAAAATAAAATGTACATTCACTCACATTATGAACATATATTAAATATGCTTTCAAAAATAGAAATCAAAATTTAATATTTGATTTAGTTATTATATTTTATCTTTGACAAATCTCTTTAAAATAAGGGCACTGGAAAACTACATTATTATATTAATTTAATTTAAATGCAAACAAATATATAAAATACTATATACAACTTCTAATTTTTGAAATATATAGATCATATAAACTTGTTACATTCCAATACCCTTGTAGTCTAATATCATTATGAATAGACTGTTGATTTTTATACATTTTAAAATTTTTATAAATATATCTAAAGAAATGAAATCTAAAAACAAATTAATTTTCTTTATCTAAGTATTATAATATTCTACTTTCAATTTTTGCCTATTATACGTATTAAAGAGATTTTGCATCTTTTTAAATGCATAAAAATCAGCAATCTCATTAAATAGTAATGACATTTAAAGCATAAAGTTAATTTTTTAGCCATATTATCTGATCGATATTAGAATATTTGACAACAATATAGCAAAGCATATATGTATGATTCCTTTTCATGAGCTGTGATTTATGTTTAATTATTTTTTACTAGTTAAATTTATCTTTGGTTTTAATTCAATGCTATATAGCGAATCATTTTAAAACATGTGAAATAAAATTGTAACAGATATATAAGAAATGTATTTCTTGCAATATTCATATGATGTCCATAAATAATTGCACTACGATACTCTCATATCTACTTAACTTGATGTAATCAGACAGATAAAAAGGCAAAATATTTTTTCCCTCAGTCTCCAAATTGTTCCTTTATCTGGACGCCATATTCTTAATGATTTAATTTACTATTTATATATACTATATCTTTCTTAATAACAAGTAGATATATGTATACATAAATTTAGATAATTTATGTTTAAGAATTGAAATAACCTTGCATTTCAAAATTTAATATATGGTAAATTATATATATAATAATTTCTATTTTTCATCCTGAAATTGATAAATTTTCTTTCTTCTTATAAAGAAGTAAATATATCTAATCTTTTGCATTGGGATAAATAAAATTAGTACATTAAACATATATATTATATGAAATATATTTTATACAATATAGAATATATTTAATATGAAATATGTAATACTGAATATGATAGTATAGTTTGTACATATATTACATAATGTAATGTATAATGTACATTTATAAAAACTTTTTATTTTTTATAGTAAGATTGTGATTATCATAATTACATATGCAGTTGTAATATATTAGTCAACATATTATCAACCAATAGTTTCAGGTGCAATGCAAAGGATTAAATTATTTACTGTACTTTATACATTTGTACACTTGTGTATATACATTTTATATAACTCTTGATATTATTAAAATCAATTAAATAATAAACTAATAAAATTAATTAAAAAAACTCACTTTTTAACTCATAATATGTTGTGATAATATTTTTAATTCTTCAATTTTTTTGACAATTTATTTTTAAAAATAAGATATATTAAACAAATATTTTTAAAAATAAGACATATTAAACGAATATTTTGAAACAAACATTTAATATATATTTTACATATACTCATTTCAAGAATTGAAGTAATTAAATTGAAAACCTATATACAGAGTAAGCATAATTTAAAATAAAATTCTATTCATAAACGATATAATAAATTAGTTAAAATTTTTTTTTAATTATCTTACATTTTTTAGGTTGCATGTTAACTAAACACATTATAGATTTACAAAAACAATTTTATCTAATGCAATTCATTTAGAAAACATATGCAGAGGTATGAAAATTGTTTTAATGGTGTATTTTTTTAGGCTATTTCGTTATTTTTCATATTTTTACACTTTAACATTCTTTCTTACATACTTAATATTCACTTTAATAAGACAAAAATTGAAGAAATAAAAATTATTTATGTCATTTTCTTAAAAATCATGTGAATATTTTTTGATAACATTCTTTCTAAAAATGTATGGGACATAAATGTATATATGTATATTTTAAACTTATAATATTAAATTCTAAAGTATTTGATTTATGATTTTACTAAATTATAAACATAAAGAATAATGTTTCATTTGACACTCCTACAATACAAAAAGTTCCATTACTGAAGTAATGCAATATAATTTATAAATTCTTGATGAAATTCACTTATGAAATTCATTTGTATATATCTTATCATATAATAGGAAATTGTAGAAAATTAACATTATAATTTATTATACAAAACCTAATTTTAATTTGAAACAATTCATAATCAATATTTCTGTCATAAATTTTATATCAAGCATATAAAACATGGAAAATATTATTTCAAATTTCTTGTTTATTATTTAAGTTCAAAAAAAAATTTCAAATATTATACTTTATATATATAACACAATATATTTGCAACTATTAAATATATAGAGTATCACTTAATTAATGTAATGCATAATTATTAAAATAATGAAGATAATATATAATAAATAGTTTGTTACATTTATTTAATATATGGCAATTGTGATATGGAAATTCGATTCGCAAAAAATAAATTAAACATGTTATTAAGCAATATGTAGTAAACCAATTGTATATATACAAAATACCTAAGTTTCTTGTGTTTAATGGTTAACTCTCTGCGAGTTTCTTTTTAATTCAAATGTATTGTGCAACTACAAGCAAAAATTTATTACTAAAATAATAAATATATAATAAAATATTGAAATTACAGAATTGTTAACAGAAGTAAAAATATTATGCAATATACTTGTCATTAAGTGATTGTACATTAAATGAAATAAAAAATAATATCAGACGAAATATCGAATACAATATTAAGAATACAGATTAAGATTTAAGTAATTTTTTTTATATTAGTATGAAAATGTTTGCAGACAAATTGTTTCATATTGTTTCATATACATATATTAAAATAAAGACAATTAAGATTTTTGAATTTTATTTAAAACATTCTATAACTTTTATTGACACACTCTTTACATTGAAGAAGGAAGCAAAAATTTAAGAAAGCAAATTTATTAATCAATATTTGAAAATGTTTGAACTTGAAAATATGAAAATATTTCTCCAATAATCTCAAGTCTATTCTGACTATTTTCCGTAGACATTATTTCGTGAACATTATTCACTTCAATTGAATATATAATAGATTGCATCAAAAATAAAAATTTAGTGTATTTAGTGAGTTTTATTTACCTCATACCAATAGATATTTTTTTTTTTTTGTAAACATTAAATAAGATTTTGACAGAATACAATGTGTAGTAGCGTATACAAAACCACACTGACCATTTTCTTCAGTCATCCATAATTCGAACATAAGTTTATACAACATATTTTACGTATTTTATATATTGTATAGATCTATTAGCCACAATATGAACTTACATTTAAGATTCTCTTCATTTTTCATTCTGTAAACGGACAGTGTAAAGTTTTCTCGTATAGCTTCAACTATAAGCTAAATCGAGTTGTCTCATGTGAAACAAGCAAGACATTTGTTAACAAAATTTAGTGCTGCTGTTGCAGTATCTGCGGCAATTTTGATCTCAATAACAAAAAAGAAAAAAAACTGATGAGCATTGACGTGCACCAGCTTAAATGTAAAACTGTCACAGATTCGACAAAAATATGTTATAAACATATTCATTTCACAGATTTGTAAAAATTTAGTTTTACTTTTTATTATTCATACCATATTGAAGCTAGTCGTGGTTATTTTTCAAAATATCAAAATATCAAACAAATAATTTTTTTTTATTTATGATTACATTTACTTTTATTAATGGTTAGTTATTCTCAAATATGTTTAATTTATTTTTTCATGAATGGAACTTTCAATTTAATCAAATAAAAATATACTGATTTATTTATGTAGAAATTATTTACTATTTATATATAAATCATATAATAAAAACAAATTTATGTGTCAAAACGTAATAAATACTAAGTCACTCAATTTTAAGTGATACTCATTATTCATGAAATTGTATTCCATTAAATGTTTATACTGTACTAAAGTCAGAAATGTAATGTAAAAAATATTTTTATTATCGTAAGTTATTATTTCCTTCATGTAATAAATAACTTCTGCAAAATATCAATATACAAAGTTTGTAATACAATTAATTACTAAATAATTTTACGCAAAATGAATAAAATCACTAGACAATTGTACTTTCTTATTTAAATGATTTTTAAAAGGATTTAAAATAAAAGAAAAATATAATAAAATACATGATACAAATGTTTTATACTAATGGAATAGAATTTCACATTGTCAGTTATAAAAAAATATATAGTAATATATATAGTAATATTGTTATTATATGTAACTCATAATTTATATGGATTAATTTGGAACAACATCCAGATTAAATAAAATTTGTACTTAATCATATATTCTTCAATTGGCATTCAATAAGAAAAATTCACATTAAATTGTCTCAAGATTTTGTGACTATTTCAACTGAACTATTTAACAAATAAAAAATTTTAAATATTATTTTCTCGTTGATCGATATATTTTATCAATGTTGTGCTTTTCAATTTCTGTAAATCCTAAAATGCTTTCAATTGCATTCAAATGCCCATGATGATTTTCTTTATCCGTTAAGAAATAGTAAATCGCCGATTTTAGGAACTGCAACGTGATCTCTGGATCAAGGGCACCTTGGTTATTTCGTGCTTCTATGATACGTCGATACATTGCCTGTTGAAAAAATTATATATGCTAATAATCTCGTTAATAAATTTTCTTACATGATAATTTATGTACTATGTTTGAAATTGTATATATTCCTTGATCGTGTACTGTAAATATATTAGAAATATATTCAGATATATCAAATGAATTAAAAAATAAGCAACTAATTAGATTTATAACCATCAATATAAATTATTGAAAGCTATAAATACACATTTATTTTAAATAAAAAATTATATTAGTACAATAAAATACAGACGCACTATATGTATATGAACCCGTCACTTTTTTAGAATCTAACATAATTTTAGTGTTGTGATTTGCATGAATTGGTGTAAGCATGTGATGCTTAAGCACGTGCAAATTTACATTAACTAAAGTATAATAAGAGGCTGTTTCTTTCAAGTGCACAAAATAATCTCTTTGGGCCTAATAATATTGCATAATAACAGGAATCACTTATATTTGTGCTTAACAATCGGCATGCAATCGCTGTAACAAAGTATTTTAATAAATACATTTTCTCATAAGTAAATATATATGTTCATAATATAACTTACAAATGAAAGCACGTAAAATCAATTCTTGCCACTATTAAATTTAAAAGTTACTTTCATTTCTAAATACGAAAGTGATACAATCTCTTCATCATGTGTATTTATAATTTAGAATAATTTCCAGTTTTCATATCTTTTTGTGATAAAATTCTCTTTTCTAAGTAAATACGTATATGTATAATTATCAAAAAGTTGGATTTTAGAAAAATTAACCACAATTGAAAAATTACATTAATCTAAAAATATATTATTAATCATCATGAAAAATACTTAATATATTGACTATAATTGATATTAGTATTATTTAAATTTGTAAAATTGATGCACTAACTAAAATCAATATGACTATAGATTAAATACTACTATTCTCAAAACAAAAAAAATAGGCATTTCATACAAACTATTTAATACTATGCTAACACATGTATTTCATATTTAATTTCATGCTTGGAAAATAGAATATATATACATTTTGTAAATAAATTTGTTCAATATATAACAAAAGAAATTATTTATAAAAGTAAATTGAAATACAATATGTACAAACATTTGAAAAAATTTGTTAGGTATAAATGTTTTGAATAATAATTTGAAATTAATAAAAGATTAATAATGAAATACATCAATATCAGAACTAAAATAGAAACAGATGAAAAACAATAAGGTTTATTGAAAAAATATAATTTGCAAAATAAACAATTTTGTTTCTTACTAAAGATATAGACTAGAAATATACAGATATTTTATCAACAAACACTCGATATAAAAACTCATTTTTTTGTAAAAAAAAAAAAAAAACTTCAAAAAGGCAAAAATATAAAAGAAAAAAATGTTTGTTTGTGCATTTGTATAAACAAATACCACATTAATGCTTAAAAAACAGTGAATGAGAATTGCATCACGTGGCGATTTAGAAGAAATACAGACCTTACGTGTGCCAAGGACCCAGAGAGAAACAGCCTCCTGAGCACTTAATAAACTTTGGCTACGATCGGCTGAAATGTGAGGTTCAGGCGAGTAGCTCGTGTCCTGGAGTGTGAGCGGCGACCAAAAAAAGTGGCACATTATTAGTACAAGAGATTTGTGAACAGCAGTGATGTACAGAAAGTGACGCACGAACAACAGTGATTCCTAAATTGTATTTTCTTATTTAAATTTTGATGTATTATTTTAAACTAAAAGATATAATTTGTTAAATTCCTATATGAAGAGAGTCCAAATATAAAGAAATATAAAAAAGTAGGAAAAATATAGAATAATAAATGACTGTATATAATTTTAAATTATTATTATATTGCAAACTGTAAAATACTTTATTGGAATATTCTTAGGATTTTGGAAGTGAACTAATAGTTTATTATATTTGTATTATATTAAATTAAACAGTTCATTCATTTACATCATGTACAGAGTAATTCTTAAATGCATATTTTGGATGATGAATTTACAATTATAAATAAAAAAGTAAAAAATATTATACGAATCTATATCTTAAGTTTTGAGTTACAGATGAGTGAGAAAAATGTTCAATGTATCCATCTTGTGCTTTAGTAAGTCGATATAAGTTAAATAAAACTTAATCCAATAAATTTTTATTTTTGGTGTTTATTTTGTTGTAATTTAAAATCTATTAAGAAAGAATTCAGAATTTATTTGAGATTACTCGAAAAATACTTGGTATTAATAGTTATAAAACAGTTGGCATTAAGGTATATAGTAGTATATTGTGTTGAGGCATATGGCACGGCATGAAGCACACGTTGAACATTTTCTTCAATTATTTATAAATCGAAAACTAAGATATGTACAGCATAGATTTTTACAGATTATGATTAATGCTTTTTACGTATTTTAATATATAGATTCACCACTCAAAATATAGACACTCATTTAAGATTCACCTTGTATAAAACAAACAAGACTGATAAGATTGACCCAATTAAATAATAGTAGATACACAAAAAAAGAGATTGACAAAACCTAGTAATATTTGCAAATAATATATAAAATATTTTTTAGTTTAATTCATTATATATTTCAAATTCGGAGGAATTCGGTGAAATTAAAAGTACAATAAACAGTAGTTATTGAATGTACTTTGCTATTATGAATACTTAAATTTTTCATACAAAGTAATAAATGTGTTAAAATGAAATCCATGCTATTTTATATAGCAATAAAAATAAAGCTTCAATTATAAATAACATCAGGCATAAAGAATTTTATTCTTTTATTTTTAATGTGCACTGTATATATGATATTACAATCATAATATTATCTATATAGAGTGATCCTTTTGCTAGTTAACTCAAAAACAATGTCAATGATCATATCGCGGCAGCGATATTATATCAGTAAATATAATCTGTTTAAGGGCAAATACTATCTCTGTGTTAGGACATGATTGTATGTTTACTGAACATATATATAACACATAAAATGAAAATATATCTGCAGTACGATACAATTTTGTCTTTGTATTGACTAATGAGAGGATCTCTCTACATAAAAGTAAATATTGTGACTAAAACAAAAACATTTACCTTGATATTTTCTAATTCTGCTTGTGTAATTGTTAATTGTTGAAGTAGTTCTGCAACAGTAACCTTCGGTGGTGATTGATGTGCATGTTCATATATCTGCAATAAGTATCGATTTTAATTTTTATGTTACATAAAAAAATATTAAAATGTATAATGTAATATTTATAAACTAAAAATATTAAAAATTTGTAAAACTAGATATGAAGTGTTGTTATTTATTAATAAAGTATTATTAGTTCTTAACGAAATAATGCAGTTCGTAATATATATTATAAACATTATGAATTTTTTTTTTTATGTTTACACATTCAAGATAACAATAATGTGATCATACCTGATCAGCTTGTTCCAGTCGCGCTGCTTCCTGACCTTTGGTATACATTCTCAGGTACATTTGTTTATTTCTTTCTTCTTGCTCATTTAACAAAGCTTTTTGCTCAGAAAGCTCCGTTTTCACAGCTTCTAATTCCACTTCTAATTCACGAGCACGTGCTTCTGCAGCATCAACAGAAGGTCTTACTTCACAGTAACGTGTATTAACTTCAGCCAATTGATTCAGTAAACTCTCTACCTGAAATTTAAAACATTTCATTGTGCTAATTTTTTGAATAGTGTAATACTTATTATACATGTATGATGTATGATAAAGTAATTTCCATACAGAATTTAGTTGTATTTCAAAAAAGAAATTAATTTAGAATTTCCACTATAGCTTCCCTATTATGAATCAATACTTATACAAGGATATTTTGTAACATCTTTTCAATATTATTTGATGAAATATTATTTGTCTAAATCGAAATGATGATCGAAATCTAAAATATACAAAAAGCTAAAAGAGTACAGAATTCAAAATTCAAAATTTTCCATTTTTGGTATCTTGATTATAAAACCGTAAAAAAAATATTTTTAGATTATTGTTAAAATTTAACTCTAAGAATTTTAATATTAACACTGAATATAACACTAAGAGTTTTAAGATCTATTAATACTGCTTTAAAAGCGAATATGTTGTACATAAAATATTAAGAACATATTAAATCTTAAATATTGTATTATATAAAACGTGGTGCAAAGGTTTAATTTTGTTTTATACAAAAATTCGTGATTACTGAGTTCTGTTATGCTTTTCATTGCTCTGTATTTTGTTAATTATTCAATGTTCCTATAAGTAATTATTCATAACGCTATTTTTTTTCATTTTCTATTCAATTACAAACACGAACACGAAATTATACATATACACGAATGCTTCCATTAAGATATACCTTGTCATTATGTTTTTGCTTCAGTTCTTGAAGTTCATCAATATGTCTACGATGCATTTCTTCAATTCTACTTTCATAAAGATTCACCAACTTGCGTCTCTCTTCATCTCTTTCTGGTGTTTCTGTAACTGATCTTATAAATGTATCGGAAGTGTTGCTTTCGGGAATTGTATTAGGCGTTGTAGTAACATGAATACTTTCTCGTTGCACTTCTGGTATATATACAGAATCTTTCGAATGGACGGATCCGTCTTCAAAATGACCCGAGTCCGCAAGAGAGGAAGGTAGGTCAGATGGGGCACGTTTCTCTGGAGTTTCAGGACTTGTGATCTTCTGTAGTGTACCTTCATCTGGTAAATCCTTACTTGGAGATTCTGGTGAAAAAGGATTGTTTTCTCGCACGGTGAGAGCATCGCTACTATCCGTTCTTTCATCTGGACTATTTAGGGAAGCTTTGTATAATCTTAGTTCCACTACTTCCTTCGTTAGTCGAAAGATCTCCTGATCCTTCTCTTCAATTTCTTTTCGCGCTTCCTTTAATAAAGCCTAAATAATATAACTTCTCATTACTGTGCAAAATAAGCATTTTTTTTGTTATTATAATTAAAAGTAGAAAATATATGTAAGATGGAAATATATGTAAGATATGTAAAATGGAAATATATGTAAGATAATTAATTATCATAATAAAAGATAAAAGAATAAAAGCAAAAAATATATCTCATTTTAATGAGATTTGTTCATTATTTCAACGTCAATGTAATATATTATATATTATATATTATATTTTGATATTATATATTATATATTATATTTTGATATTATATATTATATATTATATTTTGATATTATATATTATATATTATATTATCTATGTTAAAATTGTAAAATCAAAATACAATAATTTCTAATTTATATTATCTTATATATATTAAAAAAAAAGAAGAATGTACAAAACTTCAAAATTTATTGTGCTTTAAGACTCTATTAAAATAAGGCAAATTAAAAATCTATGTAAATTTGAAGAATTTATGTCTGATTTAATAAAAGCATTATATTTTTTGTATATAAAGTCTGTCCATTTAATATTCAAAACAAATATATAATCGTAATATTATAAATATATAATAATATAATAAATATGACAAATATATACTCATAATATAAAATGTAATATTACATCTTGACTGAAGATTTAGACGATTTGTATTCTCTATTAGTGTTGGTATGCGATTTGATCGCGTGCGAGACTGATGTCGTTGCAAATGGGTTAATTATTGTAAAATAAAACATAAATTAAATTACCTGAAATTTTCTAACTTGTCTAGCTGCTCTTTGGGTAGGCGTAAGATACTGTTCATTATCACCTGTATGGTTTGAACAATGAACAACGTACTTTCGTGATCTACCAGACCACGTAGTACCGTTGAGAGCAAATGTAGCATGGTCACAGGCGCTTGCGGTACTGCAGGCACTTCCGTAACTTTTTACACTTTCCGCGTCACTGTCATCGGCAATTCCAGTGCTTGATCCTCCGGAGGCCGCATGTCCAGGGCGCGGCCTCGCCGGGGTCAATGAAAGGCTCTGTAAAATAGACGACAGTTTCGTTATCTAATCTCGAGTAATTTAACCCACTAAGAGTACCATTTTCGTTAAAACTGTATCTCCATAATATTACTTAGCTGGATTTAATACATAATTTTATAAACATTTATATAATAAAGCAATGAAGTAAAAAATAGACGTATATATAGAATCAAAGAAATAGACAATCGAAATTTGACACCGAATTCTATTGCTTTTAAGGAATGAAGAAAAAAGATCTTTTTAGTCTAAAAACTCTTTCTTTTCGAAATATAAATACTTTTCGATCATGATGAAGTATATTATAATATTTTATATTTTAAAGAAATTGCTGAAAATTCATTTCTTCTATAATAATACTTGCTTCTTATCGACATTTTAAAAATTGACTGAGATTTTCTAAACTAAAGTAAGTTACAACTACTTTCTAAACTAAGTTAAACTGAATTCAAAATGTTTCTATAAATAAAAATTTAAATTTTGCATTTGACAGTTTTAGTGAATTTTTAATGTAAATAGGAAATATCTCGGAAAAGAAGAATTTTCGAATTTATGTTTATTTGATATTTTTACTTTGTAAAAATATTTTTGCTTTGCATCACTTTGTAGTAGAATACAATGTCAAAATTTAGCCATCTATTTCCTTAATACGCTATACGTCTTTTTAAAATTTAGTTAGCTTTTAAGGGATTAATTTTTTCGTCAAAATTATGATTAGTTAATTTTGTTAATTATCTCTTTGTTAATTGAAGCCACAAGCATTGAACAAACATTAGTTGAAAATTAAATTATGTAATTTCACGATAAAAGATTAAATCACAATAAAGAAATTATCTCTTTATATTTATAATTTGTAAATTTATCACTTATATATATGTCGTATATTATTACAAAGATATTGTTATATTTTAGATACTATATTTAATATATTGTTATATTTTATATAGTATGAATCACCTAAGACTGAAAGCTGAAACATTGTCGAAACTATTAATCCCTTAATCGCGTGTGACGAAAAATTTCGTTATGCCAAGAAAACCATCTCATTACTTTTACATATTAACATCATTATTTTTATATATTAACATCATGACATAACGACGTACACTATGACGACGTTATGTCGTTATCTTATGAAAATAATTATCATTCAAATGTAGCTATTTTAACATTGGCATGGAAAAATTAAGCGGTTAAGGGATTAATTATAAAAATATTATCCAATATAAGTAGCACCTTTATAAGTGAAGTTATATAAAGGTTAAAAAAAAACACGATAGTATTGTATTTACGTTGTCCTTGTCTCCATTTATATCGCTGTTTTTCTTTATTTTTTTCTTATTTCATATATGATAAGTTTTACAAAATTAAAATTAAATTATCTGCAAAATTATTAGTTTTATGATATGATAGTTTTTTTTCGGTTCTATTTAAAAAAGATAAAATTGATCTTCACATATTTTCCATCACCTACAAAATAACTTATAAATTATTAATTAATAAAATAACTAAATAAATTATTTCTTTCTTGAAATAGAACAGTCCTTTTTTGATATAACTAACAGTTTTTGAAAATATTTTAACTTATAACAATCTTAAGATTCGTATATATGATTTTACGAATTATTTTTTGAATACATTATTGCTTCACAAGTAAAATTATATTTTTAAAATATTACAGTATTAAATAAGAAAAGAATACAAAAGAGTTTGTATTATGGTAAATAGTTAAACGTAAATAAAATTTCAATCACAATTAAGAAATTTGCTATTATTGCAAAGAATAATACAAAATATGTCAAATAAAATTTATGTGCCACCATTATACTATCATTATATTAATTGCAATAATAATTTCTTTTCTACATTATTCATATACCAAGTATGAAAGAGCATCTTAAGCTTTTTAAATAGAATATTATTTTTTAGAAATAAAAAAAATTAATATTAAAGTCGACAACTTAATAAGGATTTAAAATGGATTTTTTTTATTGCAATGAAAAACAAGATTTGATATCTGAATGTTGTATATTCAGTCATATAAGAAGTCAGTATATATCCAACAATTTGAGTGCCACACAGCGCAGTCGATACAATTTTTCCAATGTATTTTGGCATTCAAATGATTAAAAGAAAATTATATATCTTTTTTTCGTATAAGTGCAGTATATTTATCTATAATTTAATCATTTTAATCATTCTATTATTTCCTTAATTGTGCATTTACGTTTCGTTTATGAATAAATTAAATAAATTATTTACTTTATTCTTCCAATCATTTTTGTTCTTTTATGAAAAAACACTAATATATGTTTTTTTAGATTCTTCAAACTACTCTACGAAATTGATTACTTGATGAAAAAAGTTATCATGGCAAAATCTATAATGTGACATAGAGTAACAATTTCTTTATTAAACATTCATAATATTTGATTTTTCTTCATTGTTGTCAATGTAATTATATGTACTCATATTATTTCTTACATTTTATCTATTACAACTAAGCGATTGTTGTCATTGTCATAATATTTACATTATATTGGTAAAACTCAAAAATAAATTCTCTTGTACAATTCATGATGATATTAATTATATTATTGATTAGTTTTTATTATATTTATATCGTATTTATGAATATATGTAAAAATTAATTTAACTTTTGCATAGAATTTTAAAGTACAAATCGTCACATTTATAAAACGTTGTAGATTATTAAAAGAAACAAAATATATATATTCTGGGTCTCAATGAAAGATTTTTTAATAATTATTCAAATATATCTGATATAATATAAATATTCCGACATAAAAACTTGAAAATTGAAAATTTGAACAAGTTGAACAATTAATAAATGAAAATTCCCCTCAACAAATACAAGAATTTGTTTCACAATATGGCATAATCCAAAAAATAATTTCTTGTTAGAAAGTAAAACCAATAAATAAATAGCAAATTTATCTAAAACAACTAATTAAATAATAAACTTTTAAAAAACTTAAAGAGCATCTGAATTAATTATTAACTAATTACTTGTTATCGTTTTGATAATGTGTAAGTATTGTAATAGAGAATAGATATTAAAATTTAACGTAATCATTCAAATACACAGATAAAAAAAGATGAACAAACGAAAGAAAACAAAAGATTCTCGAATAAAGAATATATATATTTCCTTTATTTTTCATTCTTTACTACTTAATTTAATAAATTCGAACAGCAATTCAGCAACGATGAGTTAAACGTAGGTGTAAATGGGATGATGTATAACTGCACGTGTACTAAGTAAACTGTGCTAGATTTCCAACTTATATTTTTACGTAGATTCTGCCTACACTTCTACAATTCTGATGCACTTAATAAAATAAATATTTGTTTTATATTTATGATTTATATTTATGATTTAGCACATATTTTTGTATTGTTAATTCGTGACAAATTTTTTGCCTTTTTTTATCTAAAAAATAATCTAATATTAGACAGATCACATTAATAAGTGTACATGTTGGAAATATTATTATAAGAATTTTGATGTCATGTTGTAACAGAATTATAACAAAAAGAATTTAAAGTTATTTTCCTTGATTTTTATATTATGTCATTATTGCAGTAAATGAGCGATATATATATATATATATATATGAAATAAGTAACATTCCAAACTTTCATAAAACAGAAAACAATTTTTATGAATAATTGCATAGTAATTAAACATTTAGATTGTAAATAAAATATTATTAATAAACATTTAACATAAATTGGATAAATAGTTTGATTAAAATTATAATAATATAAAGAAAAAGTTACATAAAAACTTTATAGAAAACTAATTATAGAAAAGGTTACATGTAAAAAATTACAATTAGTTTAGAAAAATTAATAAATAGAATTAACAAATAAATTAATGTTGCAGACAGTTAAAATTAATCAATTTCCCATTAATTGTCATTTTAAGTATTAATTTTAAGTTACAAGTTTGCAAAAGTCTCTATTTATTTACTACAATTGCTGTTAATTACTGGTAAAAGTTAAAAATAGAATATTTATTTCACACAATCAGTAAATATTTTTACATTAAGGTTGCATTTGAAAGGTCAAATATGAAGAACAGTTCATCATTTTTATACACAGTTGCCCTAAGGGTAATTTACCTCAAGCTTAAGAAGAAGCTTTCTTGCTCTGTGACTAGTCTGGTCTGAAAGTGAAGCAAAATCAAAGACCCCATTGAGCAGAAAGATATGAGACTCTTCTTTAAAGACGAGAAGTTTGTCGAATCTGTATAGGAACAGATTTCAAATAAAAATATTTTATGAATATTTTCTCAACAATACATTACGTTTAACAAATGTTTCAATTTAAATTTATTATTTTCGTGACAAACTAAATTTGTAAACCTGAGTATATGAAAATTAAGCACGTTTGAAAAAAATTATTATAAAAATTATAAAAAATTATTATTATTATTATATATAATATTATGTCTTTATAGTTCATTTATAATAATAAGATCACAAATAAATGAATAAGGTGTATATTTTGTTACAACTTTCCAAAATATTGTTTAACACATATAAAAAAAAACATATTATAGCAATATTTTGATAGTCAAAATTTCACATAGAAAAATCTTTCCTCTCTTTTTTATACACTTTATTATTTGTAAATATTTTATCATATATATATATATATATATACGTATGATTTTCAGATATAATTTTAATTTCTTTTTTATAAAAGTATTTTATAAAATTTTATTAAAAAATCTAAATATTTTATCAGTATATAATAATATAGATACAATATGGATATAAATCAATAGATTTTTAGATTGAATAATTTTTATTATGCAATAAATATATCATAGGCATACCGGAAAGATGAGTAACATTTTTCCATCTAATACTTCGTTTTCGAGAAGACCGACTTTTAAAATTTGTCACGTATATTTTAAATTTGACTAATTTGACTAACTCCAGACTAGAGAAGAATGAATAATTGACAGAAGATCAATAATTTACACGTAAAAATAAATAAAAAATATAAAATAAAATTTTTCCGTTTAAGGTTTCGTTTTCAAAAAAGTAGAATTTGACCACGTGTTATACACGTTTGAAAATTTTAAAATTGAATTTTCTCGAAAATGAAAGATCGTGTGAAAAAATTTTATTCGACATTTTTATTTTATTTTGAAACGTAGAATTCTAGTGTTAATTATTTCATTTATTCTATCCAGAATCAGTCAAATTCGATTATATATTTGACAAATAAATTAAATTCGATTTTCTCAAGAAACAAAGCTTCAAATGAGAAAATGTTATTCTTTTCCCTTGATCTATCTTTGCATATAAAATCACCATTTGGTCGGTTATGTCAAGATTTTCAGTACACCTTATATATTTATTGAAATATTTTGTTTTAAATACATATTTGCGAATCAATAATTGGTATGCTTATAATGAAATGAACTTTCTTTTTTTTAAATCATACAATTAAATTATTATATTTTTGAAATAGTTAAGAAAATTACGTAATTATAAATTACTAAATAATAATTATTAATTATTATAATATATATATTACAATTGTAATTATTATAGTATTATTTGAACGTTTTAATATCTAGACTTTTCATTATTCAAATGTTCTATTATTTGAACAATATATTTTTCGATCCTCTACTATCACATAATAATGATATAGCACAATGGCTTTAATCTGATCAAAATATCGCAGATCTTATTGCTATTGATATTGTTAGTACCATTATAAATTCACAATGAACAAAAAGAAAATTATGATGAAAATAGTGATGAAGATATGACTTCATATTTTGAAGCATCTATAGCATTAGAGAGATTAGCAATAAAATTAACAATAAGATATAATAAATAGAAGATATAAATGAAATGATAGAATTAAACTAAACTTAATATATTAAAAAGTTTGTGTGATCTTGAAGCAACAAAAATATAGGATCCGTGAATAATTAAAAAATTATTTCATTTATATTACATCTTATTTTTTGTAATTGTCATTGTATTATTCTTTTTTTAAATGTATAGCATAATAATTATGAGAAAAGGCGAATGTTTATCTGAAATGTTACTATTCGAAAATTCTTTTAACTAGACAGTCATATCTCTATTATTTCGAATACAGTAGCTTATGAGAAAGCTGCATTTAGAAAATTTAAATAAAGAATTAACAAAAAAATTGAAATTATTAATTAAAAAAAAATGTACAACATATAAGATATTGAAAATAATGTTTGACAGAATTTTCATTATAATGGGGTGTAAAATTCTTTAAACATTTTTATTTTTCATATAGTGGATATAAATTTTTATCTTTTATTTTTTATTAAATGTCGATAAAATAAATAACTATACGTTATTAGCATCAAATATGTGAATTAGCTAAACCAACACTTACTGAGAAACAACTGCAACAAGATGAATTATTATTATATCATCTATATTTGAAAAATGTAACTCAAACTTTGAATACTTTCATTAGATTGGCCGAGTAGAATATTAGAGTAAGATTATACAGATTGCAAAATAGCATTCAAACAATAAAATCATTGTAATACATAAAAAAAAGTACGTCTAAAGCTTAATGATAAAATAATAAATTAAAATAAAATTTAGTGAGTTTACTAAATTTACAACAATTTACAGAAATTATAGTTGACATTAGTACATAATATTTAGAAACCGTGTGGAATGAAAACTAAATGTTAGAAATACAATAATTGCATTAGAAACGAATAGACGTTACGTCTATTAGGATTAAATCGACGATAAATACTGGGCACGATCGTTTTTTCCCACAGCATTACGATCTAAGAGCAATGGAGAGGTTTCATTTGCGCCGACGCATTGCTCGTACAAAGGTCAGACTACCTTTACATTTCATTAGCTATCTTGAAAGTACTTGAACCAAGAAACAATTAATATTTCAAATTTTGTTTAGCTAAGCAGCAGACATCTTTTCATGCCCGCACGCATCCCTCTTGCTTTTGTCTGATTCCGGGAAGGAAGGTGGCCCGTACAGAGGGATGGTTACATGACCTTCCACAATTATTTCTTACTTTTCAGGTCAGAACTGTTATTTGATGAAGCTGTTTATTTAATAATAAGTGAACTTTTTAATCACAGTAAATGGTTTGAAAATACTTTATTAACGTGAAATCACGAAGGTCGGATTTGGCAAATTGCCTATTATTATTACTTCATTATTTGTGCGAATCGAATAGAATTTTCTGGGAAATTATTTCTTGTTATTTTATGATGTACGAGTTAACTGATCAAAATTTTTTCTTAACCGATTTAAATTACTTAAAACGCATTGAGTGATGCGAACTTTTAAAGGATTGCATTGAAAACAAGCTAACAAACAATGTGCATGCATATGTGAATTCTATAAATTATTAAAATTACTACAATTTAATTATTAATACTTCATCATTTTCCTTCAGTATACATTTATATATATTATAAATATATATAAATAAATAAATAAATAAGTAAATAAATATATATATATATATATATATATATATTACTGCTACTATTAAAATTTCGTTATGAAGCAAATTATAATTCTGAAGATTACGATTAATATTTTTAATAAAAAATATCAGGACGTTGTCATTAAATAAAAAATATATTTATATATTAATGTGAATTATTAACGTGAATATTGAGTAATATATCTAAAATATTTGTGAATGTTAAAAAAATTAATAAAATTAATTTTGTTACATGAAAAGTTTACTAAGTTTGTGATATCTTTTACGTTAAATTCTTTTCTATTCCATATGTGTCACGTATAAAAATATTTTTAAACAATCATAAAAAATACATGTTTTTTGAAGTTTTAACAACAAAGAAACAAAAATATGTATACTTATTTTACATTTCAATCATTTTATCAATAATAAAATGATAATTTACTACCTTGAAACATAATGTCTGATGACAGGTTCTTTTATATTCGAAAATAAACAGAAAAATTTCATATATATCTCGTTTGAACGTATGCTTATATGCACGTATTTTTATATTCTTTCCATTCCTCAATATCTTTACTTTTAATATCACATGTTATAAATCACATGAAAACGGAATCAAGCCGGAATACAGTCAATAAGACAGAATTGTCAGCACGCATCTGCGATCCGCATCGAACGAAGAATACGGCGTAATATTGCGGAAGCATATAAGAAAGTCACTTGGAGCAACTTTTCAAAGGAATGACTTATAATAAATGACAGTTAATATCGATTGGCACGAAGGTTGATACTTACGAGAGATCGTTGTCTGGGTGATTCGGTTCCATTCTCCGTGATGACGGGAAAAATGCGATGGTCCAGGTGATGGTGTTGCTGATGGTGCAGGAAGTTGAAGCGACGACACTGTTGATAGGATCTGCTCAGAGCCGCGGTGACCGCGGTACTGGGTGGTGGTGGTGGGTGATTCGGTGAAACTCGTTCACCACGCATGCGCATACTAACGGAGCGACGCAAACCTATAGGTGAGGGACGTGGAATACGAGAATCCAACGGAGAGGATGCCGAGGATGCCGAGGGTGATGGAACGGTACCCGGTATACTTCCTGTCGTGTAGACCACGTTGTTATCGGCATTGACCTTGATCGTGCTGTTACTGTTGTCAGTACATGTCGCTGACTCTGACAGTGCTAATTCCGTCGTGGGTGATTCGTTAGTGCTGTTTACAGAGACCGAGTCTCCTGGATGCATCGATTGCGGGGAATGCAAGGACCTTTCGCTGCCGTGACGAGCCATCCTCTCAGCTTATTTCATCGCTTTGTAAAATTCCTGTGTGAAAAGAATCAAACTTATGTTGAGTTCCACTTGTTAGAAAATATACAGCATATTTTTATCACTAACACAATTTAATATATTTTCTTTCTAAAATTAATGAGACTACAACTTTACTTTGTATTTACTACGTATTTTCAAATACTTCAAAAAGAAGTAACATCCTTCTGATGATAGTTACAGTGATTTTGTAATAGATTATAAATTTATATAAATAAATTACATAAATTATAAAAAAGTAAATAAATTTTTATTTGTCATATTTTTTATTCTTCTTTTCTTTATATTTATATTGGTAAAATTATTTATATAAATGATTTCAGTAAATTTGCAAATCATCTGTGCAAGATTTATCAATTCCACTACGAAAGTAATTTAATTATATAAATTAAATATTTGCGAATTTTATAAAATAGTTTGACACTATACATTAGACATACATATTCAATTTTTAATGACATATTTATAATTTCTCAAATTGAATGAAACATACACGAGATGTCTTATGACCTTGATTGTATTTAACTAAATTTATTTTAATTTAAACTTTTACTACTTCCATTCATTTAGCTTTAAATAAGTGCAATATCAATTTTTTCGTAGTCATAAATACTTGTTTAAAATCTTTTTTATGATCATATCTTTACTGATTTGACAATACATTATTACTCATATATGTATAACAATCTAATAATAAAAATATAATAATAATTAAGATCATGTAAATTAAGTTTATTCTTATCTATTATTTTTTCTATTGTATTTCATTTCTTTGTAAAGAACGATTTCTTTATGGTATGTTATTATTATATGTTATTGCTTAACAATTAATATCTATACAATTCTCGTATATTCAATTAATGATAATTATACATTTTATTTATATTTATGAAGAATAAATCATATTTTGAATTCCGTTTTACTAAAAACACTAAAGGATATAATATTTTCTGCATGAAAATACTTCAGTTTCAGATAAGTTTTGATATCATTACTTGACTATAGATAATATCGTTAAGAATAGTTCGTATAAGCTGTTTATTAAGCAGATAGATTAAAATAACTTTAGAAATGAACAAAAACACAAAATATGTCACTTGTAACGTTACTTTTATTACATTGAATTTTGAAAATAATAATACAATTTATTTATGATTATATCTACGTATGTGTTCATTACTATTATAAGGAAATTGCGGATTTTTATGTACTTATCAGAAAGTTAGAAGTTCAAAGAATGAATACAATATATAATACAGAATGAACAGTATATAATATTCAAAAATATTCAAAGTATTTATATGAACAAAATTTTTATTAAAATTCCATTTTTTCTTCTAATATGTCTAAAAAGATTTAAAAATACATAAAAATCCGCAACATAAGAAGATGTTTAAAAAAAAATTTTTTTTCTAGCTAAATACAAATAATTGATTTTGTTGAACCATAAAAATTAATATTTCTAATTATATAAAGATTTTTGTTAATTTTCATTTATTATCCATGTTTAATCAATTTTATTTATTTTTTTATATATTTAATAATTATTTATTATGATCTTAATTTTTAATTATTTAATTAATAATTTTACTCGGATTATTTTACATGGAAATAAAAAAGTATTTACTTGAATTAAATATACTATTATTATGAAAAAAATATTTTTAAATATAAATATTCGTGGAAAAAATTTTCGTGTGTATGCAAATGGACACACAGATGATAACTAGTGATAAACAAAGTAATAAACAAAAATAAATGAGAATCTATCATTTTATCTAAATCTATATTAAAAAACAAAAAAAGGACATCTAGGACCTATTATTTTAATGAGTTTCATAGTTAAAGTTGGGAGATTAAAGTAAATTATAGCAAGTTTGCAAGTTATAGCAAGTTTGTAAAAATTCTAGGATATTTTTTTCAGAATTTTAAATATTTTCTAATATCATTTATGTCATTTTAATATTTATAAACTTTCTATGAACTTAAATAAATTCATCTCTACAAACGTTACTTAATATAATATAATCGCGAAAAGTAATATTACTTTTTCATTATTGCATTAAAAATAATTTAATTGTACTTTTCTTTTTATTTTTACAAAAATTAACATAGCACAGTGTCAATTAAATTAAGTTTGAAGTAACATATAAAAAAGAAATTTCAGTTTAACGCAAGGAAAATAATTTATCCGATACTTTAAACTGTAGAAATATGCAATATACAAAATATATAGAAACATTAACAACTTTTAAATGTAAAATGTTATTAATAAGTAAAATCTAAAATATAATATACTATTAATATTCAGATGTTATGACATATGTCACAAATAACAATACATAATTAATAATAAATATATTTTTTTTAGTTTTTATAATTGAGCAGTTTAATCATACACTATGCGAGAATCTATCCCGTTCATTAAATGGAATCATATCTGATTACATGTACTAATGCATAATTTGCGAACATTTCAAGATCCTCAATCAAACGACGGGAGTTACAGCAATTTTGGAGTGCATCATTTGTACTATTTGCAAAAGATATCAGTGATATTTAAATATTTCTTAAAATTAGAATTTCATAACAATGCTTATTATTAAACAAACAGAATAGAACACCGTTTATTATTTTTTGAAGTTTTTGATTGTATTTTAGGCTTCTGTAAAAGAAATTATTGTAATATTGTTTATTTTCAAATTTTATATTTTATATGCAACTGAAGGAAACACATGTAAACATACTATATTGGTTTGTAATATTAATACGACGCAACGGATTAAATTTAAAAAAAAAAAAGGTAATCTCTGTATGAATAATTTGCTATTTCTTTAATACACATATGTATGTAAATATATATCCATTTTGATTCAAGTATAAATATCTATCTTTATGAATCATGAATCTAATAATAAAAAAATTCTAGTATCTTTTTTAGGTGAATTTAACTTTTAAATGTAACAAAATAAAACAGTTCCGAATTCGTTTTTATCGAAGATGTTTACATCATGTAGCGAGTGGAGAAGTAAAGATTTTCAACTTATAAAAATTCAAATGTCTCTAAAAACATTGAAAAATTTTTTATTTATTTTTTTTTTTTTTGATAAAAAAAAGAGAACGAAAGAAGGACTGTCAAAACAAAGGTTTTACGCTTTAAAATAAGAATAAATTGTTATTTATGTTTGTGTAAGTTACCGACAACTGTTTACCGTTTGTAGTAGTTCTTTTCAATGCTCTCCTATATGTAATTCCGTTAGAAAATATTTTATGTTTATATAATAAATTAAAAAAACATATATTAAATAATAAATTTAAAATAATATACAAATTAACAATCCTTTTTTAATTTTTTCTAATATATTTAAGAATCTGGTAATATAATGTAAGTATGCAAATGAAAATTATTATGATTGATAACATTGCAAGATCGACAAAGTTCGAAACATCTGCATAAAAGAATAGATAAATATTTTTAAATAAATTGTTAATGGTTATAATGATGAATTGTAAGTAAATTGTTTATGGTTATAATGATAAAGAACTAATACACTGATTACAAGTACATAAAAATTCTTGGTTTAGAAGATATTTTAATTTCAATTAAACGAAACTTGTATGAAACAAGAACAATATGAACACAAGAATGTCATTCTTGTTTTTTTCGTCTTTCATATGATAGATTTTATAAAACGGAAGCAAATAATTTTTCGACACACATAAGTTAATACTTCTTTATAGAGATTGTCGAGCTATATCGATTAATGCATAAGCCTGCTTCATTTTATCATAGAATATATTTTATCTAGGACTTTACCGAAACCAAAATTAATAAAAAATATTCTACTGATATGGTCAATGAATAATAAATTCCTGCTTCATTATCGTCAGTTTTTACTAATTTGTATCAATGAATAACGCTTTTTATTATATGAATAATAAAAGTAATACCCCGTTTTGTTTTTAGATGATTTTTTAAAAGTTAGTCAATTAATTTAAGTAGTCTTAATTGAATCTACATCCATTGTTTCTTTATATCTATGTCCTTATATCTAATGATTCAAAATAAAACATAAGAACACTTCATCAGAGAATTTATTTTTATCTTCAAAAATAAAGTGTTTTCCTAAAATTATTTGGTGTTTGGATAGATTTAATGTTGATGATATGGAATCCTCATTCCTATCACCAATATTATTTGGAAAAATTATCGTTTATTTTAATGTTCATTACATTTATTATGAATTCATAATTTCGTCATAATAATCATCTGAATATTTATAAGAACAAAATATGTAAATATCATTTTTAAAAGATGGATATTCATTATTACGTTTCATGATAGAAAAATTATTGAAATAGATTAATATATATGTTTGATCGATTTCTTTTACAAGTATCTCTAGTAAACTATATTATTCTCGTACATAACATGTCATATAATCGTTAAGACAGTCATAAAATTTCTATATCTACTTATAAACAACTTATTAGCATCAAAAAAGGTTCTACAAGACTTTTAAATATCTATTTATATCTTTAAATATCTATCTATTTATTATAAATAAATTTAAGATTGTATCATATAAATAAATAAACAGTTTTAATTTTTACATCATTACATGTTAAACTTACATATGGCTGCAATATATATTTTTGATCTAAAATAATTTATTGTAATACTCTAATTTATCGACATTTTTAATTTTTCCATTATATATATGTACCACTTTCTCTTTTAAATGAAAATAAGTAGAATGACGCTATGATATTTACTATTATGTATGTATACATATGTAAAATATCATTATGTATTATGAATATGATAAACAATTCATTTGATTCATTTGTAGGACCTATTGATTTTGACAAAATTTTATTCAAATAAATTGCTGAATTGTTTAGAATATTTATCCAAATTGTTTTGATATATAGACTAATATATATGTATATACAGAGCAATTTTTCTGTTATTTTAAATAATTTCACAAAAAATATTTGAAATAAAAGTTGATCAGTATCAACTTGGCTATAAATTGTAATAAAAGAATTTTTCAAAAAATTGCTTTTTCAATAAAGAGGTCACTGCGATTTTTCGAAATGACACCTATCAATTCGAAATGTATTTTCGAATTGATAGGTCCAAAACAAATTTAACGATCTACTACACTATGGCCGCCACATGACTTTGAATTCAGAAATTAATGATTAGAAATGTGTGAAAATTACTTTATTTCAACTGAATTTAATTTGATTAATTTGATTTAACTGAATTTGATTCAACTGAATATTCAAAACAATAATAAAACTGTCAATAAGTTTACGAAACGAATAAAAGTAGTAAACAAATTCACAAATTCGATAACAATAATACAATATGTATTATGTATGTATGTAACAATAAATCGAAACACTTCGCTTGGCGCAACAACTAGAAGTGTATTAGCGAAGTTAGGTATCACAAATGGATTACAGTCGGAACATAGGATATAATATAATTTGCTATAGATTTAATTTATTTTATTTTGTTCAATCAATTTATTAGGTTGGCAATTTCAGTATTCTTTTGAATATGTAATACATTTGAAATAGAATAATTTTTCATATTTTCAATCATTATGCTAAAATTTTTGAATTCAAGGTTATGAAAGTCAGAGTAATAGATCGTTAAATTCGTTGTGACAGCAATCCTATCAAATCAAAAATACATAATGCCACTCAGAAAAATTAAGATGTCTTTGATTTTTTATTGAAAACACAAATTTTTTTTATCGCTGTTTATAATTAAGTCCTTTATTTCAAATATTTTCTTGTAAGATTATATAACAAAAATGAATAATCTTAGACAGTACATTCTATATTATATGTATATTTATAACTTCATATTATATTAAAGAATGAATTACTTACAGAAACTTAAGAAAATATAAAGAAAACGTAGAGAAAATTATAGATAATGTATTACAATATATTTTAAAATTAAAAATAAATAATTCTTTATTATAAAAATTATTATAAAATAAAAATTAAATAATATTGTATAATATTAGTAAAAATTCTTCCTGCGATTAAAAATCATCTAAACGTGAATGAAGACACATTTGCACGATCAATTATTCCGAAAATAAAAATTTATTATTGTTTAAAGAAAATTAAGTATATTAATAATGTCTTTTTAATTCAATAGTCGTTATAAATACAGAATAGACTTGACACGTACAAGAAAAATCAAATGTTATATACTATTATATATTACATGTATATATATATATACATACATAATAACATTATATATGTATAAACCAATGATATATATATCATTGATAATAACATTATATATGTATGTACCAATGATATATATATAAAATTTATACGTAATCACTAATTTATATTCGTGATGTATTTTTGCTCATTTTCTACAATTATTTTCTGCTTTCTTTTTATTAAGATTTCTATTTTTCTTTTTTAAAATCCATTGTTTTAAATTTATTTATAGAATTAATTGATATGAAATATTTATTTAAAATCGTTAGCATTATAAAATTAATAATTCATATACATACAAATTCGTAAAATTTAATTTAAATTAAATTAGAGTTTAATTTTCTGAAATTATAGATATTTTAAAATAGGTTTTTATACAAATAAACGTATCAATATTTCTAAATATAACCTTGGATAAAAATATTTATCATTATTATTATCATTCTTGATATTAATACTTCAGAGAAGAATGACATGCCCAATGGAAATGTTGCGCGCGCATTAAACTCGCAAATAATTTAAAATTTGAAATCAAAAATGCTATTTACTGCTTACGTAGTTACTATTTAAAAATATTAAATACCTAAGCATACTATAGCGCAAAAGAAATAATATGGATATTAAAAATGCAATTAAATTAAACATTACGTGTATGTGTTATATGTGTCATGCATGTTGTTTGAAAACTGTATGAAAGAAAACGATTATATTTAAAAAAAAATTATTTATATTAAATAAAAACACTTTCTACTTTTCTTTTCATAAAATAATTTAATTACATTTTAGTATGAAATCATGTAAAGGAAATATTTCCTCTAGCTTCAAAAATAACCCGTCAAAACAGGAACAAATAAAAAGAAATTGGATTTGTTGTTTAACAAGTTAAGGGGATTATATCCTTATTATAATTGTAGATTTTAATTAATGTCATCATTTAATATGAATAGCGTTGATGATGTTTTCTTAAATAACATAAAATTATGATTTTATAATAATTATCCTGAGCAACTGAAAAAATAAAATGAAATTTAAACGATTTGTTTTTTTGTTCATATAATTTTTAATATCTTTTCTATTATATCTTTTTTTATATTTTTTATTTTAGGAAAGCTTATATATTTCAAAATACACAATTCCATTTCGTTCCATTTTCATTAAAAATGTTTTGCGATATTATTTTGAGAATAGTAATATTTTTTTATTAAAAAAAATAATCATGTAATGAAAACTTTAAAGATTAAATACTACAAAATATGGTACAAGTCTTTCATCGGTCATGTATAAATAAACTTTGCATTATCAACAGCTTTTTTAGATGTGCATGATATTATGATTATAAGTACATATTTGATCAAGTTAATACTGTCTATCTATTTTTTGTGCGTTCTTCGTTTTTTATCTCATGCTTTTAAGATTAGCACAATAACGCGTGTCGAAAAAAAACGTGTATGTGTAGCTTTTCAATAAATATTTTAATGTACATTATTGCTACACGAGGATTGTGAAAATATAAATTATTACATTCAGCGTGGCGATCGCGCGTTCATTCACAGAATATTTGTAGTTATTAATAATATCTGGCATGTAACTAAAATTCGTGTGTCACATACAACTGACACGAATTAGAGTAGGAAAAAGTCTATTGGAATAAAGTAATCGATCATTTGGTGTCCTATTTCAAGAACATGCTGCGGCATTATGCAGCGTCCACACCATCCTTGAAATTATTGAAACAATATTGTTTTTCAAAATTACAATTTTCTTTTAATTGAGAAGTAATTGCATGTATTGATAGCGATAGCTTTTTTTTTAATTTTTATCTTGTAACGTTATCGTCCCTTAAGTGAAAAATTCAGAAGTTATAATTTTCCTTTAAAAAGTGCACGCTAAGCGCTTAGCAACTATTATATAATCTTACGTTCGTTCTTACAAAATATGAAAGAAAAAAAAATGTTAGAAATTGAGTTGACATATGCATGACTGACTTCGAACAATTTACGTAAATGAAGTTTGCGTACGTTGTACCAGCTGCCGATTTTGTAAGTTTCTTATGACGTATTGTGCGAACATAGGAAGTAATTAACAATTAGAAAGTAGTAATTAAATCAGTTAAAAAACCGTATCTTACCTTTGAAACATGAACTCGGAATTATAAGAGATTTCTCCACTTGTACAAATCTTCGAGAGATCTTAATATTTATTGTGTATGTTTTTGTACAATTACTACGATTATAAACTTAAAAATGACGATAAAACGAAAAAATTATCGATAAGGAACATTTGGTTTCACTATTAATTCGTGCCACGCGGGCTTATCGCGTGTAAAAGTTGAACATAGCTGCAGGTACTAGTTGTTATACAATGTAAACTACAATAATAACAAGTTCATGGTAAACGAGTAATGTCTACGAGTTATTTAAGGGACATCCGACGCATAAGCCACTAAACACTATTCTCGTAATATTTCGAACACTTTCAAAACAGGATTAAAAAACATGCTCACTTCCTGACCATTCTAGTAATCACTGACAATTCTAACACGACTCAAGCAAGCAGTGTTGCCTTACAACGACCAATGATCGCGAGATGTCGTATCATGAGCACTGCTCATTGACAATATCATGATTTTGGTGTATTAACGCCATCTGACAATGATTTCTATACAATAATTATTAATCGATTGTAGATAAATCAGACTGATTAAAATAAATAATTCTAGTTACCACAGACGAGATATCATTGACCATTAACTAAGAATAGGATAGACCAGACATCCAATGGTTTTTCGTGTTGAAGATAGGGGCGGGGGTCATATGACCCTCTTACTATTTTCGTGTCACATTCTGTCGTATCGACTTAGGCAAGTATTGCACTATAGCCATAGACGAGGTATATAGACGTTGTATCTTACGGACTTTCGTGGCCCATGACCTAAAATACCGACGTACTATCACTGGTTTTTTTCAGCGCACTCTACGTTTAAACAACGGTAAATTGGGGAACTAATGAATCCACCAGTTCTATTCGTCAGGAAAAATTTCGTTTGAAAAAATGATCTGTTTCTTGAATTAATTGTATAATGTATGAAGATTCCTCCGAAAATTATTTTGCTTATAAAGATGCTATTTTATATGATCGGCAATTGAAATAAAAAAAATATACATATAATTTTTTTGTATATAAAAGTATTTTAAATTAAACAGGATTTTTAATAAATAATTATTTTTAATTTTTAATTTATTTTATTTTTATTTTTAATTGCTTTTAGTTAGCAGTTTCATGTCATCAATACTTTTGACATTAATATTTACTATTGTACCTTGTGTTTTTAAAGGCAATATTTATATTGCTATCATAAAAATTTGTTAAAAAGAGAATTAATTAATTATTCATAAACCTTGTCTGTGCTATTGTTTAGTGTATGAGTGTTTCATAAACTGTACTATCACAGTTATTCAAAAATAAGAAAGTATACATAAAAATATAACGAAATACGTGGTTTATCCTGCATTTAATGAGACTCAATATTTGATTAAAAATTGAATTAATAGATATATATGTAATCACTTTGAAATTTGCAAATGATTTATTAAATATTTTGTATTTATATGTATGAAGTATTAGATGTTTCAGTATTACAATCCGTGATATAAATATCCAAGATATAAATTCGCAAATATTATTTAAAATAATTATGCAACTTTTAATAATAATAATAATAATATACAATAACATTACATATATTATAATATATATAATATATAACTCTTTTCTAATTATAATATACTTTATTTGTTACATCCTGTTAGATCGTCACTGTGATATTACACAGAGTATTATACAAAGTAAATAGGCGACTAAACAGATTCGTTCGTTGTTTCATTATCAAACTCACAAAATTTTTGTCTAATCACGTATGATACAGTCGTGAAGTAAGGAACTTTCAAGAAGTTAGCAATGTATAGGAATGTAATAAATAATTTTATCAAGAATTTCATTGAGCATTAATTGTTATTTTTCAAAAAATACTTTTTCACGTGATAATGCGAATTTTAGGATAATATTATAAATCACTGAATGAAACAAATTTAAACGAAAAAATATTTAATTTAGATAATCTAAATGACTTTTCACATAAAATTTTAAAAATTTTAAAAAACAAGTTGGTGACAGATTACGATGTAAGCAGTGATAGGATACCAAGAGAATATTTCGTATTATTATTAATTTTTTAATTTTTAACATTGTATTTCTAATCGATAAAATAAACGCCCTTTTACAGATAAAAATATATTCACCGATATTAAATTACAGTTTTTTAAAATATCTAACTAAGGCTTTTCGCTTCAATAGAATGTAAGTATCTATTTAAATAAAGTATTGTATGAAAAAATTTCACATTTTTGATTTATTTTTACTCATGAATTACCAGTATGGAATTGTGTAGATATTATTATAAATTTACGGAATTGTTGGGATAACTTATATATTTTTGATAACTATTAGTAGAATAAATTAATAGAAATCTTATTGAAACAAAATAATAAAACATAATGTATATCTTATTAAATATTATAATATGCAACATCTCTTTTATTTATATCTTACATATAATACTTATATATATATAAATTCAAATATGATCAAATATTCGCATTTATAACTTAGATATATGCACAAATAAAATTTTACTATCGTAAATTGTATTCAAATAACAATTATTAGTTCCAAAATAACGATTATTGAATTTATTGTATTTATTGTATACACTGAAAGTTTAATAAACAATTATAAACTATTTGAAAAAAATTGTTTTTCTATTATAATTCATTTAGTTATAGTTATTTAGTTCATAAACATGGTGGACATTTATCAGGACTTGAACAAGGTGATACACATTTTTGCGTTATTGGATTAAATTGCAGATTATTTGGACATGTCAAATTATATTTGATGGTGGTTACAGCATCTGTGTAACAGAAATAATAGTCCTGACAAGTACCTCCTATTATTTGGAATCTACCATTACATGGCGTTGGTGTTGTACGTGGTGTTGTACTTGTTGTAGTTGTTGTAGTTGTTTTACAAACATAGTTCGCAGATGGTACACAAGTTCCGGCCGAAGGATCAAATGACTGCGAAGCTAGACACGATGTATCGTACGCGACCAATGATCCAGTTTCATCATAAAGACATATGTAATATTTTTTACAGTCTACATCGTCAATTGCAGTTGTTTGTAGCAATGTTGTACACTTTCGATTAGTAGGAGTTAACGATAATCCAATGGGAATTGAATTAAAGATGAGAAGAATTCCAATCACAACGAAGAATATGTTCATTTTGCGTGTTGCACTGATCTGTAGAAAATTATACTTTGCCAAGAATCAAACAGAATATGTTTCTTGGTTTAAGAACTGGGGCAAATATATAACCCTCGTTGAATTTATTGTTTTATTGCAGTGTATTATGGCGAATATATCTGTCAAATCTGAGAAAATGTGAACTGAACGTATCTCATAATACTTTATAATTTATGTTTATAAGTGAAAAAGATATGAGAACTATTATTGCTTCTTCGTGAATAAACGTACAATTAAAACAGTCGCTTCAAATGTTTCCAAAAGTTATAGTTAATAATGTAATAATAATAATGTAGTAAGTCTTTTATTATAAATAATATACTTTTTATATTGGTCAAATATGCTAAATGATATATCCAGCATTTTTAACATATTTTTATACTTTTAGTTATTTACGTAGTTTCAAGCCTTTCTGCGAAATATGATCTCGAAAACTTGTAAAACTTGAAATCAATATCTGTAATGTTCTCAGAATTAATAATTTGTAACATTTTCTTGTACCCGCTCTGTATACGGGAAAAAAAATATTTTCATTATATGTAACTCATTGTCAGTATAATATTGAATATATGAAATTTTTTTTGCAAACAAAATTTCAAGCGAGATAATGATTTCCAAAAATTTAGTAAGTTTGTTCTTGACCCTATTATGGTAAATGTATACTTGTTATATTGCTCTATATTATATCATTATAATAACAATCATTTTGGCCTAAATTCTATTATCATTCATAATGTAATACAAAATTGAGACATACTTCATTGAAATATAAACTTTATGATCGTTTTCATTAATAGTTTTATTTAAATATACAATATGTATAATAAATTTTTATCAAGATATTGTAGGCATTGAAACAGCAAACAACTTATATAAATAATATATTTGTCAGACGTTAATAGACGCAATCAAAATTATCACAAAATTTTGGAAAAATTGTCATATCAAAGGAAATAAATTTTCTTTTGATTGTCTCACAATACTGTTCTCTAAATGATTAAGTCTTTTATTGCGTATGTAATAAGCATATTTTAAGGTATCAAACAAAATAATCTCGTACAGTCAATAATTTTTATGTTCCTCTTATCTCCTTCTCTTATCTTCTATCTTATACATCCGGTATTAGAACATGTCATGTTAACAGGATATGTTCTATACATTCTAAAACATATTTGTTACCGCAAAAATTGATTTTAATTTTAATTTTTAAATAAACGTAATTGATCTCCATATGACTTTTACTTATTCATGTTTGCAACATTTGAAACTTAATTGTTGGTGACACAGCGGAGTTCCGGGCCCAACTCTACACTGGCGAGCTAATGTTTCATAAACCTCTCAGCTTGTGTCACAGTGGAAATCCGGTTGAATTCCCAAAAAAACAGATGAGCGACGAGATGGGACAGAATGAAAAAGAATGAAGTTCTAGATTTCACAGACTGACTGTCTTCTTTATTTTTAGGGCTGTATTTATATGGACTATTATAATAATTTTGAAAGTAGTGGGATGGCTCCTGGTCATAGAACATATGACAGATAGGCCGTATGACACATAGAGCATATTGACACTTGCGTGTTGACCCTCGGAAATCACGGATGACGCTAGCAAATGCTATTATAACCTTTCACTAAAACTTAAAGGACAATATTGTTCTACACATTGAAAGAACAGAACTTGGCTTTCTCAATTCAATAGCTTCGTTGACGCGTGTGTCGTAAATTTTTCTAACTTTCTCGTTCTAGAAAAATAACTTTTTCGAACATGTGGCTAGCCGCTACAATACTATTCATATATAAACTATCTATATATTAAGTATATATCTATTATAGATACTAAATAAAATAATAAAATAAAATGTATGATTCATTATTAAAAATTTAATTTTGTAACTAATTATTTTTCAGTATTGAAAATTTAATTTCGAAAGATGATAATTTATTTAAATAAATAACAAAGTTTTGTTATGTAATATTGATAGACAAGGTTTTTAGAAAAATTTTGAATATTTTAATTAATAAACGTAATTTTTAACTATTGAATTATAGAATTCAATTAGAATTATAGAATTATTTGTCATAACCAATGAACTGCATAGTTATAATAAAATTGTTAAAAATTTAATATAAATTTGAATATGTAATTATAAGGAATACATAAATGAGGAAATATATATTTTAATATTTTAATATTAATAATAATTTAAAATAATTTAAAATTTAGTTAGTTAAAAATTGTTTTTAAGAATGTTTAATAAAATATAAATCGTTTATACATAAAACCATGTATTAATAATTTTAAAATTTTAATTTACTATATATTGAAAAAAGTTGTAAAAAATGGATAGAGCCTTTTCTGATACACAGTATCACAGTAATTTCTGTTAGTTACTAACTTCACATTTCGGTAATGAAAGTTTGATAACACTGCAATGGATCTAAAAAAATCATGTTACTGGAGCATTCACTAGTTTCCCAACTCATCGTTGTTTAAACGTAGAGTGCGCTAAAAAACCAGTGATTGTAGGTACTGTGTCGATAATTCACGCGATCCGAGTACCCACAAATTGATATAAATATATATATGCAACGAATATGTTCACTTGTTGCGATGTATTATTTCGGCTACACGTATTTGTTCGCTTAGCGGTTGCTATGATAAGGCTCGGCGATTATTCGGATAAGACTTTCCGTTAAGCGATCGAGAAGCAAGAAGATTTTTACCGCGCTTTTCTAGTTTCTTGCTCTGTAAAAAGTAGCGCTGTCCATCTACCGGAAACGTACCTTTTGGCGGAATGATTGAGCGGAAGTAGAGGCGTCACTATACTGGTTCAAGCAGAAGTAGATGTCGTTACATGATTTTTTAGTTTGTCGGTACTTCAGGTCACGGGCCACGAAAGTCCGTAAGATGCAATGTCTATTCATACCTGGCGGATAATTTCTAGTATAGTTCTATTCGTCAGGAAAAAATTCGTTTGAAGAAATGATCTGCTACTGTATGCTTCTTAAATTAATTGTATGAAAATTTTAGTGAACATTGTTTTCTTATAACGATACTATTTTACATAATCGATAATTGAAATAAAAAAAAATATACTTATATAAATATACTTTTCGTATATAGAACGTATTTTAAATTAAAAATTAGAAACAAGATTTTTAATAAATATTTTTAATTGTTCTTAATTAGCACCTTCATGTCAATAGTACGTACTTTTGGCATTAATATATACTATTAATATTTACTTTTGTAATTGTTTTTAAATGCAATATTTATATTTCTATCATAAAGATTTGTGGTTCCCTTAAAAAGGGAATTAATGTGATTATACTAATAGTTTGATTAGCATATAATGGTAGTTTGTAATGTTTTATAAACTGTATTATCACAGTTATTCAAAAATAAATATGTATACATAGAAATATAAATATGTGGTTTATGCGGCATTTAATGAGAATCATTAAAATTATTAAAATATTTGAATAAAAAAATTAATATATATATATAATCACTTTGAAATCTGCAAATGATTTATTAAATATTTTGTATTTCAGTATTACAATCCGTGATAAAAGAAGATCTAAATTCGCAAATATTATTTACAATAATTATGCAACTTTCAATAATAATAATAATATACAATAACATTACATATATTATAATATATATCTTTTCTAATTACAATATACTTTATTTGTTACATCCTGTTAGATCGTCACTGTGATACAGAGTATTATACAAAGTAAATAGGCGACTAAACAGATTCGTTTGTTGTTCCATTATCAAAATCATAAAATTTTTGTCTAATCACGTATGATACAGTCGTGAAGTAAGGAACTTTCAAGAAGTTAACAATCTATAGGAATGTAATAAATAATTTTATCAAGAATTTCGTTGAGTATTAATTATTATTTTTCAAAAAATAATTGATAACGTGATAATGCGAATTTTAAGATAATATTATAAATCACTGAATGAAACAAATTTAAATGAAAAAATATTTAATTTAGATAATCTAAATGATTTTTCATATAAAGAATTTTAAAAAACAAGTTGGTGACAGATTACGATGTAAGCAGTGATAGAATACCAAGAGAATATTTCGTATTATTATTAATTTTTTAATTTTTAACATAGTATTTCTAATCAATAAAATAAACGCTCTATTACAGATAAAAATATATTCGCCGATATTAAATTACAGATTTTTAAAATATCTAACTAAGGCTTTTCGCTTCAATAGAATGTAAGTATCTATTTAAATAAAGTATTGTATGAAAAAAATTTCACATTTTCGATTTATTTTTACTCATGAATTACCAGTATTGGAATTGTGTAGATATTATTATAAATTTACGGAATTGTTGGGATAACATATATTTTTGATAACTATTAGTAGAATAAATTAATAGAAATCTTATTGAAACAAAATAATAAAACACAATGTATATCTTATTAAATATTATAATATGCAACATGTCTTTTATTTATATCTTACATATAATACTTATATATATATAAATTCAAATATGATCAAATATTCGCATTTATAACTTAGATATATGCACAAATAAAATTTTACAATCGTAAATTGTTTTCAAATAACAATTATTAGTTTCAAAATAACGATTATTGAATTTATTGTATTTATTGTATACACTGAAAGTTTAATAAACAATTATAAACTATTTGAAAACAATTGTTTTTCTATTATAATTTATTTAGTTATAGTTATTTAGTTTATGAACATGGTGGACATTTATTAGGAATTGCACAAGGTGATACACATCTTTGCGTTATTGAATTAAATTGCAGCTCATTTGGACACTTCAACTTAGGATATGTAATGGTGGTTACACCATCTGTGTAACAGAATCTATAATACTTACACGGAGCATCTCCTGTCACTGGAAATCTACCATTGCATGGCTCTGATGCTCTAATTAGTTTTGTACTTGCTGTTGCACTTGTTAAGTTTGTTTTACAAACAAAGTTCATAGATGGTACGCAATTTTTGATCGAAGGGTCAAATACCATCGAAGTTGGACATGATGTATCGTACGAGACCAATGATCCCGTATCATCATAAATACATATGTAATATTTTTTACACTCTGCATCGTCAATTGCAGTTGGTTCTACTGTTGTACAATTTCGATTAGAAGGAGTTAATGATAATCCAATGGAAATCGAATTAAAGATGAGAAGAATTCCAATCACAACGAAGAATATGTTCATTTTGCGTATTGCACTGATGTGTAGAAAATTATACTTTGCCAAGAATCAAAGAGAATATGTTCCTTGGTTTAAGAACGAATATATAACCCTTGTTGAATTTATTGTTTCATTGCAGTGTATATATCTGCTAAAGACCGAATATATAACCCTTGTTGAATTTATTGTTTCATTGCAGTGTATATATATGGCGTATATATCTGCTAAATTCTGAGAAAATGTGAATTAAAAGTATCTCATAATATTTTATGACTTTGTTTATATAAGTGAAAGAGATATGAGAACTATTATTGCTTCTTTGTGAATAATACAAAAACGTACAATTGGAACAGTCGCTTCAAAATGTTTCCAAAAGTTATAGTTAATAATGTGAAGTTTTTTATTACAAATAATATACGTTTCATATAGTTCAAATATGAGCATCTAACATTTTTAATATATTTTTGTACTTTTAGTTACTTGCGCCGTTCCAAGTCTTTCTGCGAAATATGACATGTTATATTGTTCTATATTATATCATTATAATAACAATCATTTTGGCCTAAATTCTATTATCATTCATGATGTAATACAAAACTGGCATACTTCATTGAAATACATACTTTATGATCGTTTTCATTAATAGTTTTATTTAAATATGTATAATGAATCTTTATTTAGGCCCATTGTAAGCATTGAAATTCAGCAAACAACTTATATACATAATATATTTGTCAGACGTTAATAGACGCAATGAAAAATATCACAAAATTTTTGAAAAATTATCATATCGAAGGAAGTGGATTTTCTATATTTCAGTTTTCTTTTGATTATCTCACAATTTAGTATTGAAGTGTCACTAATATGTCCAATTAATTGAAATTTAGTTGTCTGAAATGATATCTATTTTGATATCTATTCAAGTTTCGTTATATTTTATAAAACTTGTTTTAGATATAAAATTAGAAAATTTTTATTTTTTTCGAGTTTAATAAGGAGATCTTTGTTGTTCGATCAATTAACACATGTAAGATAGGTAAATATTCAGGTAAGGTATAATAATGATGTAGTAAAAATTTATTTTTCTTGGAATTCGCAGTTCCTTCGAACAACCCCGCGTAAGTTTTCCTCGAAATCAAATCATTCTCTATCAGAGGGTTAGAGAACTTTCATAGAGATATTCACTGTGAGGGAGAAATTGAATTTATTGAAAATTAAAGCCATAGGCTTTACAATTTTAGCCCATAGGTTAGAGAGAGAAATTGGTAGGTAGAAAAGGAGTCCGATTCTTCAAGAGCAAGAGAAAGGATAAAGAGATAGAGAAAGAGAGAAAGAAAAAAGGAAGGAAGGAAGGAGCAAATGTATATAAGCGACTTGCATGGAAGACGCGCCAATGGACTCTCTCTTTGACCCTACTGAAGCGTGCACCTTTCTTCTCGTTTTTTCTTCGTTCTCCTTACTCTCCGAAGTTTTCCTCTACGATCCTTCTGTCTGGCGTCCTTGTTCTTCAACCTTTACATTACCGTGAAGTAGCAGTAGTTCCTCCGCATCGCGCACTTTCCGACTATGTGATATAAAAATGAAACATTGAGTTTGTATCTTCGTTGCAGATTTCAAGCAGTATCTCAGTTACGTGAATTTTACAAACAATTTTCTATTGAATAAAAGTGTGGTCATTGAAATAAAAAAAAGAAGTTTTAATCTGGTTTTGTGATATGTTCCTGACGGAAAGGATCTAAATAACAATCATGAATTTTCTTCGCGTGAGTACAAACAACGTTTTCACATATTACAAATTTGTTAAATAATATTATATTTTGAATAACGACAATTTTAATTATTATGACTGTTATAATTATCATAATTATCATATAGCAATAATTCATCGATTAAGTATTATACAAATTTTATTTAAATCTTGATAATGAGTTAGAATGCCATTTTTTAGGTTTTGGATAACTATTATATGTTACAATTTTTTTACTATTAAATTCTACATTTATATATTTCCTTACATATGTATAATTAATTATCATATCGTATTTATACGCAGTAAAAGTTTGAAAACAATTTTTAAAGAATAGAATAGAGTTGAAATAAGTCTAAAATTTTCGATCTGAACCTTTTCAATAAATTTGTTTTTACGAAATTTACAGAGCAACATACTTTTCCATAAAATGTTTGTGAAAATATACCAAAATTACTTTATTTTTATTCTACTATTTACAAGTTGATTACAGTATCAATTATATATCTATCATATATTATACTATATATACATTAAGTATATACATATATAAACTAATACATATATATACTATACTATATGTTATCTATATATATCTGTTTATACATATACTATCTATGTATGAAGTATGTATCTATTAGAGGTATTAAATAAACTAATACAATAAAATGCATGATTCGTTATTAACAATTTAATTTTGTAATGAATTATTGCAGTGTTAAAAATTTAATTTCAAGAGATGAATAAATATTTTTGTTAGAAGTATCTTTCTAATTTGTTTTACATCGTTTTATATTTTTATAATTTTACATTTACAAATTAATCTGTTTTATAACAGCATAAACGATTTATTTAATATTGTGAAATAAATTTTTGTTCGATTAAAACTTTTTTTTATACAAATATACTTTTAGTTAAAAATTAGGAACTCTATATATATGTATTCCATTGATTTTACATTGTGTTTGTGAGAGTAAATGTTCGACTTTTTAACCATAGATTTTATGAGGCGAAAGCTATACTGACGGAGATAAATTACCTTTTTTTTTTAGCTAAATTCGTTAGTGAATATATTTACCAATTATGCTTTGCTATTATTTTCGCTAAAAATTTTCCCGAGTCTTCTTTTAACATATATATTTAATTAATTAATATAAAAATTAAAAAAGTAGAAAAGTAAAATTATTTTATTAATTAAAATGATTTATTTCTTAGAAGAAAGCATATTTTTATTTCTTTTTTAATTTTATATTTTAAGAAGAAGTTAAAATTAATTCAAATATATCATAAAAATTATTCTATTTGTATTATATTTCAAAAATATAATGAAATCAGATTCATTTTACGATTTAACTGTGTATCACATAATAAAAAGGCGATCGTTTATTTGTCTATTTTTGTATTAACACTAGAATTGCAAGACAAATCAGGTAGAAATTTTGTATCGAAGAAATAAAAATGCAAGGGATAGGAAAGAGTTTATAATGCAGTAATGAATACAAGCTTTTATTCATATATTTTACCAAAAAGCATTAAATGGAATAAGAATACAGTAACGTGAAAATAAATAAAACCGGAGTCAGTCTTAAATGTGTAATGTATTAAAAAAGACAATGTTTCTGCTTTGTATAGAATTCTTTATAAGATCATATGCTTGATTTATCATGCAGAGCATACAAGGCGAAAGGTAAAAATCAGCAATTCAAAGTTTGGTAACACAACGACATGACCAAATTTAACAATTTAAGAAATCCACTTTCGATTAGTCTATTTCCGATTTGCGATGAACTAGTTAAAATTGTCGATATTAAAGAATACTTAATTCCTTCTTATAATATTTTATTCCTTATTATAATATAATTCATTATTATAGTATTTAATTCCTTTTCTTTTCCAAGCGGAAATCAATATTTTTATTTGTATTAATTTACCACTAATAAACGTAAAAAATTTTAAATTAGTCTAAGTAGATAATTTATATAAGATTATGAAGAAGTGAAATTATTTTTTTTAAATTTCTTTTTATAAAACCCATATCACCTTGCTTTTTATGAAGCTTCTTATATTTCTAAAAAAATTAGTAACAATATCAGTAACGTTAATTTTCATTATATTTTTATTCTGATTTAAGAGTAACATTCTGAGGTATATATAATAGGTACTTATAATACGTACACCATCATTACTAATGATTTAATAAAAGTTAAAAAAGTAAGAATAAATAAGAATAAAAATAAAGGTATTAAGAAATCCATGAGGACACATATTATATAATATTTTATACAATATTTTCAGTATTAAGACATAATATTTATTTCAAATGAAAATATTAATTATAATTTGAATAAAACTGTAGCTTTATTGGAATTCAGTATAATACATATTTAATAAAAGGAACACATAAAATTCATGAACGAAATTTTTTATTTTTCATTGTAAACTTATATTTTGTCGAATATAAGTAGACAAAATTCTTTAAAACTCGTCAATATATTTTGCATCTGAATGTTAATTTTTTAAAATAGAACGATTACCATAAATAATACATATTAACAAACATAAGAAACGTTTATTATTTATAATTAGATATAACATATTATTGTTTGATAATATAATATAGCATTTAAACATTTATTTAAAATTCTGTTACTAATAACAAACTTTTTGGCAAATCTTCAAGAAACAAAAAAATTAATCTACAGAAATATCCATTTACAAAAGCTTTCGAAAGTTAAGACTGATTTCTATACATCGTGAATTGTCAATCATGATCCAACAAGGACATCGTGAGCGATGTGAGGGAAACGTATGCTTTCGAATGATCTTCGTCGTTTGGCACAGTGCCAACGTAGGAGCGAAACTTTTTCGTCTATGACCTAAATCTGTTGCTTTTAGTTTACACATTTCTTCCTCTTATCAGTGTCAATACAAATTTTCCTCGAATAAACTTTATGGTCTTCAATTCGTGCAAACGAATACTTTACTTCCGTGTTCTGACAAATATTTATACATTGCATAGATGTCACGTGACTGATAATATTTAATGCTATCCGTTTTATGTTTTCTACAATGAGATTCTCTCATTCAATAAAACAATTAGCCAAATTTTATTGTCTTGATTTAATTGTCTTTTCATTAACCAAATTTTATAAGTTAGTTTTATAAGTTTAAATTATCACTGTTAGTATATTTTCTTGTTTTTTTTATTAGTTTAAGAAAAATTAACAAGATTAACAAAATAAATAATTTTACAAGTATAGTTCCATTTTATGAATTATAAGTTGATTATTACAATTAAACTTGTAACATTTGTAGGAATTAATTGTAGTAATAGAATTATAAATTAAACTAATTGTAATAATAGAATAGTAGCAACTCTGTCACTCAACTGATATAATTAATTAGTGAATTATGATATATTTTATTATAATTATGTATATAATATTTTGTACATCATTATTATACGTAATTATTATACAAGAGATACGATAAGAGATAAGAGTTTTATGTATTTATTAGTAACAGGTATATAGATAACATTCTAATCATAGCATTGATTATTGTACCCAAAAGAAAAATGTTTGAAAAATATTTGTTTCGAGGAAAAACATAAAAAACATAATTTATTGCTAGTTTTATTAATGTTTATATTTAAAAAAAGAAAAGTTCTTGAAAAATTAATTTTATATTAAATTTTATAATGTTATATTAAATGTTATATAATATTGAATAGGTTTATAACGTAATATAAACCTATTAAATATTAAATAAAATTTACTCATTGATCACAAAATTAAGAAAAATATTAAATATATTTTGTATTTATTATTTTTTGAAAAAATCCAATACATGCAATATATTATCTCTCGTTGCCAAAGTATTTTTATAATTATTTTTCTCATTAGACGCTACTTCGTTAAAATCATTAGAATTTGGTTTTTCTAAAAATTATATTTATAGATTTTTATTTTATCTATTCTCATTAAGTTCTTAATAAATTTCCTATTTGAAAGTTTACTTTTATTAGTCAAAACTACAAATTGATAACCATAATGTAAAATTTAGATTAAAATTTTTCTCTTTAATTGAAGGTATATTATGTTTAATTTAAGGTAAATTATATTATTCATGCATATACATACATAATACAAACATACATATATATACATGAATTATGTACTGTGATGATTGTATAATTAAATAAAATTAAATGATAATTGTAATTAAATAAAAATTAAAATATATAAATTAAATGTAATCAAAATGAATATTTACAATATAATTTTTTGATATAAATAAAACAAAACTTGATTTACGTAGTAGCAAATAGATTTGGACATTTTATATAATACATTGTATAAAATTTATATAAAATAATTTATATTTATATAAAAATATAAGTTATATATACCATATATATTTATGTATTTATATCCAACACTATGTATGAAATATGAAAAACTCGCTAATGAAATAAGTTTTGTTTTTGCAAATATTGCAATATTCATTTCAATTTCATTTAACCTATACAGTTTCATTTTCACATGATTATAATTATCACTTTAGTATCAATTTTATTTAGTTATACAATCTACTATTACAGTTAAAATACTATAGAAATAAATTGTTTTATCAGTCTTTTAATTGATTTATCACTCTTTCAATTAGTCTTCTACATGCTAATCATACATATAAATATACGTATAAATGTTACAAAATTCTATCTATTGAATTTGTTAATTTTATCGGAAAGTCAGTAAAAAATTACAAATAAATATTATACTTTGAAATTGTCCTCATTAGAATTATAATTAACAGATTTATAAATTATTTTCAGTAAGCAAAATAGAATCTCCTGCTGAAATAGGATTTTTAAAATACATTACTTTAAAACTGTTTTTAATAAACGACAATATTATTTCAATTTAAGATAACCAAGTAGAAAAAAAATTGCTGATTCATTATTGGCATTAGTTAGTCTCGATTAACGACGGCATTCATTCTAGCACACGTGTTGCTCACACGAGCACACTAACACCTTGTTGAATGCACATTATACAGATTACATGCAACCACACATTACATCTTCTCACTATAGGTCGACTTTCGTAATACTCACAGCCCACTTACCTACATTACTCCTGCTACAACTACAAGTCTCTCTCTCTCTCTCTCTCTCTCTCTCTCTCTCTCTCTCTCTCTCTCATATATTTCACTATTACACTATGTGAACCACCTACTCTTCAACGGAAAATAATCTATCTCACGATCAAACACAGTCGATTATACGTATGCTACTTTTCGATAGCCAAAACTAGACAATAATTCTAATGACTCAATTATTTCCTTGGATCTCCGTAATAAGAATTTTCTTTAAATCCTTATTAATCAAATCGTATTAGCCGGATTAGTAATTTAAAACTTTCTTTTAGTATTTTTTTCCATTCTGACGGATGTGTAATAAATTTATAATGAACATGCTTTACGTAATGATAAAACATTAGAAATATACAATTTTTTTTTCTAGTAGTAAATTCAAATTATACGAAAAGACAAAAATGGGTTAATTCAAATATTTCTATATGTTTAATACTCGGGATTATTTTCTTACAACTTTGAGATTTGCAAATATTCATTAGTTAAAAAAATTCATATTATTTATCCAGAAGATATATTTAAACAGTTCTATCTTGAATTTTTATGACAGATATCTTGGATTTTTAAAATGTATTTCAAATAATGAAAATAATTTTCCAGAGTTATGTATTAAAATTAATATTCTACCTGAATTAAATATTTTTATATTTGTAAATGTCTGTAAAATACATTTGATAGATTTACTAGTAACAGCAGAAATATTTTTAAGCTTCTTAAAACGTTTTTTGAAACTTTTCAATCTAACGTTATTATTTTGTTTATAATATTATTTGTCACGAAGACTGTCTTACTCATTGAATTTATTACTTAATTTAAATTTTATTATATACGTTTTATCCGATTAATTTCATTTATAAACGTAAACGGGTCAAGTAGTTCTTTCTTCTGAAACTTGTTCCAAAGTAATAATACAAAATGATATTGTTTGCTACTTTCGCTTGAGTAACAATTTCTTATCCGCTAAAAATATAAAGCGCACTGACGCTAGTAAGTTTAAAAGTGATATGAGGGGACTGTATCTTTTTTTCCATTTGTTCACTTTCTTATGCAGTTCCGGTTCTCGCTATAAATACGGTGATCCGCGAGTACTCTCGTTCTCTCTCACACGTCCGCATATTTCACGGTAAACGTAAAATAGCACGTGAAGTTCCACGGGAACACCATTGAATTTATGTCTCGTGAGAAACTCGTCAGCAATAGTTGGTCGCTCAAATCTTCTCTGCACTCAATTTTATGCCATACTTGCTCCCCTTTCACTTCTGACCCTTTGTTTTCGATAATTTAGCTGAATGTTAGTTTACAAACACAATAATTAAGAAAAAGATTACTAATTATTTTTTACTTGTCTGCCTATCATCATACTTACAATTGCAAAAATGTTTCTCTACGAAATCAATTCATTTTCTATTGAGAATTTTAGATTATGTACATTGAATTGAAATTTTCAAATTAGAAAGTTCTGTAAGTGCCTAGAAATTGTCTATCATTTCCTAGAAATTATTTTAAAAAGTAATAAAAAGTAATAAAATTGAATGAAGATTAATTATTTATATTTTACTAACTCGATAACAAATTACATATATGAAAAAAGTTAGAATAAAAAGTTTTATAAATGATTCAATTGTCACAAAGTATGTAATTGTTTAATCAAGTGAAATTGCACAGTTCTGTCATAAAGAAAATGACCCACTTTAGTTTATCCTGTGTTTATTTTCCATGGTCATTGACCATTATGAGAAATGTACATGATTCTTTAAACATATGTATTCCCCGAATTTTCATCTTTTGTTAAAAATGTGATATTTTAATTATTATCATTAAATTAAACATATCTTATTTCTCGTATAATAATAATATATTTAATAGTATATCTGTCGAATATTTTAAGAGACAAAATTACTTATACTGCATTTTGAAATTATTTATAGTGAATGTCACCCAAAAATTGTCATTGTTATAACTTAACTTATTTTAGAGCATGAAATCTTTACAATGTCTTGTTCATTTTTTCCTGAGATATTTTTCTGTACATTATGTAATGAATGAGACTGTGTATTTCTTTTTTCGAAAATACTATAAATTGTCACAGTATGCAAAAACATTGAACATTTTTTATCACTAAATTTACTATAGATCTAAAGATTGAAGTCTCCAAAATTTGATGTACTATTATTTTTAATTATTTTATTAAACAGAAATATGGTACAGCTCCACTCTTGCAATTACATGTTATTAAATCATATTTCACGTTTTAAAATAAGTCCTAATTGGTTGCTGTACGATTTCTGTTCACGAATATACAATGGTTTCAATGTTAACAATTTTTGGATGTATAATTTTAAGTGACACGCGCTATATATCTATATAATATACTTAAACATAAGAAACAAGAAATTTGAGTTCGGTGTTCAATTAACAACTTATGCTTTTAGGTTACATCAACGTTATTATTGCTCATCTTTGTATGCAGTACATCATCATGCTTGAAAAATGATCGAAATGAAGCATCCTTCGATAACGGTCCAAATATTATTCGAGGCAATCGAAGGGACGGATTAAACGAATATTTAGTCCCACCTCCAAGACCAAAAGCTTATCCGGTGAGGTCTGGAAAAGTAGTAAATCCTTCGATAACGGAAGCTCCAGGATATTTCTCGCAATTGATGAGCTGGTTAAATCCCTTTAATTATGGTCCTTCGACTTCGACGCCTCTAAAGACTCCAGCACACCTCGAATCACCACCTCAATATTACGGTGCTCCACCATTTAATTTGCATCTTGCTTTGCAACCTGAACCATTTCTTCATCCTCCGCTTGAATCTCAACCTGGTCCACCTATCTATCCTCCTATCGGCATACCTCCGGCTGCTCAACATTCTAGCTTGTCTCTTGCACCTTCCTTCAATGTACATTCCGCTCCGCCTTTTCGCCTTCCTCCTGGTCCATCTTTACAAGTTCACAATCCCTCAGCTACCTTTCACGATACGCAACGTGGCTTCCCAAGTCCAAAGAATAGCCGCGGCCTTTACATACCGCCGAATAAAGGGAAACACTGTAATCTTTGCAACAAAATTCCTTGGATTCCGATGCAAGGTGATGGGCATCATTCAGAGAAGTATCCGTCCCCTCAGCAACTTTCGAATGGTTATCTTCCTCCTAGCAATCAAGGGAATCACGACGCCCAATACGCGGCTTCGCACGAAATCAGAATATCAGAACTTTCCCAAATACTCGTTGAGCAAACTCCTTTTAACAACGCATTACCACATTCAGCGTTGCATCCCGATTCGGTACCTCCTCTCTACAAGACAGAACTTTTTAAAAACCCTTCTGCAATTGAAAATCTGGGGCGCCTCAAGCCACCTCCTTTGCCTGTAACGTCGTTAGCTAATCAAGAACACAAAAATCCTGAAATTAACGACGAGCATTATAACACCAATGGCAATGACGATCTAAGATCCATTGGAACAGAAGTGAATCAAGGACATGTAAACGCCATATCCCAGAGTCACGAGATCGAAATCAACAAAGAACCCGCAAATCACAAAGAATCATTTGGTAGTTTGATTCCCGATACTCAGTTTCCTGTATCCGAGACGTCTTTCAATAATTTTCCAATTTTGAAACAAGAAAATGACGATGGAGTTTTAAATAAGCCTGCATATCATAATCAGGCTATTCTCCATGGTATTGGTTCGTCAAATTACGAGTCACCTAATCAAAACGAGTACCATGAACCCTTTAATTCAAACTCAGGTCCCAACACCAATTTGAATTATCTACCGCCAGATTTGAATCCTTCGGCTAGCTTTGGAACGTCCACTTTTCACAATCAAGAGAGTGATAGTTCGAATTATCAGTATTCTGACGATTTATCTCCTAGCGGTAGTGTCGTTAAAGATTCTCAAGTGACCACGCAACCGTCCCTCGTGAGCTCTCTTGAATCGATACACTTCGAAGAATCGCCGTTGTTAGATCTAACGAAAAAAGGTGATAGTCAAACTGAGACGCCAAGGACAACTTCCACTAGCGGGCATACCAACATCGGTGATAATACAGCGAAGGCAACCACAGATTATAATTTGGAGACCGACAGTATATTTTTTGAAGATTCGTCCAACTTCGTCAGGTCGACCGAATCTTATTCATCTTCGGATATTCAAAATATCAATAGTGTTTTCGGGCCTTCGACATCCACAACTGCGGATTTCTCGAATGTTAATCAACGCGTTGAACCATCAACTAGTAATAGAGGATATGCAAATCAACAAGATGTTTCGTATATTCCACCATCCGGACAACCAGGATATTTGTGGCCAAGTTTGTTAATAAACACGTCAAATTTGAAGAATGATTCTTCGAAGAATCACGGTTCCTTGAATCATCTTGCACAATGGAATGATTCTTTCCCGGGAGATGTAAATTCTGAAAAGCAAGATGATGTAGATTCAAAGGATACAAGAAACACGCTTCAAAGGCAACAAAATATAAAAAGAAACAAACAAGTAAATAGAATTATTCGTGTAAATGTAGTTATAATATTACGAAATTTAAATATAATGAAAAATTCAGAGTTTGATTATTTACAAATAATGTAAAACATTTACTTGCTTATAGAAAAGTATATCTTATATATAATTTTCTATTGAAATTTTATTTTATTATATAATTTATTTTATTTTATTTTATTTATAATCTAGAAATTTTATAAAAATTGTGTAAAATTCATTATCGTTAAAATTTAATATTTACAAGTAATTGATAATGAAATACAATTTATAAAATCATTGAAATAATTCAGTGACACAAATATATTTTGTTCGTATGAATAGTACAATAGAATTTCCAATATTCGAACTAAAAGCGTTCGGTTAAGGAATTTTCGAATGATAGAACAGAAATTGAAATAGACATAATTCTGTAGTTACATTCCTTTCGTACTTCGAATTAGCAAACTCTTTTTTTTAACGAAAGACATGTCCTCGTTATTTTCATTTGCTATATTTTAGTGTACGAAAAAATTATATTTAAGATATCTTTGTCATTCAAAACGTTTATTGCAAAGTTAAAGTTCTTACATTACATTTCATCAATATTCTTTTTTTTTTTTTAGTAAAGTCTTGTATCTCACATTTGATATTATAGTAATAAGTAATAATAATCATATAGAATAGTTAGTACAAGAAAAGGCATCAGTTACTAGTAAATATTCTTTTTAAATGATAGGATGTTCTGAAAACATTTGGATATTATTCGGATAATGTTTAGATATGGGGAACTTTTATTGAATTTATTGTTATATTATTATATAATGTATAAGAGAGAGGATTCAGCACACTAAAATAAGAAAAGAAAAAAAAAAAGAATTCATGTAAACATATGCATGATATGATCTTGTTTCTGAGATAGAATCGAATTCGTATTTTCCAATTCTTTTGATAAACTGAGTCTTTTATTTAATTGTTTATAAATATTATAAATATTTCTAAACGTATTTATAAATGTATCATTGTGAAGAAATTTGAACAATATCAGACAACTTTGATCGAATCAGAATTCCAATGACAAAGCACTTACGTAGAAGCATATTTTCAAGCGAAAGAGATTTTTGTAAAAACAAGTAAATAGTGGTTATATCTCAAGAACGAAGCCACATCGACCATATGTTTATATACATTTTTTTCTTATTTTAATATGATGAATCCAACACTGAAATTGTGTTAACATACTTTGTATATTATATAATTTATTCATATATCAATTTATAAGTGAATCACTTTTAGCGTATTATGCATTTATTAACAGAAAAGTTTAGTAATTTATAAAATTAAATTCATGAGTATTAGCTGACATAAATTTACAAAAGTTACAAAACTTTTGCATCATCATCACTTTAAAAATTTAATTTATCGTAAAATAAAAAGTACATCTTGTAAAAAGTATATCTAATGACAAAAATGACAAATCCATGAAAATAATAATATTTTAGGTACAGGTTATTATACCATACACGTCAGAATATACACCAATCCCGTTTCAACAATCCTACGGAGACTGGAGTGTTAAAACTAATTCTGAACATACGCAGTCGAGAAAAGTTCCCTCTAGGAGTGAATCGAACGTTAATAATTATCTTCAACAAGAATCTAGGAATAATATTCAAGTAGTTAATCAATTTCAATCGCAATTTAACGTCAGTAATTCAAAGAAATTAAATGTGCAATCGATAAGACCATTTTTAACTACAGCAGAAGATTTAAAAAGCACTACAACAAAAGCAAATACTTCGATTGATGTTCGAAGGTTACAAAAAAATATCGATAATTGGACAATACAAGTAAGTTTCCTTTTTAAATAAATTTGTCTGAAACATTTAATTAATATATGCCATGCAATTATCATATCTTTTTCTTTTCCTTAAAAGAAAATTTTCTCTATTTCATTATTTATTGCATTACATCAGGGAATAATCAAAATTCAAATGTACGCAGTGATTAGGATTTTTAAAAATTTCGTCTATTTAATTTTAGATCAATTTTAGACTAATTTATAATTTTGGACTAATTTTGTATTAGTTAATACGCCACAGTATTCACAATATTTTTCAAACCTTTCTGTATTGTTAAAATTGATACTTAATATAACGATGCCTTTTTACAATGAATGTCTTCGTATATTTTTTCATAGGAATATTCAAAATCTACAACATCTAGCACAATTTTACCCAGTTCTTTGCACCCTTATCTTTCACCATCAAAGAAAATACCAACGGAATATTTGACAACAACAGAACCAAGTGATCATATAAACGGATTGAAAGATCATAATGAAAGTGTGAAAACGTACTCTTTGGCTGGGTTTAGCTTTAACGAAATAGAACACGAAGGCTCCGCGAGCAGCCATACTGAAACAACTCAACCGGTAATTTAATGTGTGAACTCTACTTTTTCTATTTGTAATAATTAGGCTGCGAATTCTTATGCAAATTTATGTCTTCAAGAATATAATGAGAAAAGTAGAATCTTGTTAGAAAATTAATCCTTTGGATATTTTATGTATTTTTTCATATTACGTGTATTCCATTTAATTTCATGCTTTAAAATTTCCTGCAAAATTTCATGCATAAAAATTTGCAGTCCAGTAATAATCATTATGTCATTTAACCTGTTAGTAATATTATTTAATAATACTAATTAGCATTAGTAATAAGTTTTAATAATATGACAATTATTAACTGTATAATAATATAATTAATATAATATACTAAATTATATATAAATATAATTAATATAATGATATATACTAATATAATATGTTAGTGCTTTTTATATCATTGCTTTTTAACCTTTTGATTATTACATTATCACGGAACGATAAATAATTTTTTATTATTGCAGACCCCCGAGACGTCCTTTTTCTCAAATAACATACTTAAAAAATAATGAATTGAATAACGTATTATCTTACTTAGCTAAATGTTATTTGAAATTTTTATTTTATTCTATATAAAATGTACTTAAGTCTGCTTTGTCTCATTGTCAGTCATGACATCTATTACCCTTGCAATCTGCGGGCTACATATTTAAAAATGCAACCAGTACAATATAGTATTTTAATATATAGTATTAGTGAATATTATTACTTGTCTATATTTTTATTTATGATCTAATTTGTTAATGACGTTATTCAATGATATTAATTGCTATTAGCCATCACTCGTCCTTTGTATCAATTTGACAGATTTTTCGTAAAAAATGTTATACTATTGTATTGCATATATGTATAGACTCTGTAACATTTATTTTACTAATATATAATATACATTATACAGATAATATATATCTAACATACAACACATATATGTATATGTATATTATAATAAAAAAAGTCAAAATTGCAATATTCACTTTCAAATCTCTTGAACAAGCAGTACATTGCCTATCTAATTATATTACACTACAATTATGCATTTAATGTCTTTTCGTTAATACGAATTGATATCGTGTAGTAGTCGTAGTGAATGAATATAGCAAGTTGTAGCAAGATCCAAATAAATGACTATAATCATACATATTAGACAAAAGTAAAAAAGGCAAGATACGTGAGAGAATTGTTCAACGCAAATAAAAATTTAAACTACTTATTGTTAATAAAATTTACCTTTCTACTAAGAAATATTAATTTCCAGATATTAATTTTTTACGATTGTGTCAATTTGACACCAAAGGATAAATTAAGCTCAAAAACTGCGGGACAGATGAGAATTAATAATAAAGTTATGTATTCGTATCAATTTATATTAATTTCTATCTTTTTCTAAACTTTGCTTTCTAGGCTATAAATGTTGTACGAATAAATAATCCAAAAATAACAGCCAATGATTTGCACGACATAAATAAATCTTCGTTAGAAGAAAATTCCACGTGGGAGACACACTCTGTATCGATATCGCCTCTAAATAAAGAACGAGTTTACGTGGTAACTCCACAGCCGATACTAGAAGTACCCTCGAGAAACGAGTATGAAAATCGCAAGGGACAAGGGAAAAGAGATCATTCACAGCGAATAAGTGAATCTGTCACCAATGACGTGAGCAACGGCAAGAATAACTTCAGCGAATTTGAAGCGATCGAGAAAGCCTATCAAGTGCTTCCGCAAGCAGTAAATAATCTTGCTGTTGCATCTACAGGAAAGGAAAATATTCCTTTGTGGGGAATTATGGAGCACGAAGAGTTTGCTACGTTGAATTTGAATGAAAACGACGAAGAAGCGGCGGAAGATACTGTGGACGGACCGGTACTTTACTCTGGACATTCAAAGGTAACAAATTATCGAAAACATTGAAAATACTCACTCATGTTTTCTATACGATTTAATTGATAATTCTCTCTCTTTCTCTTTTTTTTCTTATAAATTAATTTTATAGGTAGCACGAGCTAAACGATGACATGCAAATATTCCTTAAATCTGGAGGCTGAATAATACAATTTTTAGTTGTGAATAGTTAACTATTCTATTGTTTTAATTTCAAAGACTTTCTTCAGTGTTTCAAGTGCGTAATTTAAACTTCATCATGGCCAGTGTATTTATATTTACCAATTTTGTATACTTACATGTATTTGTATGAAGTGAACAATTTAGTTATTTGTAACATAAGTAGATATTTTTGCAAAGAAAGAAATAACGTGTTTGTGTAACGAGATTGTGTAACCGATTAAGACTTCAATTTCAAATTATTTTTCCTATATACGAAGAATTACTATAAAAATATCATTTATATGAATGCCGATTAATTGTGTATCACTTTGTAAATACGTAAAAGTAAATATACTGTAAATTTAATAAATAGGATTAAATTAATTATAATAATTAATTAATTAAAATTATTTAAGTACCTGCTGTTATATCTAAATGTAATTATAATTGTGAATTATAATTGTCAATGAAATTTAGACCGTCAAATAAATTAGAGCACAATTAATAACATTAATTGTTATTCTAACATTGTTGAAACTTTCTTTTAACTGTGCTGTCATAAAAAGTATCGTTGTAAAATTAAAAGCTAGCTTTGTTATTTTTTAGAACCAACTTTTTACTTCAACTAAATTTAAATTAAATACCCTACATTTAAAAGTTAAAAATTTAGTTCTATTTTTGAGTGACATATTCAATTCTTCTCTGAATACATAATTAAGTAGATGTTTCCTTATAGTATCACTTTCGATGATTTTGCATATTTGGAAGCCACCCAAAATGAGCTATTTGTATTCAGGCGCGATAGTGATGCACATTCATACGTATTCCGCGTACTACATGTTTGACAATGTTTAAAACTTTCCCGGTTATATGGTGAAAGGAGATATTCTGGTTCACATTGTTTCATCAATTGAAAAGTACGACCATTTTACCATGATTTCGTGACTGAAATTTAAGACGACACTCTCCACTTTTATTGCGCTTTAAACTTTTACAGAATGATACAAGAAATATTTAACAAAGACGTTTAAATTAATTATATTGTATCAAGAATATTATAAATAGATTTGAAAATTCTAATCTAATTAGAAAATTTCAGTTTTTCCAAAAAAAAGACGATGTTTTGAGACGAGACAAATGAACATTTGAAAATAATATAAAGGATATAAGGAATATATGTACATATAATAAGATGAAACCTTTAACAGAAGATTCAAACATTTTATGAATACTTTAGTTAAAGATTTCCTATTCCGTGCAAATATTTAATGGTCACAATTTATCCATACCTTTGTAATATCGTTTACAAAACTTGAAAAATTGGAGTATGAATATCTTGCATTATAATGCTATAATAAATATATGTGTATATTGTTTTATATTAAAGTTATTTAATTTTGTATAAGATTTGATAAAATATTTGAATTGATATTTTGATTTAAATATAATTGTTTTCGATACAATTATATTTTTATTATTTTCACTTTATTCTACATTTCAAAATGAACATAACGATGAGTATAACAAATATTTTTGAACAATTGTCTTTATAAAGAGTTGGTGGCAAATGTTGATATCTTTTATCACAGTGTGAACCATGAAATGAAAAACAAATGAGTTAAATTTTAGAATAATGTAATTATATTGTTTTTAATTAATTGATAAAAATATAAAATCTTAATAATGTTACTTATTGCCAAAAAATCTAAGAGCAAATTGTTTCATTGCAAAGTTTGTACCAATTTACAGTAAAATCAAGCTATAATTTAACGTATGTTATACTATACATAAAGGCTACAGTTATACTGTTCTAAAATTGATATTATAATTATTCTGGTGAACTGAAAAAGCAATTTCATCGTGTATTATAAAGGAAGCAATTTTATCGTGTATTATATTTATTACTAGATTGAAATATGTATGTATGTATGTGCACAAAAAAAAGACAATCAGAAGTTTCTCGTTAATTATCTCATTAGCTTTAATAGAATTAAATGCACTTAAATAAATTATAAAAATACTCGAATTTTTATTTAATATTTAAAGTATTAATATCTCAAAATATAAGATCTTTTTTATTTTTTATTTAAAATATAAAAAAGTCACTATATTTTAGAAGTAGGGGGGAAAATTATATCCTCATATAGATATGATGGAAAAGGTGTGTAAAATAAAAAGATTGGAAATCACTCTGATAAACAAAATCAATTTTGTTTCTCATTTCATGAATATTATTATTTTTATATACGTATATATTATGTACAACATAAATGTTTATATATATGTATATATACATATATAATGTAATGTATTATATTATATATATAATGTAAATAATATATATGTACAATATATATACAAATATAACATGATATTCATATACATACAATTATAACATGAATATTATTACACGTTATGAATAAATCTATAAATATAATTTAACATATCTATTGATACTGAAATTTCTATAAATAGCAATTTAAAAAGATTTACATGTTCTAGAAAATTAAGCAATTTTAAAAAAAAAACTATTTTCTTTTTAGTTTTCATTAATTAAAGAAACGATATGCTATATACTGTATATAACTTCTTACTTTTAAATCATAAAGTGGAATTTTTATGTAAATATTTTTATGTAATTTGAATTTATGAATATTATATATTGAAATTAATTCAATTTTTATTCATAATTTTAAAATAAAATATAAGATATGTATATAGATGTAGATGACATAAACATATGTACATTCAAAGAAACATTAACTTTTATGAAATGTTTCTATACAATATTTCTTCAATACATTATTTCCATAATTGGGATATTGATAAATAGATTAATTCTGCTATTACATATAAGAAATAAAATAAATAAAATCTTTTAACAGTAATTAAAAATTATTTTGCAAATAATAATAATCAATATAAATTAAAAATAAGTTAAGAATTCGTATAACACACATATATAGAACAATTTATATAAACGCACATATATAAATTGTTATTTATATATAAACATACATATATAATAACTTGTAGAACAAATCAAAGTAATCCAATATAGATACATATATTTTTTTGTGATGAAAATTAACTTGTTTCAAACAGAATTTTTTAACTGTATCCGTCTTTTCTTAGTGATAATGGATATAAAGGAAATTCTTGAAAATTATAATATATGATCGTAAAATTCGAAGATTGATAGTATTATAAAATTAAATTATAACATACCTATATAAAAATATACACTCTGATGAAATAATTAATTTAATTATTAAAAATCTTTAATCTATTCTCGAAATATTCGTGTTATGAATAAATTCGAGAAGTTTGATATCATTATCTTCATTTTCAAATATTTACATAAGTTCGTCTAATCAGCTTTTTTCAAATACAACTTTTAATTCTTCGTGTTATTCCTTTAATAGCGTGTGAAAACTTTTACCGGAAGATTCTGAAAAGAAACAATCTATTGTTTCCGCGGTAGATCGTGATCGTTAAGGAGCCTGAACTGCGGTAACGAAACACTTCACATCATTAAGTTTGTTCTGTGGCGAACGACATTGAATAAGCACACGACCTTAATTAAACTTGAAATGATATAGCAGCTGCTATGTTCTGTATAGAAAGTGCTATACAAATTTTTACTTTATAAAGACTATGTGTAAAAAAAAAGTTTAAATTAAGATTTTTTCAAAGTCAGTACTATAAAACAAATATAATTATATAAGTACTTTAAATATACTCGCATCAAATAATGCTTATACATATGCAAACATACATATGGGTACATATAATTTTTAAACTCATTGTCAGTTAAAATACTTCAAAATTTTATAGAATTATTCTATACATATTATATTTCATGAAGTTCTTAATAAAGTTTTGTTGAGTTTTTAGCAAAATTTTAAACTTTATAAAAATTAGCATTTTATATACATAGTTTGAATAATACATATACCCTTGCTTTCTGAGCTAGCATTGAATAATTTTATAATTATATTCAAAATATTTTTCATCTTTTTCAGTGATAAGTTCTTTCAAGCCCTTTTGCTGGCATTCGTAGTAGTGTACTTTTAGCATTAATATTTTAACAAAATATTTGTAAAGATTTAATTTAAAAAATGAATGAATCATAGTTGAATGTTTAGTGAATATAATAAATGACATAGTATGTCACAAGTAAAATTTCTCTTGAGAGCCACATAAGAGCCAAATTTTATTGAAAAATGAAATCTCTTTTATTGAGATCTGCTATTGTATGTATACAATGCAGCAAAAAGTAATGAAATTAAATCTCTGATATACTTAGTAAAAATAATATATTACGGATTACCTTAACGAATACACTAAAGTATAATCTAATGTCTCTAATTAACGTCTTAATTAGTAAATATCATCTGTCAATTCCATCTTTAGATGTTGTCAGAATTTTTTCAATATTCAGCTTTGCACAAAACTAAAGAAAATTATAACAAAATTATATTAATAATAATTACAGTAAAAACATTCATTTTACACAGACAATAAAAATCGACCTCGAATCCCGCGTAATGACTGATTACGATAATGACTAATTTACATAAAACTGACAGTTCTGTAACATTGAGGATGAGAATCTTATTTATTCGGTAACAAGAATAGTGTGAAACTAAATGCGAAGTGCTCAAGATCATGACTGCAACACTGTACTCGCACGAAGTTAATATATCGTCCTACTCTTTTAATTAGTTTTAGATGTGTCTTTTCTTTCTCCAAAATTAAAATTGGAATTGAAAATCAACGTTCAATGAGTACCTAATATTCGAACAAATGTCACAAACGAATGAATCTTGTACATACATTAATATGTTTAACACATTGATTGCCACTTTACACATTTCCCTTATGAGATAGAATATTTAAGTTTTATAAAATTATTTATGTAACAATAAAAGTGTAATAAAAGCGTATAGTTTATTTTATACTAAATTTAGTATTATCATATCTAGTTTTGTTGATGATTTTAATCGCTCTAAAATATCTTTAATAATAGAAATGCCGTCATCAGTGTCTATCGTGACAGTCATGTGTTAATTTTTTACTAAATTCATCTACTTATTGTGCACTTTGTATACTTATTGTGCACTTTATATAATATTTATTGTTGTTAATATCAAATTAGGAGCGATTTGTTCACATTTAATGTTTTATTATTTGGCAAAAATTTATAAATAATCTTCGTTCTTTCAAAATTTAAAACATTGATTATTAAAAAACACTACCAACTTTCAATAATAAAAAAAAAAGAGAGTTCTTTTTATAAAAGAATATATTTGCTCTCTCCTTTCTTTATTGGTCAATTTTTACTTTCGAATTTAAAACACATCTTTTTATATATTATATAAATGGATTTTTTAATTGAATTATCGAGTTGATAACATGTAAGTGATATACATGTAAATATATATTTTATTTATTAATTTAAATAAAAAAATTATTTTTTGGCTACAAAAATGTATGGCGTAATGTAATCAAGAAGTTTCTTGCTGTTCTTTTTGGTTTTGTAATTTTTTTTTTCGGATGATTAACATTTCTACTGTCCACATTATCACTGTAAGTGCCGTAACACAATTTATTACAATTATGCAAGGTGTAAAACTTCCAAGATTATCACGCATTATACCTGCAAGAATAATAAAAAGAAAAAGTAAAATATAATTGTATTATTAAGCTCAGATGATATGTAATATTAGGCTTAGATAAAATTTGGGAAATTTTAACACTTTCGTCATTATATTCGTTTTTTAATATTCAAAATTGAAGTAACAGAAATTTCAATCTTGAAATCTATTATAGATTCAGCCATAAAAAAATTTTTCAATATTTTTACGTACTATAACAATTTATAGCATTTCTGGGAAGAAAAATGTTTTCACTTTTCTACCTGTTATATAATATAAAAACATCTTAAAGTGAATGATGAATTTTCAGAGTAGAGCCTTCAAACCTTAAAATGAATCCAGATTTATTGTTATATGATTTTTCTTTACGAAATTGTAGCAGTTTAAATACCTGGTATCCGAATATTAATGTGAGTCACTATATATTGTTATTGCAAAGCGTTTCTTCAAAAATTAATTAATAATCTAATTACAGCAATAATTCTTGCATTCTATAACTAATTTTAAACTTAATTCCTATAATTATAAACGTGTTTAATTGTCCGAATTATCCGGTTATCAGTAATTTAAGATTTAAGACAACTATGTTGGCCTCAATTAGTAAATTCTTTATATTAATTATATTTTTTATACAATACAAATTTAATCAGATGCTTTTTTGATAAAATTTGGTGAAATTACGAGATTTCGTGCATTGATTTTTCTTCGAAATAATATAATTCTCGTTCTAATAAAGAAACACACGAGATATTTCGACTATTACACCATTCAAGAGATATTGTATCGCAGAATAACTCGTTTGTGGTTGCGAAGCAATTAAGACGAAGGCTTTATTGCTAATAGTAAAAGTAGATCTTTCTATATAAATAGAGATCATATTGTTCGTATCGTCAATAGCCAAAAGAATATAGGTTCTTAAACTCTAAAACATAACGGATATTACCACTACCATTGCTGACATTCAACATCTGTTATAGAACTTTCTCTCATTACACGAAGTCAAAATTATCTTGATTTCCAAACTGTAAGAGTCGGCGAATTTAAAAAAAAATAATATAGACAATTAAAGTAATTTCTTAAATATTTTTTTAAGAAATTTAATTTATAATAGAACCTCGTTTGCACTAATCAGTTAATGCTGACCGTCAAGTATACATATTCATAATTTTTATTGTCCGAACATAGCCTTTTATTGCTGCAAAAACAAGAACAGTTTTTGAAAATAGTGATCATATTATATCTATACAGCCTTGTTTCTCGACGTGTTCAGATAAACAAATGAGGCTATATAAAAATTTGAAAAGTGAATTTCGTTAAACAAACGAAAACCAAATTTCGTTATCCGAAGAAGAGATAAAGATATTAATCGAAAAAGATAGATTTTTAAATAGAATAAAAGATATTTTAACTGAAGAATGAATGGATAGTCCAAATATTCCCGAATATTTAGTTTTTTTTATTATGTTCATATAATTCATCATTCATTTATTATTTTTATATAATCTTTAGAATATTGTGCCAAAGTTAGATTAGAAAGATTGAAACACTATATTTATTTTGCATACAATATGTATGCAATAAAATAATTTGAATCGATCTTCTTGGATATTTTTACTATTGATTAAATCAAGAAACATTTTAAATGAAAGATTTACAGTTGGAGAAAATGTAATAAAGTTTTTTTTTAGATAAACACGTAAAGAACATATGAAATTCAACTTGCTTTTTAAATGATATACTATTCGTTATTTCCTATAAAAGAATTATAGTAGACTATAATAGAAAATATCACAATATTGAAGATACAACCAAGAAAGGGATGATTCTATGTGAAAAACAAGGCGAAAGTATCGAACAAATAAATTTTTAATCCATAATAAAATTCTTAATTTATTTATTTTTTGTACGTACCAAGCATAGGACCAGCAGACAGAAGTATTGCCCCATTTACAATCATTTGAATTCCTGATGCATTAGGTAACTTATGGATTGGCACATAATGAGGTATTACCAAGCTCATATATATTGAACGTATTCCTTTAGAAGCCCCCAAACCAATAGCAACGACTATCAACGAAATAAATCCATTTACGAACAATAAAGCTGTAATAGAATTAAATAAATTCATGTTACGAAATAAAAACATATAGTAAAAAATATTCAACACCAATAAAAATAAAATAAACTATTTCGAATGATTTCTATTATAAGCCGTAAACAAATATATTTTTTAATATTTGGTAGACCGACTTACAATTAGTAATTACATGTTCAAACGTAACTTTTCTATTAAATAATAAAATTGACAGATTATATAACCATCCATCAAGTACTATTTTAATAAAAATAAAAATATGAAAATTAAACAATCATCAACGACCCTATTTGTCCATAGAGATTTAAGTTCAGTAAAGCTAATCTCTTATTCGAATACTTTAATATCCGAACGTTCTACATAGAACGAATATTTATTAGTAATAGACGCCTTTCTTTGTACTAAAATATTTTACATGTATTATTTATGATTTATGTATGTATTATTCATGATTGTAAAAGAAATTTGCTAAAATATCAGATTTAAATTGTACAAGATTTTACTAGAAAAATAATACAGAACAAACAAAAATACTTCATAAATGTCGAAAACATAACTTTTTTACAAACTAACTTCGATAACAAACAAAAATGATGAGAATATCTACTTATGATGAGACTATCTTACGTCAACATATTCAACCATAAAAAGAATGTAATTCTGCAAAATTACTTATACTAAAGGAGACTGTATAATCCAACAACCAAAAAAATATAGCATTCTTAAATATCGAAATAAATTGACAATTTTCTTAATCTCAAGTCGGATAGTAATAGTGAACTTCATTCAATATGAGGAACATTTCATTAACTTAACATTTCTGTCTCCCTATTAATTCAAATATAGAAAGTTCTACTGTCCTATAAGTTATTAATATGCGTGTGTTTATTGGAAAATTAAGCATGTATATTTATAAAAAGCTACAGATTAACTTCTTTTTTAATAAAGCAATGCTTGTTAAATTTTATTTTATTTTTCGCTTATCAAGTCCCATCTTATTTTTATATAAATATTTATGGAAATATTAATGCTTTTTTATTGAACATATAATGAACTACGAGATAAGAGATACTTACATGTCCGACTGATAATTAACATACACAAACTTAAGAGATACATTATTCTCGGTGGTTGATGAAGCCACTCCCCAATAAAAGGAGCAAGAGTCCTGAAAACCAGATCTACACTGGCAGTAATACTCATTACCGTCGCAATTTGATTAGTTGATATTTTCATGTCCATCAGGAAGAAAGGTGTTAGTTGAGAGAAATTTATTTCGGCAAAAATAGCGACAGACATTCCCAACATCATATTTACGTAAATTGGATCTCGCAATAAGTCCAAATCGAAACAGTTTGATATTGTGTTGAGTATTCGTGTTATGGTCGATTTCTTTTCAGATCTATAATTAGTAATAACAATAATAAAGTTGACTAAATGTTGATATTGATGCAATTGAAATATTATACTTTTATTTAAAATATTATACTTTAATCTTTTTTGGACTTATTATATCTCTATTACACTTTTAAATATTTGGAAAGAAAGATCAGCTTAAAAAAATATCCGTGAAGATCCAAAAAATCAAATATTTATTGTAAATATTCTTCCTCAAAAGAAATATCTAATATAATATTTTAAGAAAGAGTATTATTTACTAAATTTATATTGTGTAAATAAATTAAAACTAAAGTTTACCTAAAATGCATTAAATATATAATTTTCTTTAAAAGAACACGTAAGTATGAAATTATGTATTTAAGAATAATATTCATTTTCAAAGTACACTTCTCTGTACTTCGAACTGATTTTTACTATTACATTAAAAATTGTATCTACAGAGTATCTACTTAGCAAAAAATGGAAGACAATTTATAATAAGGGATTATAAAATAAAACAAAAAAGAAATAGTGATAAAATTATAATTATGATCTTGCATAAAAATATTTAAAAAATGGATTAAAAAAAAATTACCTAAAACCAACACTTCTAATATGACGAATTATTAGAAATTTATATTTAAGCTCACATGTACTTTGCATTATACTAATTTAACGTCCAAAACAGATTTCATTTCCTTAAATTTATTAATTTATTAATTTGAATATGAATACATACTTCTCATTACTGTCAATATTTGCATCTGATATTGTGTTTCCATTACTTTGTGCTAATAATGTATCGTTCTCCATTGTAATTTGATGATTATTCATTTCAAATTCATTTATGCTACTGCATTTTCTCAAAGGTTTCTCTTCAAAAATTTTAATACTACTGCCTAGATTAATTGTATCGATGCTTTTAACTAAAACAAGTATATATATTTTCAATTACTTTTTTCTTTCTTCTTCTTTATATTTTAATTATCTTTGTTCCGAAAACATACATACATCGACGATTACGTTGAGTTCTTAAGCGTTCCTTTTCCATTTGGCCATTTTCAATAATTGTATATTTATCAACATCTTTTTCTCCTAAAGAAACTAAAAATTAACATTCCTTTTAATAAGTAATATTCATATACAGTACCATATACATAACAATGAAAAATTGTCGATACTTTAAACTGTTATACTTTCAAAAAAAATATGTAACAATCCACTTGATCTTATTACAAAGCGTAAAGCTTCTACCTTGACTACTTTGATTTCGTCCAATTATTATTATTATATATCATATTAATAAATCGCTTACTATTCAATGTTTCAGATATTTGTCGAGCATAGGGTATATCCAAACCATATATACTTCCAATTTCTGCATCGTGATCGATACTTGAAATAGTAGTTTTCCTTCTTCTCTGTTTATTAGTTAAATCTAATACTGAATTCAGACTTTCTTCGTCGTTGTTCTCTCGATCTGAAACAAAATAAACATTTTAATCTAGAATTTTTACGATTTGATGTAAGATCTGATTAACTATGACGTAAAATAATTACGAATAATAATGTACTTCAAATAACCAATACGATTTTAAATGATCAATAAAAAAATAAAAAGTAATTCCTTATTTTTAATATAATTAATTATATAATTAAATTTGAATAGTAATTACAAAATAAATTACATTATAAATAATAATTAAATAATTTAATTGTAAATTTTTAAATAGTAATTAAATAATTTAATTATAAATTTTTAAATAATAATTAAATAATTATTGAATAAAAACAAAAATTTTGTTTTCCTGTTTGTATTCTCTGAAAAAATTGTTACCTGTCATTTTATTTTCGTTGAATGATTCGTCGTTCACTGTTTCCGATTTTGCATTTTTCGTATGCCATTTAAGTGGATGAAGTAATGAACTACCTACATATCCATGTAGAGTGAAAGCTCCATATAACAATATCGTACCCTAAAATTGAAAATTGTAAAGATTGAAACATTTAAAATAATTTTTCTCCAAGAATTCCAGAGCTTTGACAAATCTATTAATTTTAATTAATAGTTAAATTTTTGTATTATAAATTTTGTATTATAAATCTTCCATTCCGTAAAGAGATAAAGCAATAATTTGACATATTCGATTTGATAAATTGATAATACAATCAGATATTTTAAATAATTTTTCATCACATTGTTCAATGTCCAATTTCAAACTAGAAAACTCATATTTCAATATATAATTCATATTTTAATATAAAACTCACATTTTATTAAATATCTTCATATTTATTCACAGAGTGTTAAATTAAATGTAAAAACAACCACAATGTAATTCTACATCTCTAGATCAGTAGAGATTTGTAAAAAAAGTTCCGTGCAAAATTAATCTTAAATATAATTTTCAGGATTCAAATTTTTTTTCTTTTATATTCTACTCATTGTAAGGACAAACAATCTGCAAATAATGATTTTTACATTTAATTTTTATACAGCATTTTATACATACAAAATAAAATCAAATCATTTTGTTCAATTAAACATTTTTATGATCTCAAATGACTGGCAATTATTCTGTTAATAAATATATTTTATTACTTTAGTTTATATAAATTATATTATATTATATTATTAATTAATTATATTATAAATTATACATAGTATATAAACATAGTATTATATAACATTATACAGAGTATATAAATATTATATTTTTTTCCTAGGCTAAATATGATAGAGTATTTCTTTAAATTATCTCAGAACGAAACAGATAATAACAATAATAACAAGAGTGATTAATAGTTACTGTGTGTTTATTTATTTACAATATCTAATTGTAATCGTAATTATTTTTTAAGTTGTTTGTAATTCTAATGCCAAGAAAATAAGTTTTTTTTATTGGAATATTTATTATTCAAAATATTACACATAGTAGTTACAATGAAATAATTTTTACCTATAATAAAATAGTACTCATATTACACATATTTAATACGAATATTATAATTTCACATCATATTTTAATACAAAGCTATTTCGTTCATATCTTAATGTGTAAATATAGCTATAAAAATTCATATCTTAATGTGTAAATATAGCTATAAAAATTAAATATAATATAAACATAAAAATTAAATTAAATACTTAAAAATACCTGAAATCCATAATATGAAATTAAGAAAGTAGTCACTTGAGGTACAATTATTGGTCCCACTCCAATAAGTGTCATTGCTAAAGACATTGCGCGTCCTCTTTTTTTCGTAAAATAGGAATTCAATGCATACGAAAAAGCAGACAGCGTCATAGTCGTACCCAGTGCTATATAAAAAATAAAAAAAAAAATAAAGATAAATATCATTTCATACATGTCTTTTATGAATTTTAACAATTTATTATCAATTGATATTGATAATAATGATAATACTAATGTTAATAATATTTTTTCATTAAAAAATTCTTATAAATAATTATAATAAGTAATAAATAAATTGTTATTTATATCTATATTACATACTTATAATCTATATTCTATTTTTATAATTTGTTTAAATTATATGTATATTATAATATCATATAATAATTATATATATTATAATAATATATTTGACGCAACAACCTAATTTAGTTTAATATAAATTGTATGATATGATATTATGTAATATAATATAACGTGTAGTTATATATATAAAACTTTAATTTTAAAAAATTTTAAGTTATACATATAAAATTTAATTTAAGCATAATGAAAATGCTGTGTTACCATATTAGTTTTACAAAAAATATTGACGCGTACTTCTACTTTCACTCAATTTTAGCACTTGCAGTATTTTTTTTATAAGGATGTACTTTTCTATAAGAACGTTTGCTTATTGTAAAATAAAATATCAATCTAATGATTGATAATTCTACTTTTTTAATAAATAGTAAAATAAACAAACTATCATGAAACATAATAATTTGTGTCTTAATTGATTGAAAAAAGGAAAAAATAGAAATCTAGAAAGAAGAATAGAAATCTAGTAGAAAAACCCAATACTCATTCAATAGAAAAGAATTGAATAGTTAATATTATATAATAATTATAGAAATAGTTAATAGTTATTATATAATAATTATAGAAATTTCATGCATTTATAGAAAATCTCAAAATACAAAATTGCAAAGTGCAAAATTCACAAAATACGAGGAAATCTATAAAATGTTTATAGTGAAATATCCAAGCGCTTTCTAAATTTTAATACGTAAATTAATTTTCCTTTGAGTTTCCATCCTTTCAATTATGTTTTCAAAAATATCATTCGTAATCTACTAACATATTCTTTTAATTATATTTAATTATTTATTTAAATACATATTCTATCATAATAGCATACAATGTAAATTTTACTTACATGCGAGTATGCCATAAGATATCATTAAAGTGGTAAAAGATTTGGCAAATGCTGTTGTAATTATTCCACTACTCAAAAAGGTACTACCGACCAGAGCCATTTTTCTATATCCGTAAATTCGTAAAAAAGGACCATTTACCAATCCAAGTATCATACCAAAAGCTAAGTTCGTATTAAGGATGATCGTTCCTTCCGTCGCATTGAACCCCAAACGAGGAAAAGTATCTTTGAATATTAATCCAAATCCTTGCATAATGGATATAGTACATATCTACATATAAGAAAAATTCCGTATTATTAACAGTATACAATGTTAAATTATACTAATTGATAAATATGTATTATTAATAATCGTAAAATATGCGATATAATTTTAATCATATTACATATGTAATTAAATCTTCAAGTATAAACTACTCAATAATAATGCATTATTTTTATCAATGGAAGAATTATATAGAAATTATTATTTTACAAGCAATCGATGCTTAAAATCGCTCGAAGAAATCAAAAATAATTATCATCCCTATGATAAAATAACAATATGACACTATCACGTAACTAGTAGGAAAATATTAATCGAAAATCAATTTTAATTAATACATTTTGTAACTAGAGATAAACAAATGTTTCGATAGAAATTTTATTTTAACTAAGGGAGATACATAGCAACATTTTATCAGAAAAGATTGGTATACTTTGAACTATGATAGCAGCGCCAGTTTGATTCTATTGATTTTTACAATTTCGCTATTTGATAATAGATTCTATAAATTTATTATTAATTTTAATTGTTTATTAACGTACTCCATTTAATGAATATGCCAGGACAATCATCCAACCCCAGCTTCCATCTGGAGGTAATTTGGTAGTTTCTGATTTATTCATCTTGTTAGTCCTTTCTTTATTATTCAAACGTACACCATAATAAAATGTTATTGCAACAATTTCTTGATATTTGACAATAACGATGTATTAACCTTTAAATAATCTTCTTCACGATTGTTTAGTTAACTTATTTTTTAATAGTTATATTACTTAATACTATGTTTCGTACACTCATAATATTTAGAACAACAAATAACACTGTTGCAATATAAATTTTCTTAAGATTAATTTAATTAATTTTTTAGTAAGTACGCTAAACTTTTTGGTAATAAAACACATAAATTAGAAATCACTCTCACACTTGAATAAATAAAAAAAATCACATTGTTAATTATATTATTACGTTATATCTCACAATTTCACAATGATATTTGTCAGGTAAAATTGACACAATTTTTGTAACAAAATACATTAATTTCAATAAATTACGTTAACAGTCATATTTCTAACAGGTTTCTAAGAGATGTTAATACAAAGTGAATGCTTATTATACTTCGATTATACTTATTATACTTCGATAAAGGTAAGTACTTGTGATTAATCTAATCTTTGATTTTATACTGCTTTGTCATTGCATATCACAAAAACAGGCAAGCTTATTACTAACATAAAATCGTAGCAAATGAAATTTAATTTTAATTTAATTTTTAAACAATTAAATTAACGTTTATCATTTTAATAAAACGAGAAAAAATACAGCAAAAATAAATGAAAAATGAAAAGTTAAACAACATAATACAATTGTATTAAGAATAATACAATTTATTCAGATTCTGAAATAGTAGTATAGTAAATAATTTTTTATTAAAATTCAAAAAAATTTTTAATCAAATTAAAAAATTCTATAATAAGTAAGTTTAAGTAATTAACTTCCATCAGAAATTAAATTGATATTGTATAAATAAAATTACAATCTCTCTAAATCATATATATTTAATAAAAACTTTAATAGCTTTTATAACTTGTAATAATAATTAATTCAATATGCTATGACATTAGTTTTTAATTATATATATAACATTAGTTTTTTTTTAATTCCCAAGAATTTAATTTTCATTCTGTATGTTTTAAGACAATTCTAAATTTTAATTATTATTTTAATATTAAATTATTTTAATTTTTTTGTAATATCAAATACTATATTATTTAATTTTTGTGACATTTTACGATCGAATTCATTCCATACAGTGCTATAGTAGTGCACTATTTTTAATCAGGATTCTGTAATGTGTGATCAAGAAAATAACGATATGTTATTTTTTTCTATAAATTGTTTAAATACCTTAACAATATACTTTGAGGTTTGATTAATCTCATTGAAACATTATTAAATTAAAATATGTATGTCGTTTCCATCGAATATTAGCACTCGTAAAAATTAATTGCGAACTTTTTCGTCATTGAAACAGCCTGATGTCGTTATAATAACAGAGAATCTTTACTGAATTTCATTTTTGCGTTGATAATAATTTATTAATTTAATACTTACGACGTGAACATATTAAAAAAACATTTATTTATTTGATAGATGAATAATTTCATAGCATAAAAAGGTAATTATGATATAGAATGACTTAATTTCAGATTCAAAATTTGATATTAATTTCGTACAATTCCTGCATACACAAAATGATATATATCGAATTACTTAACGAATCAGATTATGACGAAATTGCTCGCAGGGTTACTACAAAGATAGACAATCAAAAGTAATCATATTTATTTTTTATCTCTTAGAAACTTGTATTTAACTTTTCGAAGTTAATATATTTACTTAATTCAAGTATTATAACATGTACATGTTTATAAATAGTACTTTTATTTCAAATAAATACAAAATATATGTTTTTGTTTATTTGTTCATGTCAGTTTAAAGATTATTTAATTATAGTGTAACCATATTATATAAATTTAACACATTATCGATGCAATTCAATGGGAATGATCTAATTGTAAGTTGAACTGAAACTTCTTTCTACTAACTTAAGTTACGACATAATAAATAAATAAATAAACATTTTTCTTTGCAATTTTAATAGATACTTTTTTAGAAACTTTTCTGTGAAATACATGTACAATTAAATATACTAATACACTTTGATCAGAGTATTTTATACGTGAAAGGCAATATTTATCTACAAGAGAAAAGGAAGCAGAATTTTTCCATTCATTCCATATTGAACGAAAAAGAACAGGAATAATACTCCGAGTTAAAATAGCACGGACAGTCGATGTTTTAAATGTTTAATTTATTTGACATTTGTTTTTCTTCTTCCGTTTTCCTTGATTTTCGTTTCACATACCAGATTTCTGACGACCATGAAATTACAGTCAAATACGTAAAAATATTTAAACAGTGAAGCATAATTGCGTAATTTGAAGTTACATCTTTAATCCAACCTACTACTGGTCCTAAGGTCAATGCAATAATACCGCTAGTTAAAAGTTGGATACCGGTGGCGCCCGGAAGCCTTGATAGAGGAACATGAGTAGGGATTACAAGAGCCATGAAAATTGTTCGCAAACCTTTTCCAACACCAATTAGAGCCGCAATTGCTAAAGTAACTCCAAAATCTTGAATGTGTGCTAGTGCTAGAAAAAATTGATAAAAATATACGAATTATTTATCTTTCTACCTGCATAGTATATAATATATAATGATAGATCCTGACTACAAACTCTCCGATATCTGAACTCAAATTATACAGAGTATGTAAAACTACTATCCAAACAGAATATTTACTAGTAATAAACAATCTCGGTTTTGTTTGAATAAAATATTTCAAAAATGATTATTTAAATAACCTATCATCTTGTTTGATTCGATATTATCTTGAAATAATCCTACGTTAGTTTATTTAAACAAGCAAATGACTTTTCTCTAAATTATTTGATTACTTGGCTATTATAACATTTTATTTCATTTTATATTTTGTAACCGTTTCCAAATTTCTCAGCTTCTGATTCTATTGTATAAAAGAATTTTATTCTATATTTCTTGATTCTATTATCAAAGGATTTTACTCTATATTTCTTGCCCGCTTGATATATCATTCGATCACACTCTATATAAACCATCAAGTCTCTTAATCTTTTGATATAAACGCTGTTTTACTGTACAGTATTCGAAAAGTAAAATTTTTAATCCACATTTTTTGTTTCGAAAAATTTTATATATTTTGGATATATTATTATATATTTTGGAACATTGCAACCTAAAGATCATTTTTGACGAAAATAAATAGATATTTGTAAAAAAGTAATTGACTCTAAGGTGACCAGGTAAAATAAAATTAACTGAAATATCTTTTTTTTTACTTGTGTGAGAAATTTAATGTTTGTGGCTGTATCACAGATATGCGTATGTGAATAAAATTAATTATAATGATGTCCGTAAATACTTGGACAAAAAATTTTGCTTCCCGAATACTGTAGTATTGCCATCTTTTCTTATACCAATTTATTTTATATGTATTATATTATGTTGTGACTTTTTATAACTGCAAAGAAAACTTATTAAAATATGAGGTACAAAATTTTACTAAAAACAATATGGAGCAAGTAAGAGATTATGTTATAATATTAATCTCATATTAGCCTGTGGATTTTCATACATTTCTAAATTTTGATTGCTATGTGTCATAATAAATATTCTACATATTTTCGAAATTTTATATATTTCTACATATTATGCACACTGCCTGCATTTTTCCAATTTTTAATTTCTCATAAATAAACAAATCCATAGTCTACTCATAATATTAATTATGAGATTATAATAAATCAATGTTTCGTTTATGTGTGACGAAAATGCCATAGACATAATTTGCCTACAAACTGACACAACAAATGAAAAAATGATGAAATTATACTGATGCTTTGAAGCACAAAAAGAACACAACTTTTAATTATGCTAAAAAGATTTTCAATAGTCTTCCCAAAAAATAAAATTTTTAAATATTGAAATAAATATTGAAATCTGTAATATTCGAGTATTACACAAAACAAAACTGATGATTTTGTATACAAGAATCCACATTTAAAGTAATAAGACAATATATTAATAAATAAATATTGATATTTAAATATTTTAATATATTTATATATTGAATATATGTTAAATATATTATTTTAATATATTTATATATTGAATATCAATTAATACTGGAACAATCAACAACTAAAGCCTAAAATTAAAAAATTTACATCTCTAAAAATACATTATATATTTGTTAAAGATATCGTGTATCGAACAAATGGTACGGAACATCACTAATCTAAAGCAGAAGATCTCTGATGCCATTGCCACCACTGATGAGGGTATGCTACAGCGAACATAGAAATCGAGTACCGTCTTGATGTGCTTCGTGCAACTAATCATGTCCATATAGAGATATATTAAATGTAGCAAAAAAAAAAAAAACTTAAATATATACATTTCATTTTTTAATAATTTCCACTTATCTGTCTTTTCATTTGCCTTTGTAATAAATTTTTGAAATTGTAAAGAGACTTTATGGACACTCTGTATATCAAATAGATAAAGGCTAGGACTTTACAGATGTTTTACACGCCACGTGTAAACACTATATCATATTCAATAAGAATCAGTTCAATTCTTCTGTCATCTAGTCAACAAACTTCTACTGTCATGTAGTCAAATATACAGTGTGTTCTACAGCATGCAGAAGTGGAACAAAGAATGATTATTCATGAAAAGGTAAATCGAAAATGTAAAATAAAATTTTTATTGAAATTTTTAATGAAAAATAAAATTTTTCCATTTAATGCATTAACTCATTAGCGCCCGTTAAAAATCTGGAATTATTGTGATTGATGTTTTTTCAAAATTTCATTAGAAGGATCTTAAATGAAGGATACATTTGAAAATTAACATTATGCGTCTATTGTCGAAAAAAAGAAAATGATGTACTTGCTTGAGTTCTTTCATATTTTTCAAATTGATAATATTGTCATTAAAAGACAGACTATGCGAATATGTTATGTAAACATTATTTTTAAGAAAAGAAATATATGTACAACATACTTATCTGCAAATATTTGAATAAAATTGATTTTGTTTTTGAATGTTATACATATCAAGAATTTTTGAATGTCATACACTGACAAAATAACAAACAGATATAATTCAAAGTCCAACATCTTGAAATCATTCTTTAAGTACAACGGACGTTAAAATACATAGTCTCTACTTCAGAAAAGAAAACGTGAGGATGTGTAAAACGTCAATGAAGTTTCAGTCAAAATGAATATCAAAATGAGCAAAAGTTTATAATCTTATTTTCTTAGTTATTACTAAGACATTTTCAATATCTGTAATTATAAAACTAAAAGAAGAAAATTACTAAATTTCAAACAAATAACTATTAATTCCTTACCGATCCGACCTGTTGCCATTCCGCAAATACCGACTAGGAAGAACGTCCTGTTCTGCCATCCAATAAAATTGGCAATAAAAGGAATTGTCAATCTAGTGAACACATCAAAACCAGCAAGAATCGACATCACGGTTGCAATTTGATTTTTTGAGAATCCATATTCACCCAATATAAACGGCGTTAAAAGTGAGAAATTCATTTCTGTGAAATTGGCGAAGGTGATACCCAACATCATATTTACGTAAACAAGATCACGAAGCAGATCTAAATCGAAAAAAATCATCAGCGCTTCGAGAAACGTTTTCTTCCTAATTTCTTGGACAAGTTCCTAAAATGAATATATTTTTCTATTTGTTGAATACATTTTACATGATTTAAATAATATTATTTATTACTTATTGTCTATTATTGTTCATTGTTCATGTTTGTTCACTTTTAAATGATTAAAACTTAAAACTTACTTCTTTCAACAGTTGATCAGTTTCAACTTCTTCGGGTAGCTTTTGTTGGAATTTATGATCACAATTTGGATTTTTGCAATATTCAAAGTCTCCATTTTCGCAAGATTCGTCAACGATAATCAACGGGGCAGTTGATGGTTGATAATTCGAAAATCTTTTTCGACTTTTTTCCGTCTCGCTATTTTGTCTGTAAATAATTATGAACAAATATTGAAGCAATAGAAGAAAAATTGTTTAGAGACAAGACAATATGAAATGTATATTTAATGCTTACATATTTATATTTATATTAATTAACATAATCATCATATAACATATTTATTACAAAATAAATGTATAATACGCAGTATATACAAAATTAGAAATTATAAATACGAATGATTCATTTAACGATTAAAGTATTCGAAAAGTGAAAACTTGATATTTAAAATAAAGTTTTTATTATCTAACATTAATATACCATCAAATTACCATCATTAATACGATTACTAAAAACTGTAGAAATACAAGAAGATATCATTAAAATAGGTATTATTTAATTAATACTGTATACAATTATATAATAAAAATAAATTACTAAATTTGTAAGATTTGACAGTAAATATATATGTATTTACCTATTAAGACTTCTTAGCGACATTCCTCTATTGAAACTGGATTGTCTACTTAAATTTAACGATGGTGTCCGGCTTTGATTTTTTAAAGAGCTTTCCTGTTTTGATAATCTAGACGTTATCGATGTAGTTGAAGTATTTTTTCTAGAAAACCTATTTTATGTTTTTATTTTCTACATTTTATTATACATATGTAAGTTATGTAATTTAACAAATACGTAATAGAAAGCATATACAAATATAATATATAAATATATAAATAAAACATTTGTATATTAAACAATTTTTAGTTTCTATTTAACAATTTTACAAAATTTGTAATGTTTACTTTATAAAAAATATATTTCTATTTTAAACTTCTAGGGCTTCCAAGAATGAATTAATCTACATAATTTAAGCAATAAAGAAAATTTGAAGAGATAAATCTTTAAATTTTTTTTTTAAATAATTTTTTCTAATATTGTATATTATATAGATATCAGTTTATTGCAATAAAAATTGATTTATTATATCTATACGTATTTTTTTTCTTATTATTAATAATAAGAAAATAAATTTACGTATTAATATACCATTAATAATTCTTATATGCTAAATAATTAAAGTAATTAATTATTAAGATATAATAAAATAATAAAACAGTAAAATATAATAATTATTAATGAAATAAGGTATAATATATAATATAACAGGTTATATTTTAGCATATATTTTAAATTTAAAGTTTAATGCTAAATTTCTAGCAATAATATTAAATTTTAAAAAAATCATTCGTATTAAATTAAACTGCTATCCTACTTTTGTTATCATTCTCTATATTGTATATTTATAATGATTTACTATATATACGATTCACTATGTACTTCAATCTTTATTATTACTTTATTCATACGTACCATCCGTCATTAGCTCGGGACATCATCGGTGTTCCAGGATCTATTATGTCTATACCGGAAGCACCATCTTCTTCATCGTCGTAATACAAATACTGACTTCCAAATTTTTCTTTTACAAAACTCAAAGTACCACCACCTTGCGTATTCTCAGAAAAATTTTCTAACGGTTTATTTTGATAAGTATTTTCGTAATTTTTATGACTATCCTATAAAAAATATGATTGAATTTCACTAATCGTTAATAGTTATAATCGAACAATATCTTTTAATCTTCTTGCTGTTGTGTTTTCTTTTAATTTATTTTAACACTTAACGGACGGGTTGTTTTTTCTCTATCTTTTTCAGTTTCCGGTTAATTTTTTAAGAAATTAAATAAAAACGTATGTATGGTTTTAAATCGTTAGGCATAAATAAGAATGAAATGGGTATAAAAATAAGAAACTAACATAGAGTAATCAAAATATAAGGAAAAACGTAAATCTACGTGGTTTGTCCGTTAAGTGTTAGGAGATCTTGAAAATAGATATGTACATAAATATTGCAAAATTTATTTGTTTAAAAAAAGAATTAATAAAAATACATATCTTGAAGAAATAATTAATATTTTAACTATTTTATATTTTATATCAAACATTTATTATGAAATTTACTATTAAATAATTACTATTAAATTTGTTATTAAATAATAAGATTATACCTTATCAGTTATTAACAATTCTTCAAGCTTCACATTTTCGTTATTGAAAGTTGTTTTTGTATTTTGTCTTCTTTTTACGTGCAAAGAAACAGGTTGTAACAGGAGAGCACAAACTACAGCGTTAAATGCAAGACCACCAAAAATAAGAACGGTACCTTCCATGCCATATATTGGCATTAGTAATGTAACTATCTAAAAATTAATATAATTATTAGTTTTGTCTTATTTTGTATTAATTGTTCTGTAATTAATTTAGTTAAAAAAAGCTATGAAAAATATTATAAAAAAATGTTGTTTTTTTATATGAAAAAAATCTGATAGAATTAAAATAATTATATTTATATTCTCTTTTATTATATAATTTTATGACACACTTTTTTATTTTTTTAAATATTTATTGTCATACATAATACAAATTTTTTAAAATTATATTTTTTTCATAAAATTGATACTTTTACAGATTTATAGACCATACTTTTAAATTCTTGAATAATTTCCTAATGCAATCATAAAAAACGTTTAATCTTGACATATTATTAACCACGAACACAATTTATGTCTCACGACTAGTAGAACAATCATATATATATGTATATGTATAAATGTGAGTCCTTGGGCTATCTAAATATTATTCGACATCGTTTTGTACTCTTGTTTTGTTAGAAAATATTCAATTTCATTATATTTATAGAAAAATTTTATATGTAAAATCAATAATTAGGAATTACGTTACGTGACACTAATTTCTATAAAATTAAACAATTTTTAATTGAAAATTATATGGAATTCTTTGAATATCTGATCTTTCTATCTGACTTTTTATTTATTTATATTCAAAGGTTATCATTCTTTCATCTAAATTATAATTACTTGTGGCATGATAATTGGTCCCATGCCTGTACAGGTCCAGCTAAGACCAACAGCAATTCTTTTTCTTTTTTTAAAGTATGTATTTAAAGCTAAAGCATTTGCCGACATTGTTATACCAATTCCAGTACCTAAAATCGGGAACGTAAATATTAAATACCTACATTATCAACAAAATATCATTAAAATTTGTATACGTTTTGTCATATATGTATTACAGGTTCTTATATTTTTCTTTATTCTGAATTTATTCGTCTCCTATTGTCATCATTAACTTACCATATAAAATTGAAAATACAATTAAAACTGCAGTAAAATTTTTCGTCATTGATAATACTGTAATTGATATAGCGCAAATTAAAGCGCCTACGAAAGCTATTTGCCTGTAACTATATTTTCTAAAAAGAGGGCCATTAGCTAAACCTGCAACGTAAAGTCTATTAATGAACACCTGATAAATTGATTCACTTATTTCTGTTGATAATTACGAAGATATGTATACAAGAATAACAATTAATAATAATGATATTACAATTAATATAATAAAAAATTAACATTATACAATGTAAAAAACATGCTAAATTACGTTTAACATAAATGAATTATAAATTAAATTTTTATTTTATAAATTGTAGAGGACATTACTTGATGTCTGAACAAATAACTAATTGTAAGCTGTATCATTCCTATTTTCAATTCTTCTCAAAAATTGTGTAATAGCAATGAGAATTATATAACAATAATGAGAATTGTTTCAAATCAATTAAATTCAATAAAAATGAAATTTTCTTTCGCAACATTGCATGACTATTATAGATGACATAAAATGATAAATAATGATTATATCTAACAGTGAATCATAAGATAATGAAAAAATACAAAATCTCCAATCGGTATTAAGATAACATCATATTACTTTTTATCAATAAATTGATAAATACGTTAAGAGCTGATAGTATTATGTCATCATGTTCAATGACGAAACGTTTAAAATAATTACAGACGAACAATTAAAGACGAACAATTAGAAAATAACTTACCAATGCAAGAAGTTACTGCGAAATTTATATTTAATATAGTTGTCGTTTGTGACGAATTGATCCCCAATTCTGCGAATCTGTCTTTAAATATTAATCCGAAAGATTGCAATATCGAAAATATACAAAACTGTAAGAATTGCAAGTCAAAATTGAATTTATTTTTAGTAACTGATAATTTTCTATGTAAAATGTTTCTCTGCATTAAAGATACTCATAAGTTAATAAGTTAATAATCAATTATAATAATAATTAAATTAATAATAATAACAATATAATATAATAATATAATATAATATAATTAAATTGAATTTATATTTAAAATAAATCATTACAACATAAAAAACAAATTTTACTTGAGAAGGAACTTTTAGAGTAAATGTTTTTCATTATATTAGATTAGATTACTAATTTAACGTTTCACCATAAAAGAATTTTTAAAAACTTGATATGTACTATACGAAACATTTCTTAAAATTAATCATAACTTACATTAGACAATCCAGCTGCTACTATTATAATCCAACCCCAGCCGCCATCAGGTGGATCAAAATTTTCATTGGAATTTGTATTTACATTTTCTGTCTGGTCTTTTAATTTTTTTTCATTTTCATTAAATGCTATATTTTGTTTGACAGACATGTTTACGTGGCTGAATTTCACATTTGCATGAAAATTTATACATTTATTAATTTCACATTGATTTCTTAGTATGAACTAGTGTCTAAAAAAAGCATTTAACATATTATTAGACATATAAGTTATTTTAAATCAAAACTAATGATTATTTTATTTATAATTTTTATTAATTAGTTTAAAATAGTTTATAAATAAGATAGTTTAAAAATTCTCTCACATTAATTCAATTACTAGAAAAATTTTTTTTATTACTTAAATTTAATACTTCGAATTATATATTTTTGGGATAAATATTTTATTATTTCATACGTTTATGATATGTTGAAATTTCATTGCAATAAATCGAAGAAATTAAATCATCTTCAATTTATTACATATTACTAAAGGTATTATTAGAAAATTTATAAATAATGCTGCTATATACTGAAGGTTTTCATTTCACTTTCATTTCTACTTGAGTAAATGCTTATTTTTGGAGCACTAACACAATTAACATATAAATTAGATTGTAATATATTTTGTTGTGTTAAAATAAGATTCTTATTAAAAACTCAGAAAATGAAAATAATCCTCGAAAAACAGTTTGCATATACGAAGTATAAAGAAGTATAAACTGAGTATAAACTGGCGTATGTACGATTGTGATACAAGATATATACTACACTTCGTACACACTGACTCACGTTTAACAGTGGCCGAGATTAATATTTGACAATATTTCTTAGCTTCCAATTGTGCACCTTGGAAGTTATGTATATATTCAATGATTGCGTCAGAACTAAATATTATCATGATTAGCTCATCAAGTGTAAATTTTTTATTTGCAAAATATTCTCATGTTGTAAAAACATTTACATAAAAAAAGCGATAATATTTTACCAATATAGTGCACGCTTATCAGTATAGAGGTAAGCAGAGAAACAAGTGAGTCACCTAAGATTAGAAACTAAAAAATTTTCTAAATGATTAATTATTGAAAAATATTTTAGGCAAAAGTTGAATAATTTTAAAAGAAACATTAATTAATATAATTATTTTTTAGTGTGGATGCATAGAAAGCGTTTGAAAGTCAAATTTGTTTCTTTTAAGTAAAATCATAACTTCTCAATATATTAATCGTACAATAATATATTAATTGTATATTTGTCAATATACTAATCGATTCAACTCGTCATTTCCTATAAAAAGAATATACAACCATTAATTCAGAATATATTTTAATTAAAATATTGTAGTACGATACTTGTTCAAAGTCGAATTTTTTTGCTTAATTAATGCTTTTTAAATGACAGGTGATGTTTTGTTTCTCAGATTATCTGTTATTTTGAAACGTTTAACAATAATTCTTCATTTACTAACAATATCGAAATGTATTCGAAACTAATTTTTAAATTCTCGAAACTCGAATCCGAAACTTTGTAAGGTCTCGAAACTCTTGAAATTTTAAATGCTAGTTTTATTTTGTAAAAGAAATTTCTTGTTTTAATAACTCCAATTAATATTTTTTAATATAAATTTCTATCGGCTAAATAAAATACAAAACAAAAACATAATAACACATAAAAATTTTTGATCCAGATTCTTATTTAAAGATATTAACATTCGGACTCTTTCTGACTCTAATTTACTTTTTTTTTTATCGATTATACTGGATATATTAAAAAGTCTTTCAGAATATTATTGATGGTGATATAATAAAATACTTTTTTGATACTTTCTTTAAATTTGGATATTTTATGTTATCCAACGGAGAGTTATGTTTCAAGTTCAAAAAGAGTGACTCTTGAAGGTATTTTTTTTTTTATTTCTTTTTCTTGTAGGGACTTATAGGAATCTTATAGAAACTGTTTATGAACGAAGTAAAAGAAATTATTTATCAAAAGAAACTCCACAACCATAAATTTTATGGTTTCCAACGTCTAAAAAATTTTCTATTGCTGCTTCTCAATTTTTAGCATTTAATTGCAAACTATTAATTTCATCAATAAGTAGTAATTTTGCCTGTCTGAAATTGTCTTCATTTTGAAATACACTTGCTTTAAATTGTAAATTTAATATGATTGCTAGTGTACAGTTTCTCTCTCTCTCTCTCTCTCTCTCTCTCTCTCTGATTCATTGTCTTTCAAAAACATATCGGAAACTTTATCTGAAATTAAAATTTAACTTAAACTTTTGGATAGCACTAATAATGCTATTTACTAAGGGAATAATTAGTTACGAAGATAGCCTTGTCACATCTAAGATTTTAATTATTTCTCTAATAACTACTCATTATCGGAATGAAATATCTAATTAAAAATTTAAATTTAATGCTTAAGAAAAATAGCTTATCTTTATTCTACGAAACAAAAGAACATATGAAGCTGAGAATTCCATCTTATTGATTGATCTTGTATTAAGCGACAAGATTTAATTCTTCCTGAGCTATTCGTAATACTTTCATTACTCTGGACAAATGCTTAAACTGTCGAACTATTTTATAACAAATTAGTTACTTGACATTAGTTTTGTTCAATAATCCGTTTTCAATGACTAATTCAAATTAATGAACAAGATACACAAATAAACGCAGCGCGTTCTAAAGCTGCAATGATATTTGGCTCGTTATTCCTCATAATATACAAAATTCCATTGTTCAATAGTTTTTATGATAAAGGTTTAAATTGCATATGTTTTACGTGAAATCTCTTGAAATGATGCACTGTAAACATAAATGTGACACAATACATATTCAAAACTTTTATTCCAAAAATATATTGTTAAACTAAAATAATCATTAGAAGATTAATGTCCACATATCAGTTATAACTCCAACAAACTCCACTTCTTCCAATAATTTTTGAACTTTTATTTTGATTTCTTCATATAACTCTGAGACTGTTTTATTTGTTTTAAATATTTTGTTGTAATAGTATACCTTGGTTCAAGATGGTTAAGCTTTCAAAATCCTATATTCCATATTATTTATCCCTCCATTATAGATAATGGTTGATTGTCTTTATATATCATCTCTGCCATTAATTTTGTTACTCTTTATAACTCTTCTATCTTTGGATTTTATCAAAACATACTTTTAAAATAATGATCGAATGCTTTACATTTTGTTAATGGCATTAAATCAAATGAATATTCTTTACATTTTGTTAATGGCATTAAATCAAATGAATATTCTTCTTTACATGACAATGAATAAAATTAAAATTAGAACTGGATATTGAAATAAAAAAAGTTCATTTGAATTAATTGTTATTTGAGGAATTTAAAATGTTGATTTTATTAGATAATAAATTTGAACATGGAAGTTCATATCAATGGAAAACTCTTGTGATTAATATAATCATGATATGATGATAATAAACATAGAGTTAATTTTAATAGAATATTTTTAAGATATCCTACAGCAAAAATTGCAAATATAAACGTTTGAATATTTCTCATTCTGTACTTTATATCATATTAAATGACATGTATACTTAAATTCATATACTATATATTATACATATAATACATTTTAAGTTTATAAATATATAATAATAAAAATAGTAATATATTATATTTACACATTTATTACTTACATATATATAAATGCAACACAGAATTACAAATAAATTATTTAATAACATTAAGTAATAAATAACATTATACAAAAATAATTAAATATAATTATAAATTATTTGTTTATATTGCATGTTATATCATTTATCAATATTTGATTTACATTTAAGATCATTTATTAAGTTTAATAATTCTGTTCGTTTTGCATGCACTAATTTTTTAATCTGATTATAATTACATCCATCTATCCTTCCAGTTTTTAGAACATGCTTTGTAATTACATCTGCTAAACATAAAACATAAACTCCACAATCATAACCATTATCTTGTTGTGGACAATCTACATCAACAAACTTGTTAGATTCATCTTTATCAAGTACACAATTCATTATATTCTTTGCAAATTTTGCAGCGATATTACCATTATACCCTTTTGATGAATCAAAATGATAACATATTTTATCTTGTTTACAAAATATTAATAAACTCCAATGTGATCCTCCAGCTGCATCTTTTCTATCACAATTATTCAAAGGGAAAAGGATACATTTGCACTCTGATACATTTAAAGGGTCTAAAAATATATTGTACTGCGATGGATCTGTCATTTTCAATAACTGTGTTAATTCAGGACTGATAAAATATAATTCCTTTTTCTCATTTTTGTTAAGTGTCTCATTCAGATATTCAAAGTAAAATCCGATTATGACATCGTTTAACCAATGTGGTCCTTGAAGTAATGCAACATCACTTGTTCTCAGTAAACAGTCATAATAACTCAAAACAGTTTCATTTGATGGATCTTTTGCCATATTGTCAACTACTAAATAATATGGATGGAAATCTGAAAAATTAAATTTGAATTATATTTGAAATTATATATTAAAAGTAAATAAAAGTAAATCATCTAAGATTATACACCATAATACAATAAACTATATATATATAACAAATGAACAAAATTTAATATATATTAACATTTTTGAATTACGTCATTTATTTGATTATTTTTTGCAAGTAGATATTGCAGTATATGACATAATTTTTCTACTTTATGTTAATAACATTTTCTACGTATAACAGATATTACCACAGAAATGTAACAACAACTGTTAACAATTTTTTTTAATCATTTTTGAGACAAAAAGCAGACAATCCTTGTTTCTTCTATATTAATTGTAAATTCAAATTATATTCCTCTCGTATACAACGTATAAATTGAAACAAAATAGAGAAGAAACTCACGTACAATAACAAATAAAAATATATGATAAAACTCTCACAGATGGCGCACAGAACATATTCGATTTTAATATTATCGTGTAAATATAGCTTTAAATACAATTGTCAATTAACAATATAAATACGTAAGGCAAAATTTCCCCTATTAATTTGCATATACAAAAAAAGAAATGTATTTACATAGTACCTAATTATTCAAAGTAGCATGAGAAATTCCAAATTTAAAGAATAAATCATAATATTTTCTTCTGTATCTTCTTATAGCCAATCAAATTTAAAATTCATTCTCTCAAATCCCTCTCATTTTGCTACTACTCTTTTCATTAATTATATTGAACATCTGTAATATGCGTATTTGCCTATCATTGTACATCCGCCTTAATAATTTGAGCGCGGATTTTAATTTATTTATTATTTACTTTACGTTATATTAATATGCAAGTGTTGTGTTTATTATAATTAGAAATTTATATATATATATATATATATATATATATATATATATATATATATATATATATATATATATATATATATATATAGAACTTATCTTTTCATAAATAAAAAATAAATCAATTTCCTTTTATCATCATAAATATTAAAGCAGGTAAAATTGGTATTGTTATAATAAAATTGCATAACAAATTAGAAAATTTAGTATTCAAAAACTATATTTGTTATAATTCTTAATCGCGCAATTCAATTACAACAAAATTTCAAAAAAAATAAAACAATTATTTAAATATTAAACTTCTTTAAATCTCAATTCCTTATCTTAGTATATTGAATAAAAAAGTAAAGTAGCACTTTAAATCGATCTTTGTCTAAGCAACAATCTACTTTAGTATATTAAATATTTTAATTAAATATATTTTTCGTATATATTCGAAATATATCTTTATTTAAATAATATATCTCTGTGACGCAATGATGCATAATTTTATATTTGGAGTGTCAAAACAGGAATTGAAACTGATTGTTTAAAAATTTTAAACATTTCATCTTCAAATTCGTCAAATTGAATCATATTTTAATTCTTTTACAACCTTAAATTTCTCATTACTACTACATCAGTAATGCAATGTTAATAGCATAATCGACACATGTATGTAATAACAACATACATATTAATATTTCAATACTTTTTTTTTATTAAAAACTAACCTAGAATAAAGAAAAATATATGTATCCTTTCGAATCTTTCAGAGTTTGAAACTCTTTTATATAATAAAATTTTGTTTTATTTTTTTTTAACAATTTTAATATCTTTTGCGTTTATTAATAACAATTTGATTAGAGAAATTATATCGCCTCAAAAACTTTACATTCAATTATTTAATTGAAAATATACAATATTTAAACTCGTTTTTATTGGAAGAATTTAAAAATCTGTTTACATTCTATAAGCACAATTAAATTACGCAATTTTGTAATCACGCAACATTATTTCTTGATTAGTTAATAGTGAGATGTCCTAATTTCCTTTATATTTCCACTTCTTCGTCTTAGCTTTAAAAAGTTCAACTAAAATAATGTAAATACACATACCGAGTTTGCTAATCAGGATTTTCTTTTGTATAAATAAAGTTAAGAAATCAAAGAACAATTTCCAATATGATATATATACAAGATATCCCTGCGTCGATAGCACAGGCGAAGAGGAGATGATTCTATACATAAAAAAATAAATCGAAAATGAATAAAATTTTTTTTTTTAATAAATCAGCTTTGAATATTCTCCGAGTATGCTTCGAATATATATATATATTTTTTTTAATGCCACAATTTTTAAAAATGTCCCGAACAATGTCGTTGCGTAACAAATGATAATAAACAGATATAAGTAATAAATTATAATAAAAATAATCAAAAAGTGTTTATTCAATAAAAAATCTGGGTTATCTTAACTTTTAAAAATAATAACATAATTGAAGATGGTATTAAAGCAAATATCGATATCAGTTGCTCTTCATTTTTGCAATTTCTTAAAAAAAATTTTTTTCTATATACATAAATTATTACAAGACTACTGTTTGCGATAAGAGGTTTAAAATAAATTAAAATATTTGTAGGATAAGTATGAAAGAAAATAAAGTTGACTTATGTTACAAATATATACCCAGTGTTAAAAAAGTACATTCTACTTGTGAAAATTATTTTGTTAATAATTTCTTAACGAGTAACGAGAAACAGTTAAAACTTCTTCATCATCGAAGAAAGTGATTTTAATAATATTGCACCTTTGCAAAGAAAGTGGCATAATTATAAAAAATATATTTTTCAGGAAAAGCAAAAAACTAGTTTTGAATAAAATTGGATATTATTTTATTAATTTAAAAAACAATGCAATTCAAAGTAATGCATTTCTCATGTTATCAATATGCATTTATTCACAATGATAGTCAAGATAAAATTCATAGTAACACAGCATCACGTGACACACAATTTCTTTCTATCGATCAAATCATTGAATAAAATTTTCATAATTAATCAAGGCTTTCTGTAATTTTTATTGTAATACCTCGAAAATCATGTTTTTTGAGTTGCGTCACTTTTTTTGCAAAGCTATGATATGTAAAGATCAAGATTATTGGATGCGAATTTCCTAAATAACAATTTTATTTCAATAACAATTTTTTTTAATCATATTATCAGTATATAATTTATAATTCAATAATTTCGATAATTATTCTGACAAATAATTTTTCTAATTAAATAATTCTAATTAAATAATTTTTTCTTTTATTATGTTAATCATTATCTTTGAACAGCAATAATATCCATCACAGGTGGTGCAATTACAAATCCATCAACACCTTGTAAACAAGGCGTAGGATGATTTGATGGCAACATGAAATGAAGTTTTTGCATTAAGCATACCACAAAAAGAAAAACTGTATTTTTCGCAAAAGTTTCACCCAAACATTTCCTGCGACCTGTCAAAAAATAAATATAATAAATTTTTATATGACAAGAAATAATATAATTATATTATGATTTAAATATATGATGAAATTGACGTTTAAGAACGTTTAGTCCAACTTTGATATATGAAGGATTGAGAATCATAATAATGTAAGTGTCATTCTTATGATATTTCTCGTAAAATTATTATGTTATGTGTTTACTACTATTGCTTTCTTAATTACTAAAATGAAGTCATTTCTCATTAGTAAATAAAGTTATAATAGTTGGTCATGAAAAATATATAAAGCCTTCAACACTTAGAAAATATTACTAATTTAAATTATAAGAATTTAGACTTATAGTATTATAATTCAAAGTCTTTCACATATATTGTCAAGTATTATCATATTCTTGAAGTAACTTCTAAGAGATTTTAATCATCATTTTTTTTCTAAATATTTGAAAAATATAGCAATTATTTTGAAAAAAAGTCATTTAAAGCGATAAATCGTTAATCGATAAATTATCTAAAAAAATTAAGAGGATTATGATATAAGAATATTTCATTATTATTAAATGAAAAATTTGTTTAGAACTCCAACACATACCCCTCCCTCCGTACTCTTACTCCGAAATTGAACATAAACTAATATAATCTATTTTATCGTTAATCAGAACAGTGTCCTTGACAATGTATGTGAAGGTTAACGTTATTGGACTTATTTTCCCTAAACATCAGTTTTATCATTTGTATTTACTTTCTATTAGTTTTGATTAAAACTTTGTATAAAAAAAAAATTTCTCTTTAATACTAATTAAAATATTTCGAATATAAATATTGTATAAAGCTTAAGCCTTCTAAACTTCAAGACTCAATTTCAAAACCTGAGTTTTTAAGACTATTATAAGCTTAAGCTTTCAAAGTTTTAAGACTGAAGTTTAATTAGAAGATCTAGCTCTCAAATTTCTTAAATATCATCTGTATACGTGACATTTCACAGTCTACAATACTCTTTACATTGTTGTATATAATCCAGACAGCTTGAATTTCCGAGTTTAAGAATTTGAGCGTTAAGAACAAATTTTTCAACAACTCAAGGTTCAGAGACAGCTCTAGCCCTTAAGGCTTAAATCGCGATTCTAACTTCCGAAGCTCGAGGCTCTGGACTCATTTTTGCAACATTAACTGACAATGTCTAAATATTATTTAGAATAAGATAAAACATAATATCATCATAAAATATCTCAATATCTAAATGTTTCAATTATATCAAGATACAAATAAGAATACAATCAAGTATCAAACAATTTGTTTTTCTTACCTAGGCCAAAAGGTATGAGCCAAGAATCATTAATAAATTCTCCATTCTCATCGATAAATCTTTCTGGTCGAAATACTTCCGGATCTCCCCAATGCTCTTTGTCCATGTGAACACTTTTAAGATTAGCTAATAAAGTATAATTTTTTTTAATTTCAAAACCTAGCAAGTTGGAATCTATTATTGCTCGGTGTGGAATGGAAGTTGGACCAATATTGGCTAGTCTTGATACTTCTGCTAAAACTGCTTTTATATATGGTAATCTGCAAACGATAATTGTAAAAACAGTATCTTAATTTCAATGGATTTTAAATATTTTTATTGTTAGGAAGATAATTATTCTTAAATTCTTTTTCTTAAATAATAATATTTGCTTAACTCTGCCACGATCTTCAAATTTTTATATTTCGATCTTATATTTAGTTTAGCAAATAAAAAGAATTTATAATATTTTTAAAAGATGCTTGACAGAAAACTTAATCGAAGAATAATGCATACTAATAAGAATTTCTTCATATTTTATTTAAACTTGAGAAGAATATAAAGGAATATAAAGAAATATAAAGGATATATAGGTTGAAAATGAGTGGAAGAACGTAGCAGGATTAAAATAGTAATTTAAAACACCTATTTATTAAGTCATATTAATATTTGTTAGAAAGTATTTACTTTCGAATTTATTGCATATGTCCACAAAAAACACACTATTTTAGTCTTCTTTTGTTCCTATTCATTTCCATAAAAGTCTTCCCATAAAAGCGTATACACATTTACTTAGTGAGATTGAATCAAAGTGTATCGTTTTGATCTCAAGTTATATTCATTAAATCATTAATGAATATAATTAAAGATCATTTCATTTTATCAATATTATTCATCAAATTTTATTAATATTACAAATGTATTATATAAATATATTTATATAAATTTGAGTTATAACGTAATTTAAAATATTGTTAATTTGAAAAGGTACGTTAAAAAATTAAAAAAATATCTATCTAATAAAATTAAAAAAATACATTGTAGACATTTATTTGATTTAATTTATTAATGATTCAAATTTAAAGTAAAAGCTTATGACAGTATACTTATATAAATAAACATATTAATTGAAAATATATGAAAAAACAAAAATATAAAACTATTATTTAAATTATTCTATATTTGAATATTATGAACGTTTTCATTGCAATTATTAATAATCTGTTATACAAGATAGTTTTGAGAAATCTTTATTATAATATTTAAATACAACTTACCGATCTTTATCACTAAGAGAAGGATATACATCTTTGCCTATAACCCTGTTGATTTCATCGTATACTTTAGCTTGTACATCTTGATGAACTACTAGAAATGCTATTACAAAACCGATAGTATTGTCAGTAGTATCAACACCAGCACTAAATAAATCCTTTATTACATATAATAGTTGATTTTCTATAAAAGAAAAAATTTCATTAAAGATACACAACTTCTGGAATAAGTATAAAATTTCATGACATTTATTTTATTTTACTTTAAAGAAGTAAATAAAGTTTTATTTGCTAAGAAAATATAATTATATTTTAATGATATTCAATAATTTTTAATAATAAAATTATTCGCTTTTATTTCGAATTAAATTTTATATTTTTATAATTCATAATCAATTGCGATTCACTAATGCACAATAAAATTTAATTATTTTTTGTTCATCAGTAATTTCGCAGGATTTTAACTTGGCTCAATATATCTATAGGACTATAAAAATAAATGAGAATTATTTCAATCAAAAACACAATAAAATTGGTAAATTATTTGAATAAAATATTTGAAAAATGATTATTTGAATAATATATCACTTTACTTGACTCAATGTTATCTTGAAATAATTTTACATAAATTTATTAAAACAAGCAAATAATTTTTCTTATTTGACTACCAAATAAAATAATTTCCTAATTCATTTTGTATTTTATATCTATTTGTTTAAACAATTTTCAAGTAATTTCTAATTCTATCGTATAAATTTCACTTTTTTGTATAAATTTCAAATAAAAATAATAAATTACTAATTTGGTGGAAATGATTATTTCAAATTGTTATTTTTCATCTTTATTTAAATAAAGATTTTCCCAACCTTGGTGTGCAGAATAGATTCGATGATGAATTGAGTTGAATTAAATAGATTAAAGTAATTAATTTATATAGACATATAAGACTGATATTTATTTTAGATAGTGTTTCATTTTAAATATTCAACTCCGTGTGTAAATATTAAACTCCATCCTAGAATTTTAAATTTTAAGAATCTGTTATGTACAGAAAGAATTAATTACCCGAATAATGCATCATTCATGTATAAAATCGCAACTGAATATTGCATAAACTAAATATTATATAACGATTTTAATTTTATATTTTAAAATTAATGACAATTCATAGTGAATTATAATTTATAATCAGTAATGTCTCAGAATATTTATTTATTGGATTATTTGTTCACTTTAACATTGATTGCATTATAATAAATAAATATCATTGATATTTGATTAAATATCATTGTATTTGTTTATTGATAACTTACAATTAAATTGATTTAGATAAAATAATTACCATTGAACAAAGAATGAGATGAATTCATCTTTTGTGCTTCTATTTGTTGTAAATAAACATCTATAAAATTTGCATATTCTCCATTTATTTTATCACGTTTATGTTTCGATATTACGTGCTGAAATTAATTGTAAAAAAAATAAGAACAAAATTAAGTATCACAGTAAGAAAAACTTTCCCCTTTATTATTTGCAATGGGTTTGAAATATGTTGCATGAGAGGGTCTTAGCACCAGAACTATTAGAATGATTAAAAAGACTATTTGTAATTTTGTATATTTGAAAATTTGTATTTTTTTCATAAAATATATATTTTAAATAAAAATCTATGTATTTTATCACATTAATATTTTTTGCTACTTTGTTTTTAATTTCCTGAAATATTTTAATATTCTTGATACAAGTTTTACATTTTAATCACGAGTAATTGTAATATTAATATATATAAGTAAATAACTCTTTAATAAACAATGTTTCTTTACGATTTGAATTCATTTCTATTTTTTTCAACGACATACTGTACTTTTTTTATCGTCAATAACACAGAATAGAAATGTTTAAATGATTTCAATAATCTTTAATACAAGATTTTTCGACATTACATAAAGAATTTGATTGCCGAACTCCATACGTATACTTTCTATTATTTAGAATTGATCCTGTCGGTATTGTTGACTGTTCTGGAAAAAAAGTTTGTTCAAAAAAATAATTTATTCCCATGAATTATTCATAATAGAACCATATATAGTGTGTATATATGCATATAACAGTTACATATATACACAATAGAATATTTCCAAATCTATAAATATCGTGGTCAATTCTCTATATTACTTGATTTCTTTCTCTGTGCAACTTTCAAAAATATTATATACCTATAGAAAAATAACTATTAATACTATTTTATATACCCGTAGAAAACTAACTATTATATAATATATGCTATAATCAATCAAAAAGAGATAAAAAATGTACGAGTCATCAAATTAATTAATTAGAAGAGTCATATACATTATATTTTGTAATGTAGGATCCTTTGTTTTATTTTTTAGTCTAATATCGTATTATATTGTATTATATAATAAATCATTGAAATCATCTAAGTCCAAATATTTGCTATTAAAAGAGAGAATTAAAAAAAATTAATATGGTATTTAAAAAAATAAAAGTGATCCTGAGATTATCAAAAATTTTCTATCTACGAAAGTTTATGATGATACATATGTATATGATGAAGATATTATATCTATAGTACTCTGTATAGACAATGATTATTATGATATATAAAATAATGATAGTAATGATACAAAAATAGATTTAAAATTTATGTGCAATATTTTCAATTAGTATCCTTTTTGAAAATGGATATCATTTCAAAATCAATAAACGTAAGAATAATAATGATTTAATTTATTACTATTTTGTTTCATCTAGAAACAATTTTGTATTATTATTAGTATTAACTCATCATAGAGATAACATTTACGATTTTTATGATAATTCATTAGTATAATTAACTATAATTAATATATAATCATTTATAATTATAATAATTGTATAAACTATTAAAACTTTAAATGATCTATATATATATATAGACTATAGAATGTTTTCTCCATATTTATACCTACTTATATATTGATAAATTTTTATTAAAAAGAGAATTGAAACACTTTGTAAGAAAAAAAAATACTTGAAGTATTAGTATTTATAACTGGAAATAATATTTATATTTGATTGATCATTATTTGAAAATGAAATATTAATGATTATTACGAAAAAGGAAACAAATTAATATGTAAATTTATAGCGTCTTACCATAAAAAAATCATTTATACGATTTTGACGTTCTACAAACATCGAATATCCTGTTAAATTTGGAAATATGTATCTGAGAAAGGGAAATTGGTTTAAAATTCCACCAGAAACATTCGTACTTCTAACAAGATCTTTTAATATATGTATTGCTTCCTTTAAATTTGTACTTTCCGTTCCTACATCAAATCTGAATATGTAAACATGTAACAATTTAATAACAAATACTAGAGTGATACTAATCAAGTCTTTCTTTCTTATCCTAATCACATACTTTGTACCATCTATGAGAAGCCACAAATTGCACAGAACCGCTGCTGAAATGATGGATCGAATATTTGTACTTGTTCCCTTTTCTGTTAATTCAGTAATAATATTTGTCAATGTAATTGCATCGTGTTGGAGTACACTTTCCATTGAATTATTTCCAAAACCGAACTGTTTTAGTGTTTTTAATGCAAATCTATTAAAAATAATAAATAAAAACAATTATGCTAAAAAATATTTTCAAAAAATTTCGGAGAAATATATATTAAACAAGAGAAATAGATATTAAAACATTCAGTTAAATTTTTTTAAATTGATAAAAATATCTTTAATCCTTTACCAAAAATCTAAAAATTTAATACTGAATAAGGAGCAATTTAAAAACAGACTCAGCCTTTTGATATATTTCATTAAATAAACAATAAAAATAAATATTCTAACAAATAAACTAATTATTTTATTATTGATTATAAGTAGATTACAGATTTATAAAATAATTTGAAATGCAAAATTGTACAGAATGAACATAATATGAAAACGTATAATAGTACATTTAAAATTTAGTATTTTTTGTAATATTTAATTTAGAAAATAATTTTCTATCGTTCTAAAGTTCTAGTTTTTCATTGAGTCTCTAAAACATAGATTTGCAAAAAAGATCCATATATAACATTATTTATGTAATTTTTACAGACTAATACTCAAAGAGTTATGTACTAATGTATAATAACTAAATCAGAACCATAATATTATTATTAACTATTTACATTTATATAAATATTACGTATTTATGTAAATATTATTAAGTATTTACATTTATATAAATATTAATCTATTAATAATATTTATAAATTAGAAATAAATTTTATTTCAATGATACCTTCTTTGACTGTACCAGACATCAGTGTCTGTAAACAATATTCCTCGTCGAACACCACCACTTCTATGTTTATATAAAAATCCATTTGGTCTGCCGTCAAATTCAGATCGATTCAACATCTCTGTAATTGCAGACTTTCCAGAAACTATAATTAGCGGTTCATCGAAACCTATCCGGAGACCAACAATAGGTCCGTATTTGTCAGCTAATCGACACCAAGCATCGCAATAATATTTCGTCTCATTTACTAATCTTGCGATATCAAATATATTTCCAATGAAAGGTAAACCTCGTGGACCTTAAATCAATACATTTTTAAGCATCTTTAAAAATATAACTATTTGCATATATTAGGTGTATAAATTAATTCGTGGCAGATAAATTCGTTTTTTTCGATGAATTTATCGTTTATTTACAAATAGCAAGATATATTTTAATCTGGAAAGTAATCTTCATTATTTTTTATACATTTATCCTATTAGACAACTTTTGAATTCTGTTTTTTCAAAAAGATATCAGTTTTAAGGTAAAAAACTCAATAATACTTTTTGAAGCTCTTCAACTGAAATGATAAAAATAAATAGTGGTTTAAAGAGGATTAGATAAATACTCTGCGTAAGAGAGAAATTAAAAAAACAACCTAAAAAATACATTACTAATTGAAATATAGAAAGAAGACATTGGTACATTGCATGTTACTGTTTTTTGAAATTAATAACACTTATTTGTTTTTTATTTCTTCATTTGAAACATTGGCACAAAGAGAGCATAAGAAAATTTGAATTCAAAATAAAATTGCAATTATTTCATTAATTAATTTATACACTTAACAAATATATAACTTTATAGAAAATGGTACCCGGGGGAAATTTTAGCGGTCGTCTATAGTTGAACAATACTTTTATTATTAATGTTATCACGAGACACAGAATAATGATCCACATTGTCATTGAATCTTCACAATCACTAACTTCAAATATATGATAAAATAATTATTGAATCTTATAGAATTAGTTTCACAAATTTTGACACAGTGTTAAATTTTTGTTTAAATCTAAAACTCTTAATTTAAATTAAAATGTATTTTTAATTGTCTAACATGAAAGACATTTTACTTATTTTCATTATGAAATAAATGATTGATTAAAATTGTAGACTCTCTCATAAATTTCTAAGTTAATATATTTTTTGATATAAACATATATTATCCTTGTATGACAAAATTAATTACATCTGTTTTTTTCTTCTTATCTAAATTTGTTTTGTCAGAGCAATAAATTTTTAAACACAAGACGACTTTTAAAAGTAGAAAATGTCTTCTACTTTTTAAAGTAGAAAAATATCACTGCAAACATTTTGATAATTAAAAAGTTTTCAGAAACACTAGAATTTTGTTACGCACAAAATAAATAATTTTATAAATTGTAAGAAGTATTTAAATTTTAATAAACGACCTTTTGTTGAATAAAAAAAAAATTTGAAAATATAATCTTCCTTATATTTATATTTATACTTTTGTATACTTATGTATGCAATATTTGTCCAAATTATAATTTTATAATTATGTTAACACAACGACGTATTTGAACTTGAAAAAATATAATTCATCACTTTCACTATTTTATTTAAAATTTATAACAAAATTGAAAACACAACCAGTCAGAAAAAATACTATATAATTTACCTCTACTTTGTCAAGACATAACGCAAAAAGCCACACTACTCAGTTCGAAACGTGTTATATAGTGAAAATAGTCCTTTCACCAAAGTATTGGCTAAGAGTATATACCAAGTCTATTTTAAACCTCTTGAAATGATGAAATTCTTTGACATATACATACGTATAAAATAAACTGCTTAAGTTTACACGTTACATTTTATATTTGAAAGTATTGTTAAATTATAAAAGAAATGCTTTTTTCTAGTAAAATTAATAATATTTAATTATGTTCTTTAGTATTACAAAATTATAAGAATTTAAAATTTAATACTTCATGATACATTTTTTTTAAAACATTCATCTACACGTCTTCTGTAATTTATATTTTTGAAATCATTAACTTATAGCTACAATTTTTTATAAAATATGAAAACTTATATCTTTTTATTAGATTCATTGATTTGAAAATCAAATTAAAGTTAAAAATTGATCAAATTGTAGAATTATGTAGCAGTTTACTTTTGATATTTGTCCTATCTAATTGAAAAGTTCGACGTCAATCTTGTTATTTATCATAAACTTTATATTATCAACAAAATAATAATAATAAACTAAATTATATAACATGTTTTAAGAAAATAATTTAAATGTATATAGTTCTTTTCAATATATCTTTTAGTAAAAAATAATTTGACTGATAATTTCATAGAGATTTTTCTCTTCAAATCAAAACTTTAAAATAAAAGACAATTTTATCAATAAATAAAATATAATTCAAATCAAAGTTTTAATTAAAAAATAAAATATAATTTTATAAATAAATAAAATATAGTTTCAATTATCAATAAATATAAAACTAGTAAGTACAAGATATTTTCTAATTAACGTCAATTATAATACTGCAATATAGCATTAATTACAATATTATAACACCAAACATCATTTAATACTTATATTTTTCCCTAAAAAAGAAAACATCTAATTTTCTTTATTTAACGAGCAATAGATTTATTTATCTTTCTAGTTATTAAAAAACATAACAAAACCTTTAAAAACTTAATATTTACAATATTTTTTGTGAAATATCTTTAAATATTGTTTTTATTTATTAAATATTGTTATATATCGCTCACTCAACAAAAGTGATACAACTGGACAAAATGTATTTTGTAATTTTTGATTTAGCACCATGAAAATCTTGTCCATTTATCTTCATAATTTGACATAATTAGAAAGCAATTAAGATCGTTCTTCCTAATTTATGTGATATTGTACTTTTTTTATAAATGCGTCTTTTTTGTACGAATTTTATTTTAATCATTTTATTCTAGTCTAATATTTACAAGTATTTTTCGAGTTGTATTGTTTTTGTTGCACGCTTACAGTACTTAAAAATTGCCGAATTTGTTTTATTTAAATTATTTACATCAATTTGTATTAACTACTATATAATCACTACTATCGCTAGTAATTATTATATTTTATATTTTATATTGCTTCAATATTTGTTTCCCTTTTTTTTATAAACAAGAAAATCACAAATTTTATGCTTTATTGTTATTTAAAATAGTGGAAAATGAATACTTTCTTTTTGTATTACTATTATATTTTTAATTTTTCATAAAAAAACGGAAAATTAATTTCCGTTAAAAACAATATTGTTCTAATAATTTGTAACAAAATGTAACTGAATTTCTGCTCATATATTATAAGCAAAGAAATAGATTTAATAGAAAGAAAGTTTGTAAATTATGTGTCTTATGATTATGAAATCCAATATTATACAATAATGATAATTTGCAAAAACGTTTAAAAACAAACTCGAGACTTTGTAATTTAAATATAATTTATCATCTAATTTTTCTAATAGTTTAAAAATTTTTAAAAATAGAATTTCTGATTTCTAAATGTATGATAATAAAATGATATATTATTTGCCAACAAAAAAAAATGGTAATTTAAAAAAATTTTAAAAAAGAAAATGTGTGCGTATTATCAAGCAAAAGAAATTAACGAACACTTATCTTATGGAAAAACAATTTAACCTTTTAAGTTAATATTTCAATTTAACCTCTTAAAAACAATTTAACCTTTTAAGTTAATATTTCTTCGGTATTTTATTTGATATAATGGCAACTTCAATGAGGCAATATTATCTTATAAAAATACCCATAGCTCATCCCTTCATGGTCAAATAAATTTAGTTCCATTCGACTGCGATTTTATTTTTTATTCATAATGAAGACACCTTCAACAGCAACAAAAATATCAATAAGACAATATTAATCATTGTAAACATTCGCGCATTGCAGGAATAAAGAAGCTCTTTCTTCAAGCGCTCTCTTCCTTTCTTCTATACCTCAGAAGCGTACACAAGCGTTCTTCAAACATTGACCATTTCTGTGCACGCATTTCCGTTCATAAATTCCCCGCGCGGAATGGAACCTTTAAGTAGCCGAACACCGAAATTGCATCAACGATCTGAAATTACAGTTGATAAAATAAAACACGTGGTACTAAGTGTATTAAAATTAGAAGCTGAAAATATCCACTGACCTTTAAGAATGAGGTCCCGTGGTCATCTCAAGGTAGATCATCGACCGTGAGAAGTTCTCTTCTCCAGCCTCCCCACTCTGCCCCCCTTACCAACACTCCCATTTTCCTCCACCTCCACTCTCAACAGCTAGTATCATACACCGCTGTGACACACTTCTGACTGGAATTTTTTTCAAACGTGTTCCATACTTCAGGGTTCAACGATCCATCCAAGAGTATGATCTGTTACCCGGTAAGCACTGCTAGTAGGACACTGGTCTCGATAGCTCTTGGAACGTGTACAAGGGCTGCTTCGAAAGTAACGCTTGCTCTTCCTACTAGCTTATCAATTTTTAGATTATCATTTATCAAACGTTACGACACGTTACGACAGCCTAGCAAAAATGCGACCTTGTTTACATATATACAATTGCCTATGCAACTGCCCTATATGCAATTGTTTGATGTTCGCAATATTTATCTCACTGTCACGAAATGTCGAACACAGCGGTGAAATAGTAATTTACTTATTGCAAGGTGGCCTATTGACGTGAATAACAGAGAAAAGGGGCGAAAGTTTCTGGAAATAAAGCGATAATTAACTAGAAATTTAGACAACTTTCACTAGTTGTGTTTAAATCTGTTGTTAATGTGCGTAAATTATCACTAGATTTTTTGCACTATTCCTAAGTTTGCGTAAAAAAGAAGGAGAGAAATAAAAAATTGAAAACTTAAATGCATAGAAACTTTTAGTATTAATTTTGTTCGGATTTTAAACTTGTTCAAATTTCATTTTAATTAAGTATCAGAAATTTACAACATTTTTCTAAAATAACATTAATTACTTATAATATTATTTGAACAATTAAAATTATCTTTTTCACTGAAAATTAGTGAAATTAGATTTTCCAAATAGAATTTAAGAATATGAATAGAGATATATGAAAGATATCGTTTTATTTAGAAATTAGAAACATTTACTATAACATTAATGGTAAAAGATTACTAATGAAGATTTACTTAATTAAATTTAAATTTACATGTTTATTTATTGTTTGATATACCTAACACACCATTATAAAATATTACTGAAATTGAAATTATTATAACTTTTATATATTATTATATATTGTATATTATACGTTATTATATTATATATTATATATTATATGTAGCTCTTATAGGACTTGTAGATAATTTATAATATTAATCACATTTAAAAAAAACAACACGCAACAAAACCAAAAGTGTTCATATACGGTGATATTTGTTGTTCAAAAGTGAGACAAACTCAAACATCTTTAGCAAAAACATTTTGTTTTCATCGAACGGCTTATTTTTGCAACGCAAAAATTAATAAAAACGCTTTCATTTATTCGAAAATTCCGAATGGAATATCGATTATTTCGTTCTACTTACTTTCTCTCTCGTATTCGTACGACACCATTATTTGAGGTAAACTTGTACGACCATTTCTCGTAAGTCGCGTTCTGTTTTCATATTTTGTAAAGTAGGTTTCTCATTTTACGCCAGAGTTCCCCTCGGATATGCAGTCATACGCACGCAAAAAATTTGAAATTCAAGAATCTAAGATATGAAACCGGATTTTGACGGAAGAAGTGCCTCCATTTGCAGAAATGAACTAACGACGCTTCAAAAAAGTTGCGCGTACGCGAGAAAAAGGACTAAACGGTACGATTTTTTTTATTTCTTTCTTTTTTTTTTTTTTAAGTCACGAGAACTTGATAATGAAATAAAAAAAAAAAGGAAAGAGAGAGAGAAAAACAGTAACGACACGACAGAGAAAAATTTACGCGAAAACGTTTAACTAAATAATATTTAGCAATACAAAATTTATAACAAAAATTACACGTGTTTCATACGAAGATAATCGGACGAAATTATTCGAAACGAACGTACAGGCATGCGCGCCGACACAACCGAGGAAATAAAAGAAAGCGCGTCAGGAAATGTAGGTAATTCAAAAATGTTAAAAGGCCTGTCGTCAAGCGTGACTTATCGAGTTTTCAATGGACATTTCCGCCTATACAGTGTTATGCACAGGAAGAATAAAGTGGAATTTTTCGAAATATCCGGCAAATAGATAGATTTCCTGAAATTTTTTTGGAGAACGCAGAAATAGAGGCAGGTAGAAGTGGGAAAAGAGGATGAGGAATTGACGAGGTACCAGTGAGAGGAGAAGAGAATAGAAGAGGAGAGGAGAGCAGAAGAGAAGAGACGATAAGAGAGCAGAGGAGAGAAGAGAAGAGAAGAGAAGAGAAGAGAAAAGAAGAGAAGGGGCCAGAATGACACCGTTCGTGTGTTACTCATTGTTTTGCCGAAAGTGGTAGTAGTAGGGCGCAATGGTGTTAACTACGTATTTACTAAACGACGAATGTGTAGTGGTAGCCGTTCTAGAACGTCAGATGCTAGCGACGAAGGAAGTGGCTTTCATTAGTAGTAGTGGAGGTGGTGGTAGTGAGCACGCGGCACACTTCGCGCTTCTCTTTGTAAGTTCTCACAGTATCACGCACCTCGGGTTACTCTCGCAGGTGAAATAAACTGTTCCTCTCCTCCGTGATTCGATTCTGTCCATCGTATCCGCGGGATTATTCTCTCTTTTTCTATGACTATTCGTGTAACCGTGTTTGCAGAGAATCGAGCATCCAATGTGTTCAACCGCGAGAGACGGCCTCGGCCTTGCTACTGTTACTAGTGTACTATGTCATTGAGAGGATCCGTCTGAACGAGCGAAGAATCAGATTTCTCTCCGCGACCTTTCCGTCGCCACGTGCTTCGCATCCTTTGGATTTTTTTCCCCCAATTTTTCCGATCCGCCGCGCGAACGGTTTCAACGACTTGACCAAGTTCCTCCAACGGCACTTTCACGCTTCGCCTATTAAACAAATCAGGTAATTTCTTTTCCTTTTAAAACCTAATGCACATTATTTTACTGTTTTTATACGTATTATTATTTGGAGATTTACATAAAGAAGTCACGTAACTAATGTTTATACAACGCACATCGCACATCCTTCTTGCATTTTATAATATTTAGTTACCATCGCTAATTTTAATTAGTAATTAATAAAGCTTTACGATCATCGGTCTGTTTGTCGAACTATTTTTGTTAATTATTTTTATTTTTAAAATGATGTATGTGAAAAATTCATCATTCGTAAAGAACATTACACAAACAGATTTTAAAAATATATGAGAAAGTACACGGTCAAGTTGAAACGCGAGGACAGTTTTGTAAAATATATCATTTTAATTTTCCGCTATATTTATTATGCTTGTATATTAAAATCCTTTGAAAAGTATAAAATGTTTATATATAGTATAAATATCTTACATTTTGTTTAACTATATTATATATTTTTAGCAAATAAGTTTAATTTATTTACAAATTCTATTAAATTCAACATCGATGATATTGTTTTTAAATTATTTCACCAAATTTATGAAACTTTGATAATCATAAAAATACAATGATGAAGAAAAATTATTACGAGATAAAACATGCTGTGATCGTAAAAAAATTGTAGTATTCACGTAAGTAATTTTTAATATTGTTATATCATATAATTTTTCAATATAATGATCTATTATATGTAACATTGAAAAAAACAAAGAAATAAGCTTTTGTATTAAATTTCTTGTATTGTATAATTAATTAATATAACTTTCTTGCAATTTAATTCAAATAAAATATGATTTGTAAGATATTTAATTTGGTTTTATAGTATATTTAAATTTTTACACTTTCTCTAACGAATATAGCTAACCTTTGCAGAGATTTTATAGAAGTATTCTCTGATTGATCGACGACTAATTTTGTCCGTGCCCAATAATTGTAACCCAATTTTTTTTTTACGAAGCCTTGTATTTTTAGATTCTCGCTGACTCCATTTAATACATAATAATTATACTCCTTTTCGACAGAAATCGATTTTAACGAAAAAATAGTGAAAGGAATCGAAAATAGCATGCAACATATAAATAAAGAAAACAACATATAAAAGTCAAATTTGTATGTCGAAAATGCTTGATATAATATAGCAAAGCATTGCAATTTTCTTTAGTTCCTACTAGTTCGTTATAATTTACATAGAGGGATATCAAGCCTTGATCTGATTTTATATGCATCGTGTGAGCTTGAAATGATACCGTTTTACAGTCGTTTTATCTATTATGTACTACTAAAGTTATAAAGCATAATTTTGCAAAAGTTGAACACAATTTGCAATTGCGAATATCACAGAAATTGTCTTGCATTAGTCATAAATGAATCATAACTGATTTATATTAATTATGATAAAATTATAGTTAATATATAAAACTGTATCATACGTATAAAAACAATGAATGACGAAAGGGAGAAGCAATAATAATAATAATTAGACTCCTTATACATATAACTATACATACGTGCGTATGGTTACAATACATTATAGGTAACACATTATATCATTGTTATATCATGAAAAGATAAAATCCCATTTATAAAAATAAACTAACGAAACCAATTGATTCGTGACAGTGGAACATTGCTTCTGTGAAATAAACATTGTTTCTTGTTCAATTCATAGAATGTATGGACCGATTTTCTTCGTTTCCATTCTGGGAGCATTTCGTGAAATTGCCGCTGCCTCGCAACACATTAACAAAGATCTCACGAACCACTACAATGCTCGTTTTCACGTTTACGAAGAACCGTACAGTATCGACTTCACATATCATAATTACGAGCAAATGAGTCGTTTTCTACGAACAACGTCTCTTCGATTTCAAAACCTCACTGCCTTATATTCTATAGGAAAATCCGTAAAAGGTATGCTCCCTAGGAAACATTTCCTTGTTCTACTTACTACCATTTTAGTACTTGTCCAGATATTTACGTATTGCGATTTTAAAGCAATTACTTTATTAAATATCAGTTGATAATCATTGATTTCTTTGATGTTAGACATAGGATCGAAAGATATGAGTATAGATGTGTATAAAAGATGTGTTTCGTAGGTCGTGATTTGTGGGTAATGGTTGTTTCTTCCTCGCCTTACGAGCATATGATCGGTAAGCCTGACGTAAAATATGTGGCCAATATACATGGGAACGAAGCTGTGGGCCGTGAATTAATGTTACATCTGATTTACGTAAGTAGTCGTATAATACATGTCACAATTTTACTAATCTTGTATTTTTCATTTTCAAGAAAAATAGTGTCGTACATTACACACACACACACACACACACGCACGCACGCACGCACGCACATATATTTTGTATAAAGAATTCAATAGCTATTTTATATCAATAATTAATATTTTTAATAATTGTGTAAACGTTAAACGTTAACATTCCTTATATAAAACTCCTTTCGTTCGATATATTAAATATATTTACTTCATGAATTACGCTTTATATTAAATGTGTTTGTAAAATTTTGCGCAATAGTGAAATATTTCAAAACCGACTCGTTAATTTTATTAATTATTTCTAATATGTTTTAAGCTGAGGAAAATATCGTAAGCATCTTAAAAACATCCTGAATGATTACAAATTATTCTATTTCACAATTTCTGAGAATATTGTTTACAATTATTACTCTTCTTTCATTTAAAGACTAAGAAATAATAAACTGTAATTCAGTTGACACACATTCGTGGTAATTAAGAAAAAGGAATTAGATTTTTTAAAAAAATTTCGATTTTAAATGAAGAAGAAAAAGAGAGGAGACATTATTTTGAAAAATTTTTATCAAAAAAGTTCAAATATATATATTTGAATTAATCGATAATGGAACGTAATTGAATAATACACTTCAAATTTTTAATCATGCACGCATAGATTATCGTAAACAGTATCATCAATTATCATATCGTTATCATAAAACAGTATTAATGAAGCAAATTCTATTTTTTATTTATAGTTCTTTGTGACAAATTATGGATCAGATCCGTATATTACGTGGCTTTTAGACAATACCAGAATTCACATTCTTCCATCAATGAACCCTGATGGCTTTGAGGTTTCAAAAGAAGGATATTGCGAAGGTGGTCAAGGCAGGTAAGGCTATCCAATTTTTTTATATTGTTAAAGTTAACAAAATAATAAAACAAAATGGTATTTCATCAGTAGAAACAACTTACAGTAAAAAGCTGTATATATGAAATGAATATTTCTTTCCTATTTCCTTTTATTGAATGATTAGATTTCTTTAATTGTTGTTTATGTTTAAAGGAATATGTAAATGTCTTTTTAGGTATAACGCACGTGGTTTCGATTTAAATCGAAATTTCCCCGATTATTTTAAACAAAATAACAAAAAAAGTCAACCAGAGACAGAAGCTGTAAAGGAATGGGTCTCGAAAATTCAGTTCGTTTTGTCTGGAAGTTTACATGGTGGTGCCTTAGTTGCAAGTTATCCATTCGATAACACACCTAACTCGCGTAAGTCTGTTTTTATATGTAGTCATTTTTTGCTAAGAGATTTACTACATAAATAATTGAAATGTATTTCATATTTGAATTAAAAGATTTGCAATATTACATTTTGAAAATAGATCATTAAAAGTATAACGACGTACACATCTGTATGTTAAACATATTGCAATAGCAAATTAATGCTATGATGCGAATTGTATTACTTCATTAATCTAATTGAAAGCAATCTGATCGTATTGTGTAACTTTTCATGCTGTCAGGAATATGCCGGTCAGCGCCATTATGTGCAGGTATAGTATATTTACTAATCAGAAAATCTGTCGTAACGCTTCTACAATATTATTTTTGTAGGAATAAAAAATAAATATTTAGCTAACAAACATACTCTCACGTCAAGTAACTTAATAAAATATAACGTATATAGTTTAAATATTTGATACAATACTTTTTTTCAATTAATCATGTTATTTATAATCAAAACACATCTAACTTGCCTTATTGAAAAATATATTATCTCTTCATTTTTTTACATGTAGAATAATATTGAGTTAGAAGAGAGATGTCGTACATTTTTGAAAATGTATTTGTATTTACTACTTGCACTTGTACTATCACTTTATTGAAACAAATTAAAGTTTCAATATACATGACGTTTAATATACATCAGGATGAGACGTCTTATTTTCAAGAGTGAAGCTATATTTCAAAAATTAAAAATTTTCAACTTAAACTTGCTTATTGATACTTTTTATTTAATAAATTATTAAAGGTAGAATGACGCAATTAGAATGACGAAATTATTATTTTCTGAAATCCTGAAACATCAATTAATTACCTCTGTTTTCTATAGTGTAAGTGTCTATAGTGTAAATGTTTTTCTTTTAATTAAACTTAGCATTATTTTTGTACTTAAATTGAATCGGCATCTTCGTAATAAGCAAAAAGTCCGTAAATATGTTTAATTATCAAATTTTGAAAATAAATAGGTTTTCATTGCAACGCTTAAATATTTCAATGGTTTATTTTAAAACATTTATTTTGTATTTTAGACATTAAAGGTATCATTTCAACTTAGCTTCCATAGAAATAGTGCAGCATCCATCCTGATTAAATATGCAATATCTAAAAATCGATACGTTTTCCTATTTCCATGTTGTGTTGCGAAAATTATTTATTTGTACAGAGAAGCACTTTACAGTGCCTTATATATATTATAAATAAATAAAAGTCAGTTACAGTAGAATTCAGTATCCGCTATTGACGACGATTAACGAAGAACTTCTTACAAATTTATTTACTACAGAGAGATAGTAAGATAAATTTTAAAAACTGGCGTTTATGATTGTAACTTTTTTACGTTTGGATTTATTGGATCTGAATCAGTATTTTTAGAGATGCATTTATATATAAACCGTAACGTTCTCGATTGACCTAAAAATATTAAGTTTAGTAAGAACTTTAAAACACGTTCGTGTAATAATAATGTTCTCAATTAGTCTAAGAGTCTAATAAACTAATAAAATATCTATAAATAATAAACTAATAAAATTTTATTATAATATAAATATATATGTAAATAGGATTCGCCATTAATCGATAATCCTGTAATCAGTCTATAATATGATAGTCGAAATAAATACATAAATATAATTATAAAGGCAAAATGTAATTCACTTATGTCGAAAGACAAACAAAACTCATTCTAAACAAATATAATCAACAATGCTATTGATTTATTACTTTCATTTTAAACACTCAAAACGCAACTGTACGATATCTCTCTCGCAATTACTCTACTTTGTACAGAAAGATGAAAAGGAAATATTATTATTGAAAATACGATTATCATTAATATTTTATTTTAATTAAACAACGACATAAAATTTTACTTACAATGAGATATCTCGGTATAGTAGAATACAAAGAATCGACGTGACAGCGTATCCGAGAGTTTCTTGAGATAAATTTCCAATGGGTTAGATAAATTATAACTCGTAATGTATTTAAAGACTGCTATAGAAGTTTCAAAATTTTAAAAATCTTTTTAATGATAAATCAGGTCCAAGATTTATACGAACAATTTAGTGTTTCAGAGTTACACTTCGGCGCCAAGTATTTCCCCAGATGATGATGTATTTCAACACCTGTCGTTAGTGTATTCCCGAAACCATGGATCTATGTACCAAGGAATGCCCTGTTCGCCATCTCAGCCGGGATTTAAAAACGGTATCACTAATGGAGCACAATGGTATCCACTCACCGGTGGAATGCAAGATTTTAACTACGTGTGGAATGGATGTATGGAAATTACATTAGAACTTTCGTGCTGCAAATATCCTCCTGCGTCTGACTTGCAATTTTATTGGGAGGAAAATCGCGTGGTAAGCAATTATTCTATTAATGCCTTAATTATTGCATTAATTAAATGCTTATTAATGCATTAATTAAAATTTAAAATATGAAATTATCGTAATGGTTTTGCAAAATTTTATTGAGAAGTGTACTTAATGGAATTCATCCACATTTTTTAAGAAATGACAATGTCATTAAAAGTCTGTGACTGTAATGTTTATCAAACTATTTAAACAGTTTGTATCAATCGCTCGTTAGCCTCTAACATTTCATTATTTCTAACAAAACAAATAAATATACTTATCTGTAAAGATTTGCACAAAATTGATATTCGATTAAAACGATTAACTTTTGAATGTATGTTACACACGGACGAGCAAACGGATAAATAATTCAAAGAACAGCGTCTGAGAATTTTATCGACAGATAATAATAGCAGCAATCAAAATATATATACTTCTCCAAGGCATTAATCAATTAAAATGACAAGAATATATTTTAAAAGATAAACATGTTGTTAAATATCTTCTCTGCAATATTCACACTTTCTTGATTCTTAGAATTCCTCCGGCAATTCTTCCTTTAGATATTTAATATCAAAAACCAATAGAAATCATAATAAAATAATATAAATACAGTTTATTGTAATTACATTGCGTATATTTCATTCACCATTTTTCACGCAACTTACTCTTCATGTTAAAAACGTAAGAAATTTCATATATGTATTTTAACTTTTTTAGGCTCTCATTAAATTTTTAGCAGAAGCTCATAGAGGAGTTCGTGGATTTGTTATCGATGAAAATGGAAATCCCATTGAGAGAGCATCTATCAAAGTAAAATCACGGGATGTTAGTTTTCTTACTACAAAATATGGTGAATTTTGGAGAATTTTACTACCAGGAATATACAAATTAGAGGTAACTTTCTGAAAATCAAACTAACAATAACAAAATAGACAATACTTTTATGCCTATATCATTTAATATGTTACTAGCAAATTTTGAAACAATTATATAATATATAATAATATGATAATATATTATATTTAATTATATTATAATTAAGAATATCATATTTATACACTCGATGACATCACACAATAGAATATAGTATGTAATAAACTTATTTGTACAATTTTTATTATTGTATATTTTGTAGGTATATGCAAATGGATATCTTCCACGCGAAGTAGAATTTAGGGTAGTAGAACAACATCCAACGTCTTTCAATGTAACATTATACAGAGCAAGTGTAAGTATAATTTAAAAAATTAGTGCAAATAGTTATATATTGTTTCACAATTACAATTATGTACTGTTTTTAATTACATTTTCAATGATGTATTTTTATATTAATTTTGAAATTTTATTAGTTCAAGTTTAAGGTCTTTTGTGAACAATGTCTCTTTTTGATATTTTTACTGAATAATTTGAAAGAAATAGATCAAAAATTCTACAGTTAGATACATATGTTATACACTAGTATAAAATATTAATTAAATATCGAATTTAATTAGAATTGGTTTAAGAAAATGAATTTTTTCAAAAAAGTTCTTATAAAATAAAAATATCAATATAACTAGTATATTATTAATGTAGGAATATAAAGAAAAAAGTCATCTTATTTCAATTCATTCAAAATATTATAAAAATTACAGATACATAATAAATATAACATTATAACTAGACTGTTAATATGTATGGAAATTCAAATTTTATAAACTAGTTATAAAAATAAAAACAACGCGAGATTTATTTAATTTATTGAGATTTATTTAATTTATTAAATATCATAAAATTTATACTTCAGATATTTTACGTATTTTATGCTCTCTGTCTGATTTTGCATTTTTAAATTTTCCACGGTCTAATTATAATATTACATGTATATAATTATACTCGATTGAACTTTTAAATCAATTTATTTTCAATTATTTATTTAATCGTATCCTGTTATCACATCTACGTCCATAATTTACATTCACTCAAGCTTCACACTTAAATAAATTAAATTTAATTACTTTCTTAGTCAATAATCAGACATATAAAAAATAACTTATTTCTACATTAATAATAAAATTTTAAAATAAACAATTCCTGACTATTAAGAAAAGTCAGGACCACATGCAGAAATTTCATTGTTTTAATTACAACATTATGTCATAAATTGTCTTTGGCTATCTAAATTATTACTCAGACGTTTCATGTTATCGATAATCGATATCATATCACGATATATACACATATACGATATCATATAGTCATATTGGCATACATCTATAGCAACTTTATTATCGCTAAAAATATTTGTACCTACCGAAACAGCACAAATTCAACATGTTATCCCTCACTTTCTCCCTATATCTTTATAATTTTATTAGAAAATTATTAAGAGAAATTAATTTTAATAGAAAATAATTTTATTGAAAAATCTTTATAATTTTGTTAGAACACAGAGAATGTTGAAAATTTTGAGTGGTTCTAATTCAACGACGAGAGGCTGTTTTATAAATCTATATCTATAAATCTATATACATATTACGATATGAAATATTCATATTTTTTTTATTAATTGATTTTAATCTTATTACATACTTTGATAATAGAGACATCCAATTGAGGATGAAACTGGATCCAATTTTTATAATGGAAACAGGGACCATACTAATCGAGATCATGTGATACATTTTCGACCACATTCTGGAACCAATACTGCATCCGAAGCAAATAGCGGAATTTTTTCATCCCTTAGTAACGGATTCAATTCCTTCGTCAATAATTGGTTTGGGTGATTAATTATAACTTAGCAAAGAGCTAATTTTTTAACAATATTATTGCATTATGTTGGTCTCATAATGATCAATAGAAACGAAACAGCGTTGAAAATATTTATCATTAGTTGTTACTTTATTCTGCTATTCTATTCTAAATGAAGATATAATAATTTATAAAATAGATATCATTGATAAAATTGAAAACAAATAACAAAGAAATTTCCTTTGTTATTTGAAGAAATTTGAATCAAATGTGAAGACCTCAAATTTAAATGTATATAATTTGATCTGTAAATATTATAATTCATGCAATTAATGAATATTTATATTTTTTAATTTTACATATCTCTATAATTTCGATATAATTTATTTTTTATATATATGTTTAAACTGCTTATTTATATTATTTAAAAGTTATCAATGTATTAGTCATTTTTATTTTTATTTTTATACAGGATTTAAAATATTTATTAGACCTAGAAAAAATACTTATTATATTATGTTAAGCACTTAAAAATTATTTTACACCGATTCTGTAAACGAACAAAATTATTTCAGTGCAACGCAAATATACTTTATTTCTAGATATTTCTTCCCGTTCAACATTTTGTTTTTAATTTTCTTCTAACGAATAAAATTTTCATCTGTTAAACTAACTAAATGAACTTTAAAACTTTATAAATTAAATTAATTAAAAAATAACTCAAAGGAAAATTAAATGTTTCATACATCAATTAAATATTTCATTTAAATTTAACGCTCACAATATAAAATATAAGAAGTACATAATTTATTTCATATCAATTAATTGTCTATATAATGATCTAAAAAATTCACGAAATAATATTTATTATACAAGGAATAGAATTTTTCCGTGGATATTCGTGATAAGTGTAAATTTATGTTATTTATTTTTTGATAACAAAGACTATTTAATAATATAGATTCATATTTAATAAAGATTATTTGTCAACATTTTCTTCTAAAAATAACAATTATTTCTGTAATTATTATGCATAATAAGATAAAATCCAAAAATATAATTTTTTAATTGCAATGTTTCAAATAGAGAGTTTATCATATTTGTTTTTTGTACAAAAGGCATGCCAAAGTATTGTGCCTTCGCTGTCGAAATTGTTGGTATTACACGTTTTAGGAATAGTATCAAAAAATGGCCTTAAAGATTTATTACTCGAATTATATTTTGTTGTCCTCGTACAAATCTCAAGCTAGCCATGCAAATGATAATAAAAGTAGCTAAAAGTCGAAAATTCGAATAACGAAGGGACCTGCTATATTTTCCTTTGCATATTAAACATAAATTACTTATATTTTTTAAAAGCACATATAGTGTGTTCGATTTATCTGTGTATATCTCGAAAGATATCTTACATTTTAGAGGACATATGTTGGTGATATTTGTTTGATCTTGTGATAATTTTAAAAACATTTCGACATATGTTGGTGGTATTTATTTGATCTTGTAATAATCTTCAGAAACCCTGTAAAAGTCACATTTAAAATTTTAAATAGAAACATATATTTTTCATTACGCATTTCTAATCGCATAGCTAACATCAAGATGTTTTCAAGATTCTGTATATTCTTATGATTCGTACCAACGTAAATTGTTATTGAGATATGTTTTCAAATTTTCAAATATGTGTTATTATTTAATCGACATGCCACGATATTAACATTATTATTGTTACCATTAAGTAAGTCACCTAAATATCTTTTCGAATTGTGACGATGTAACAAATATTTTTTGCCTAATATGAATAGTATCTTTGGGAATTCAATGGTGGTCGCGTCTTTGTTACATCGTGACTTGCTAAGTTTTGTGTACTATTTACTGACGGTCACGACACTTCTTTTTTTTTTTTTTTTTTTTTTTTGTCTTATCCTAAATTGTCCTAGTAATAGTGTCTGGGATAGTATTATCCTATTACCTGTATTTAATATGAGAGGTTTGTTTGTCATTATTTATCTAATCATTTTGGTTGTCATTATTCTAATCATTTTAGTTTAGATTTATGTTTAGAGTAATTTACAAACAACTTGCTTTCTTTGTTGAGTTCTTCTTATATGCAGTGCGTAGTCTACCAGTGTAAATTGTACGTGTTTGGTAGTCTGGTTTCTATTTTAAATGGCATGTTATTGATGTCAGATGATAGTTTCCGGTGTTTCTAATTAGTGGGTTATGGTATTTGGTGTCGCAGGCTGATTCCATTGAGTCCCTGATGTATTTCCGGATGGTCTGTATGTTGGCTGCGTGGTGTGGCATGTCACACGGTTTATTCAGGATAATGCGGAGAAATTTGTTTTATATTTTTTTGTAACATATTAATGTGAGTTTTGGCCGCTACCGTTCAGATTTGATACGTACATGATGATTAGTCTAACGCATATTTTGTATAGGTTGAGTTTGATGGAAATTTTGGTTTACTGTTTCTGGACAGGAGAAGGTAGAACTTTTTTTTAAAGCGGAATAAGCTAGATTCGTTCTTTTTGTTATTGCCGGGGCCCATATTTTCGAGTCTAGGATGACTCGGAGATTGACTATAGGGGTGAGATACAATGTCCTGCTACTTTTGCCTGGTTTGTGAGTGTGATTCTTTTTCTGGTAAATGCGATGGCTTGAATCTTCGTAGGATTGACTACTAAGCTTCCAGTTACGAAAGTAAATCTGAAGTTTATCTAGGTGGTCCTGGATGTATTTAGTAGGATTTTTATGGTGAAGGAGGAGGCAAAGATAGCAGTGTCATTTGCGTATATTGCCGTGTGCGCGTTCTTCGATTTTGGCATGTCGTTAATATACATATATGATAAAAAGGAGAAGAGCCACGAGTATGGTATCATTGTCAATGATAATCTCTTTTAGTAGCTTGAAATCCTCAGCAGTGTATCAAAGTTTGTCAGTAATTCATAATGGAAAAAAAAAACATCAATGAGCTTGGAAAATCCTTGAAAAAAATATTTTTACCAATTATTAACCTTTCAAATACCACTCATCTTAGGCAAAACTTATTTTTTACATCATCACAATTCTGAAAGATATTTAGGTGGCCTCACTTAGATGAACCATCTTGTATACTTGTACAAGAAAAGTATTCGTTTGAACATAGTATGTAAAAAGATCCGATTTTGTGTGCAATTTCAGGTGTGTAAGTTACATGATTCACTTTGTATATATGTATATGAATAGTTCAATTTGTCTTGTAAAAGATAAATAAATTAGCAATCGTCTTCAGTAATCTCAGTATAATAACTTCAGTAAATTCAGTATTTAATATTCTTTAATAGTTTGATATTTCTTAATGCTTCATTTACTTTTGTTATTTTACTTTTCCTTTGCTACTCGAAAAGCATAAAACTCTATATTCATCGCAGATATTTTGTTTCTATATTTTTTAAAATTTGCAAAGTAATAGTTCCATATGTTAATGATTCTTGTTTGTAATATCATTTATAGTGTTATAAACAATTTGTTTCAAAAATTCCGACTGAGCAACGTTTTCACAGTATACATTGAGTATCGTGCCGCTAATAGGCGGCATGTCTTAAATGCTTGCATCTCGATAACAATTTATGCGAATATAACAAGTTTATAATAAATTATTATTAATATATTATAATTATTATAAAAGTTATTATAATGATATTTCGAAGGCGTTTGAATGTCACGTACAAAAAATGTAATAAAAAGTATAAAATTTAAATTTAAAAATTTTAACATGACCTTTACAGGATGTTTCAATGTTATTGCAAGATCAGGTGTCTCTCTTATAACATTTTTTTTCGTATTATTCATATTTGTCAAGATATTTTACTGTTCATAGATAAACCGGACACGCTGTATATCTATATTAAACGAAAGAATTTTAAACAATATCGACATTATATTTAACATGTTGTATAATATTTTATCATAGAAGCGATATTAAAAAAGAAGATATTTAAATCGAAGACAAGATACAATTATAGGAGAAAAGAAAGTTGCGATATAGCTAGTATGAAAATCTACGTAATATAAATATAATAACTATAAACTATTCAACGTCTTTAAATGTAAAAATAATATTTTTGTAGAGCCTTTAGCATCCAAAGTAAAAAATTATAGATATAAAAACTATAGATATATTTAAAAATATATTTAAAAAAGTGTTATATTATAACCGAATTACGTAAAACAATATTAATATTAACATTTTCTAATTGAAATTAGTTTAAACGAGGTATTCAGTATATTGTAATGAAGTATGTGTTCAATGCAATTATTCAATATTAATTGCGATAAACAATAAAATAATAAAAAATTTAATAATAGTCACTCAAAATGTGATTTCCAACAGAATGATCCTATAATACAGGATACTGAAAATTTTGTTTCGCATATTGACATATTAAGAAAGAGCAACTTAATAACTACAAATAAAATTTTTATAACTAATCTAACTTTAAAATCTGCAGAAAATGAGAAAAGGTAATTAAAATGTTTTAACATTTTGCATGTTGATATAACATGTGTTTTAACATAATTGCCTTCAAAAATTATATATCTTCAATTATTTATTCTGACTTCAACTAATTATTTATTCTGAAAAGTATTATTTACTCTGATGATATATTACGATGAAAATTATTTAAGTATTAATAGTTAATGATTATACAAAAGTACAATACAAGTATATACAAAAGTATAATCATTAAATATTGCAAAATTAAAAATGTGACGCAATCTAAAATAAAAAATTCGAAATGCTTAAATTTATTATACATATATAAACTTATCTATTATTAATATTTTTACTAAACTGAAGACAAATTCATTAATTCAAAAAAAAGATCATACAATATAATTTAATTAGGTCTTAATTATATTTTATTTGAAATTTTATATTTTAAGAGATATTTGATTGATATCACATATCGTATATTAACTGAAATAAAAAAAAAAGATACAAGAAGAACTTGAAATTTAAATTGAAATATACATAATAGTATAACAAAGATTTGTTTATAATACATTTGCAATAAAACTACATACATATAGCAATATATTGCCAAAAAATTGTCGAAGTTAAAATTCTTTAATAAATGCTATATATCTACATTTAATCATAAACATTGAAATATTAAATTTTCGATTTCAATTAGCAATTTTAGAAGAAAAAATATCTTCTGAACATCTTTTACCCATTGAT